AAGGATAGTGGCTTGGCCAGCTGTTGGGCAAGCTCAAAGAGCAGCTTTGCTGGGATCTCGTCCGGACCGGGAGATTTACATTCCTTCAAGCTTTTCAGTTCTTCCAAAATCGCTTCTTCTCGAAACACAATATTTTCGATAGTGGGATCTCTCATTTTCTCAGAATTAGATGGGGTAAAGTCCGCTTCTCTGGTGAAAACGGATCGGAAAAATTGAGAAAAGTGCTCAGCCTTATTTGTACTGTCCGATATCTCCAAGCCGTCATCACCCCTCATAACAGGAATGGGATTCCTGTTACGTGTGCTTTTCCGCAAATAGCTGTAGAGCAATTTCGGATTTTTAACGGCTCGGTGGAGCAAATTACTCTCAAAATCCCGTCGCCTCCTGAAAATCAGGCTTTTCACCTTATTTCTTTGAATTTTGTATTCTGTAAACGCTGCATTATTGTTGTTCTCGCGAAATTTTTTCCATAACCTACCTTTCTTGTTGATCTACCTTTTGAGTTCTCGTGTAAGCCACTGAGGGTGGTTGGATGTCCTAGGCTTTGATAAGGGACAGTGGTTCTTCATTTGATGCAGTAAACGATCCTTGAATAAATTCCAGTCCTCGTTAACGTTTCCGGAGAAGAGAACATCCCAGTCTATTTGTGATGCCTCAGCTCTCATTTGGCGAAAGTCCCCTTTCCATATATTTGGCCTCGTATTGTCGTTTGTACACGATTCAGAATACAGTAAGTACTCGCATAAAAGCACTGCATGATCACTTCGACCGAGCGGGGGTAGGTAGTACACCTCGTCTATACTGTCAGGATCTTTGGTGAAAACGAGGTCCAGACAACTGGCCTGTTGCCCTCCACGAGCTCTAGTTGCAAACAGGACATGTTGCGTGAGTAGAGCTTCTAGAGTTGTCTTTAGTAGATGGTAATCGAAGGTATTCATCGAGCATTTCGCATGCATATCGCTCCATTGAATGCATGGTGCATTAAAATCCCCCATGATAACAACGTCTGGTCGACTGGCGATCTCTTTTATGCTTTTCAGTAGACAAGTATCTGGGTACGGATCCGCCTGCGGGGGCCGGTAGATAGTTAAGACTTCGAGGGACTGAGATCCCCGGGCCTTTATAGTCAGCCAAATTGCCTCTGTGTCGTTAGAAATCTTGACGGTCCTCTCACACACTGCTAAGTTGCTCTTGACATACATGGCAACTCCTCCACCCCGGCGGCCTCTCCTGTCTCTCCTAAACAAATGGTATCCTGTTAATGCTACCTCGCAATCGCCAACGTCCACTGACAGCCACGTTTCTGTTATTGCTATAACATCGGGAAGTGTATCGGCTACCTGTATTCTCAGTTCGTCAAGCTTGGAAAACAGACTCTGAGCATTGGTGTAAAAGAATTTTAGTTTGCAACATTCGACAGTGCTTCGTTCGGTTTGTCTCGGGTTTGCCAATATTATATTGCTGCCGCCATCATGATGACTGGCTGGTTCCAAAACAGCATCGCGTTCCTCTGTATTACTCGTCCCCTGAAAATGGCCAAGTTGCTCTCTCCCGCTGCAAGTCTCCTCTTCAACTCCGTTACCAATTCGCGGCGTTTCAGACGTTCCGCTGGAGAATAATCCGGCTGAAAAAAACTTTCTTGTGAAAGTTTAGGAGGCTGCTTTTCCTGGACAGAAGTAAGCTAGCTTCCTCTTTACTGTTCAAAACAATTTTCAGAGGTCGTGGCCGCACAGTTCCTGATTGTTCGCTCACCTTCTTTCCAATCCTGAAGGCTGCGCGAATGGTTATCTTTTCATTCGAATTAAGCATTTCGTTCAGTAGGTGTTGAAGCATATTAAGGTCAGCGGAGATCCTCTCCTTCGGGGTAGGAGCATCCGACTCCGATAGACCCTGGACGACTACGCAGTGCTGACGATCAAAGGGTTCATTTTTTCTGTTTCCGGTGGCCTTGTCAGCTGAATGTCTCAGAAGATCCACCGGAGTCGTCTGGGGTTCTATACTCCCGTTGTGGCGCTTACCCTTTCCATATTGCCATGAGCTTGTTTCCTCACTTCCAACTGAGGGTCCTATTGAACACGCGGAATGGCTGGGAGAAGTTGATGGCTCGCTTGGGTTGTCTCCCATAGAAACAAGAGACTCCGTTGCTATTTTCCCATCGTCCTGGGTATCGGCGCTCCTGCACAGAGGTTTTCCACATGCTTTGTTCTTTGGCTGTTTTAGAGTTTTGCTCTTTCCCTTTTTCTTGCGAACTTTAGCGCTATTCACCGCGTTTTGCACACTATCGTTCGCTTGCACGAGTTCCCTCAAAGCAGTCAACTCTTTTTCGAGTTTTTGGACTTTCAGCAGAATAAATGAGCATCCAGTGCATGGCTCGTCCTCGTAACTAACAGGTTTTGCTGTGATAACGCTTTTAGCGCGCTTTGCGGGCCCCTGGTTGCAACTATAAAGAGAGCGAGCGCTAATCCTAGGTGGCAAGGCCTTCTCAATTGACTTTCCTTCATACATAGTGTCGTTTGTACTACGAATAATGTTTACTCCCTTATTTATTTCAGTCGGATGGTCGTGCGCCGACAGTCTAGCGGTCATGTCGCTGGTCACCGTACGACTGGACGTGGGTTCGAATCCCACTTGCGGCGAGTTTTTCGCACATTGTCCTGATGGTGTTTTGTCGACTCCCATTATTAATTCAAACGATACGCAAGGGATTCTAGGTGTGGGTGAAGTATTTAAAGGTGTAGGAGAAGCTTTTTAACCAAGCCAAAAATATGAAATAAATATCAAACGACTCAGCCGCTTCTGGATCTGGAGAACCCCGCGGTGCTGTTGGCAGAGAATTGATACGAAGGAGTATGGTCGTCCCAACGAAAGTTCTGTCGGACTTCTGAGTGGATCGTTCGAGGAATTGCTGATTACGCTTCAATTTCTTAATCCAAATGGGCCCGCAGAGCGTCCAGTAGGCAGAAATCCCGGAAAAAGCAAATCCCTCGGAGGTCGAAATTTCAAACCGAATTCGAAAGGCGCGCGTACCTAACCTTTCAGAATTCAATCATTTCTCTTTGTAATGAATGACAGTCAGTGAGTCATTTATTTTGACCTTAGAAAGTCCTTCGAAAAGTTACCACACAGGCGTTTTTAGGTAAAATTGGAAGTAATTGGCACCCGGCCGCCTCTACTCGGCTTCATTGGGTCCTTCTTATTTAACAACTATTCCATAATCATGGTTGGTAATAGATACTCGACACCTCACTCGATAATGAGTGGCCTAGTCCAAGGTCCGGTTCAACGTTCGCTACTCTTCCTTCTATACAGCAATAATACGTCAATCCATATAAGAAATTCGCGAACATTTGTTTATACAGTACCAGCATTTTCTCTGTCCCCTCGTTCTACCGTTTACGCGCCACGGCTGCGCTCGCTAACTCTCGATTTGCACTCTTGTCCACGCCACAATCCTGGTCGATAATTTGCCACTACCTTTCGCGTGGGCTCGGAGCCAATCAACGCAACTCTATATCTCTGATTGGTTACAAGTGCACACACGGGACGCCGCCCTTACGGACGTGATTTTGAACAGACGGGACATGGGCAAGAAGCACACAACACTTTTTTGGTGGTAGCGACACATTGAAGGCTCCGCAACTGACGCTCTCCAGAACGAACGCTTATCTCTGCCACAAGCATACAGCCAACTTACGGCGACCTGCCCTGTGTACAGAATAAAGCCGTTCTCACAACTTTCCGGCCTCTGTCACTAGACGGGACAACATTATTGTATGCGGTTTAAGTTGATCTCACGTCCTTGACCACTACACAGCTACGTCGTTCTTCGTGCCATCAATGTGGCGGATGTCGGTGGTGAATTGGGAGCGGTGGTCCAGGTGGACGATCTCCCTCGGATTCTACTTGTCGGAGTAGGATCGAAGTGCAAATGTCAACGGTTTGTGGTCAGTGAAAACAGCGAAGTCACGACCTTCAAGGAAATGCCGGAAATGCTTCACCGCCAGGTAAATGGCAAGTAGTTTACGGCCAAAGGTACTGTAGCGTGTCTCAGCTGGTAAGAGCTTTTTGGAGAAAAAGGAAAGTGGTTGAGTCGAACCAGCGAGGTGTTGTTGAAGGACTGAACCTACGGCTACGGTCGAAGCATCTACCTTCAGAGACAGCTGAGCTTGGGGAGCTGGATGTGTAAGTAAGGTGGCATCGGCAGAGGAATTCTTGATTCTCTCAAAAGCAGGCAGTGCTTCACCAGTCAGCTCGAGGGGACCTTTGGGACCAGAAAGCATGTTGTTGAGCGGCAGCATGAGGTCGGCACAGTTCGGTAGGAACCGACGGTAAAAATTGACCATGCCGAGGAATCGCCTTAACTGACGCTTGGAAGTTGGAGGCGGAAAATTACGAACTGCTTCAACCTTGGAGGGGAGGGGACGCAAACCTTCAGAGTCGACCTGATGGCCGAGGAACCCGAGTGAAGGCACACCCTACACGCACTTGGAGGGGTTGATGACAACGCTAAACTTGTCAAGACAGTCAACCATCAGGGCAAGATGCTCTTTGTGCTCTTCCTCATTCCGGGTGGCCACCAAGAGGTCATCAATGTAGGTATACACAAAGGGCAGTCCACGTAAGACATGGTCGATGAACCTCTGGAACGTTTGGACTGCAATACGAAGACCGAACGACATACAGACGAACTCAAAGAGACCGAAAGGTGTGGTGACGTCGGTTTTAGGGATGTCCTCAGGGGCGACTGGAATCTAATAAAAAGCACGCACCAGATCAATCTTCGAGAAAACCGCTTAGCCGAAAAGGGCTCCAGCAAAGTCCTGAAGATGAGGCATGGGGAACCGATCAGGAATGGTAGCTTTGTTGAGGGCTCGATAGTGGCCACAGGGTCGCCAGTCGCCTAATGTTGCCTTGGGCACTATGTGCAGTGGGGACGCCCACGGTCTCGGTCGAATTATTCCCAGTTGCAGCGTGTGTTCAAACTCCGCCTTTGCGACCTAAAAACGCTCCGGTGCTAGTCGTCTCGGTCGAACAAACACGGGAGGGCCTGAGGTGCGGATACGGTGCAAAACATCATGTTGAACCTCACCACTGCGAAACTGGGGGTTAATTATACTGGGGTGACTAAGCAGCAGTTACCGAAAAGGACTAGCAATATCCGTATCCAAGACAGATAAGTTGGTGGGGGCAGTAAAGTAAGTTAGTCCACGAGCAAACAGACCGGTTGTGCGGTCGAGGAGACGGGCACGTCGACAGTCAACAAGGAGATCGAACTCAGCAAAAAAGTCCGAGCCGAGGATTGGGGACTGACAGTACCCAAGGGGCGCTACAATAAACCTATTCTATTCTATTGTATGAGGGACATCAGCAATCACAAAGATGCAGGTGAATGACCGACAAAGGCCAATGTTCAGGGTGAGGGACAGACTACCGAAAGTGGGAATGGGGGAACACTTGACAGCTGGGAAGTGAAGACCAGGACTAGGAAAACGACGATCAGCTGCAGTTGGGGGAACAACGCTGATTTGGTCTCCAGTGTCCACCAGGAATCGTCTGCGAGTCGCAGTGTCGCAAACATAGAAGGTGCGACCCGAGTTAGAGCTGTCAAGAAGATTGGCTGCACTGACCTTCGGGTTGACCGGTTTTACACCTTTTGCTCTGCTTGGAGGTGAAGGAGCAGGGAGAGATGCAGCGACGGGCTTTAACACCAAAGGTGGTGTGGTATCAGCAGATGGCAGCTGCGTTTGGACGGGCTGAATGTAAAGACTGGAGATACGGGGTGGACGGCTTCGGTTGGCTCCGAAATGAGGGGGAGACAGTCTGCTTCTGTAGTGAAGCTATATCGTCGGCCAGCCTGCTGAGCTGGATCTCCAACTGTGAAGGGGGAGATGTAGGACGAGTTGAGGGAGTTGAGAGTGTTGAAAGTGACGGCTTGGAAAAGCCGTGCATCTCCATAAGACGATCAGCCATCTGAGTAAGTTGCGTTGCCGAAAGAATGCCGGAGGTGGGTGCCAAAATATGCTGCACTTCCGGTGAAAAGTTGTCCATGATCAAAGCCTGACTTTATCGTAGATTAGGAAGATAGATTGCTGTTCGCAAAGGGGTCACCAATTGTCGTATGTTGTGTGGTCGACAAGATAAAAAAATCCTAAGCAAAAGTCGGGGAAGACGGTTTGAGTTGGACAATCTTTACTGCCTGAGGAAGTGCGTACACAAGGGCTCTGTAGGCATTCGCCGTGAGCGCGCTCCAAGCAAGCTGTTGTCTGTGTCCGCCTTCGGGGTGTTGTGTCAGCGCGTGTGTGCGCCCTCCGTTGTCTCCACGTCCTCCAGCCAATCAGAGTGGGGACAGCGTTGATTGGCTTCGAGCACTCGCGAGGCTAGTGACGAGCCTCGCGCGTCCCAGCAGCGTATCGACAAGGAGTGTGAGGCGGACAGGACGGCAGTGTGACAAAGTCGGAGGGCGAGGAGACGCGAACTGCCACAATCTCTCTCGCTATCGCCATACGGACTCTTGTCTTATTCTCCGAGATATCCCTCTTCCCACTCAAGCTGGCACCACCACTTGTGGCATTTTTGCTGGCCACGACCGTCCTTTTGTCCCAGCCACTCTGCGCCGACAAGTTTTCGACACCCTTCACAGCCTATCCCATCCAGGAATCCGGACGACAGTGAAACTTATCACTGACCGATTCGTCTGGCCCCGCATCAACCGGGATGTTCGGCGTTGGGTCCGGTCCTGTTTTCCCTGTCAGCGCGCCAAAATTCATCGTCATACTGTAACCTCGCCAGGTGCATTCACCACTCCTGATGCCCGTTTCAGCCACGTCCACATTGACTTGGTAGGACCTCTCCCACCATCCAACGGTTCTACCTATCTCCTGACTTGCATTGACCGTTCCACTCGGTGGCCGGTTGTCGTACCCATCCCGGATACCTGTGCTGAAACCGTGGCAAAAGCTTTTCTGTCGCACTGGGTGTCTAATTTTGGAGTTCCTTCGACCGTAACTACTGACCGTGGATCCCAATTCGAGTCCACGTTGTTTCGCGAACTCACTTCCCTCCTCTGCACTGAACGAATACGAACGACAGCATACTATCCTCAAGCAAATGGCCTCGTCAAACGTTTCCATCGACAGCTCAAAACTGCCCTCGTGGCTCAGTCCGATCCTTCTCGATGGACGGATAATCTTCCCTTGGTGATGTTGTTCATTCGTTCCACTATCAAAGCCGACATCGGTTGCACAGCAGCTGACCTTGTTTATGGAACTTCATTACGCCTTCCAGATGAGTTGGTATCTCCTTCAGAAAACCTGACGTCTTTCGAGCCTTGCAGTCATGTGGACCGACTACGTACTGTCATGCGCACTCTCCGCGCAGCGCCCACTCGCGTTTCACCAACTCGTTACTTCATTCCTCTCAACCTGGACACGTGCGACTTCGTCCTGGTCCGGCGTGAGGCAGTCCGTCTGCCATTGCAACCACCATATGACGGGCCTTACAAAGTCCTTCGGCGGTCTGACGAGCATTTTGTCATCGAGCGCAACGGAAAGACGGACACCGTCAGCATTGGTCGTGTCAAACCTGCATACCTCGACTACTGCCAATCGACCTTACCCCAGCCGTCTTCTCCGTCACAGGCGTTGACGCCCACGCCGCCGTCTGAGGCCATCCCCCCATCGATGCGTCGCGCCCGATCCGGTCGTCATGTCCGCTGGCCCGATAGATTCGTGGCTGGCTAGCATATCGACCCCTACACTTCGTTTGGTGTCTGGAGGAGTTGTAGCAACCTTTTCTCTGTCCCCTCGTTCTACTGTTTACACGCCACGGCTGCGCTCGCTAACCCTCGATTTGCACTCCCGTCCACGGCACACTCCTGGTCGATAATTTGCCACTACCTTTTGCGTGGGCTCGGAGCCAATCAACGCAACTTTCTATCTCTGATTGGTTGCAAGTGCACACACGGAACGTCGCCCTTACGGAAGTGATTTTGAACAGACAGCACAGAGGAAATAAGGCCACAACACTTTTGCAGCGGCGACCTTCGGCGACACAGGGCTCGTCGCTCTCGCTGACGTCGCCTCCGCGGCGGCGGACGCGCACTCGTCCGGTCGCCAACTTTCCCCTTCACTATTCTGTACAGAATAAATTGTCCTAAGCAAGTGGCGTCCTGCTTCTAACAACCTGGGATATGGACTGGAGTTGTAGCGTACTGAGCGTACACCATCACAGCTTAGCCGCTACAGTACCCATGACCATAAACGTGCCTACTCATACTCTCAGGATAACGCAAATGCTTGCGTTGAAAAGTGACCTCCAATAATCTATGCTTGTGAAAATGGAGTTCTACATGACAGATGGGGTTTTCATCATCCGAAGGTAGTTTCATGACTTTTGCTTCTGCCGAACTTCATGGTACCATAAGTTTCCAGTTAAACGAACTCTCAGAATACTTCGCATTAAAGGATCTGGGTTTCGTTTATACAAATAAGCTTAATTTATTATCTCTCACAGGTATAATCATTTCCAAATCTGCGTACATATGGGGGGTTCACATCACATAAATTTCCCCTTCCGAAAATAAAGCTAAGACTTCATCAAATATTTGCATTTCCCGTCCTTGGGTACTGCTGTCCTTTCTTTGGCTCAACAAACGCCTGTGACCGTAATTTGTTCGCTCAGATTATAAGTATCCTGGTCGCATCTCTCCGCGCTTCGATGACCGCTGCAGCCCCTAATGTCCACTCCTCAACTGAGCTCTAAAAAGACTGTGACCGATCGCGTTTGGGTTCCTCTCATTTCGCCACCTTGACAATTGCTTCTGGCACCAATGCAGGCGTGGGTGTTGGAGACCAACTCTATCAATGGACACACTGATTTGCCTGCATGTTATCACGAGCTCAGCCCACACAGCCAGGTGGCGCAGCTCACATCGTCGCGGAGTACAAACGCCGTCACCACATCGGGGGACCATTGTGGGCCAGGCAGCACAAACCAGACCTAGTCACGGACGTAACTCCCCCGCACGGCACAAAGATATAGATGTTCACACTTTGCGGCATTCGAACAGTCCTTATGATGAACTCATGTTCGAATTCGAAAACCAAGACCAATAAATCTACCATCCCAGTGATCGTGCTTTCGTCTACTTTTAAACAAGAACCTGGGATGCGCATATTCTCTTCCATTCGTGTCTTATTTCTAGCTATCTACCGGACGTATTAGTGAGCGACTAGGATGCAACAGGCTTCGCGACACTTCAGAAGTGACGCCAAACTCTTGGTTGTTTTGTTGGTTAAAGCAGTGAATAAGGGATATCGAACATAACACAACTAAAATCGACGAGTCCATGGGATGCCTATAAGCATCATGTCCAAATGAAATTCCGCTGCCACTTGTTGATCCATCTACCGGAGTGTCCGCTGAGCACGGCAGGGTTTCCATTTAAGTTCGATTTTTCTTATCTTACCGGAGGTCACATAATGATTTGGGATTTTGATTTGGAAGTATGAGTTTCACTAATTTGAGTGAGATCAACTGTTTGGATGCAGTATAATTTACCTGACCCTGAGCACTGTTTTTTTTGGTGGAATTACGAACTCCCGTGTGACGCACTTGCGGGATGTCTGATATTTTTGATGTACCACAGATACAACGATGTGCCTCACCGACCGGTGATTGTGGAACGAATGACGCTCGACACACTTTATTGCGAGGTGACGAAATTTGTTCCTTTTTGAAGAGACATATAGAAACCTACACAATAAATGGTGTAAATGACTGTGATCGCTCTGAGTTGTTCGGTGGTCCCAGCAGTTTAATTTTGGATTCTTTTGAGCAAACGACAAGCCAGTCAAGCGTGTTGAGTCGGCAAACGGATGAACCGGCTGAGACCTCAGTTTCGGGAGATAATCTGACTTTTCTTGGCCATAGACATGACACAATCACCGAGGAAGATTGGGGCAAGTTCCACATCTCTTCTAATAAGGGGAGACAATTTGACTTCCTTTTCTCTCATTCGCACAACCGAACACATGAGTTCTACTCAACGTATTCGGCATTTAGTGCAAAATCTCTTAGACTAATGCTTTTCTCCATAGCCACCCATATCTTACGAAGTCATTTGAAAAATACGTGGTCAAAGCAAATTAAACACTTCTCAAACTTATTACTTTTAGTATAAATGACGAATGGGATTCGCTTATTTTTGTATGGTCGGTGTTCAAGTTTATGCGGGTGTGTATACACATCCAACTATTTCATGCTTTCCTGAAATATATTTGCATGAAGCGCATGTTAAATAATAATTTGACTCTACATCAGCCCGTTGCTTCGAGTGGGCTATTTTTTCTCAAGATTCGATAATCCAGTATCTTCTTAAAGAATATCTGTATTCTCCAAAACGTTGCCTGGTTGCATCATGAATTGTTAACATTGTTACATTTTTTCTATGTCAAGTCTTCAAAACGGTATACGGTCTTTTTACTTCCATCACTGATCTCCAGCTTTTGATAAAACGCGTGGTATCTGAATACTTTCCATGCTTCGAATTAAGAGGCCGTGGCCCCAACTAGCCACCCTGCGGGCTCCACCTATGAGGGAGTTATGTGCTAGCAGGGTAGTTTTATTTTCCTGAGAACCAAGTTGTCTCTCAAGGAAAAGCCTTTGTAGGCCTTTACGAGTTTTCTAGAACAAGGTGTAATAGGGTCATCCTCACAAAAGTGTACGCGAATAAATATCAGTTTGCAGAAATACTCGTTATGGTGGCCTTTCAAAACCATGCATCTATTGGGATGCCACTCCACAGAAGGCCCAATAGTTTTTGGAATGCTATCCAAAAGGAATAAAATCATGTTGGAGCCGATCTCAGATTAAGTTTCAATTCAGCATATAATAAGGCTTCTGGAAACAAGGTCCGTTGAGTGGAACAAGGACGACTGTCTTAAATATTGTGTAATTCGGCTATCTAATTGGTTTCCTTTTGAAAACTCAACAGGGACCTTCCCTGCAAGAGGATATGGATATTCGGAACGGCACGTTGTGCATCAAAGGTAACAAACATCATGCAGAGTGTACCACAAAATGTTGTAAGGACAATGTTTAAGTAAGCTTTATATGAGACGCATGAACAGTTTACTAATTTGTGATGCAATTCTTACTTATAGCTATTTTAAATAATCTTTTAGATGACTACTTAAATACGAAACCCTACAGGAATGCAATTCAAGATTTTAGAAACTTCTGATTTGCTTATTTAAAGAGGGTTTGTGAAGTTTACGGTTGCATTTTATTAAGAACTGTCGGTGCGGTGGAAAGCGAGCTGGAAAACTGCGGGCCAACTCTCCTGGACTTGCAAGTCCCAAAGTTAAAACGTAATTTGCTGCTGCAGGATCTCGCGGTTACGGTGAGCTATCTATAAGGACGTTTATTATTTGATTTTAGTCGAAGTCAGTTTCCAGACCCCAGTGCCTCAGTATTAGCATGTCAATGTATTCTCGATGCTCATTAAATTCGCTCCAAGGCACGCATTTTCTTTCTTTGATGTCTTCTTATGTAAAATGTCTTCCATAATTCTTGCCAGAATGCTTCACATTAAAAAAGCACATTTTCTGAAAGGTCTGATTTTGTTTACGTCGAAAAATTGTCCGTTCTGAATGGAGTTTCAAAGCTGATTGACTGGTTAAGTTAATCGACCTATCAGGAGGATTGGGAAAAAAGTTTACTGAACGTGATTTACACATTAAAGAGTATACTTAGGGCTAGCACGTCATTTTTTTTGCCATGACAACGATGATCAATGCTGAGCGAGTAATTTCCCCGCTCCGGGCATTTTCGTTGACGGGAGACAATTCTACCTCTGAATAAAAGGTTGCTGCAATTCTAATCTCAATAAGAGTCTCGCCACTTTTTTGATAGTTTAGCTCTATCGCAAAATTCTGGGCGCGCAAGGATATCACTTTGCAAGAAAACTATTTGCTGAAGAGCTTCATGATTTTGTCCAGGAAAAGTAATCTGATCGTTGCATCACTTCTAGATTATCAATTGCTTTTTCTTCACTAACATCACCGTTTTAGCTCATTGGGCTGTGTATACCATTTTCAGTCATTAGGGGATTGTGAGCAGGGTTTAATCGTATTGGTACAACTTTGTAATATTTTTTTTGGAGTCTGTCGTAGTGTTGTTTCACAAATTTTCACTACTTACTTTCGCGGTATGATACTTTTGGGACTCTGTATGTCAGGCCGGGCACACTGCATTGTTTTGTATACCAATAAAACGATAATCATTTTGTTAAAACGGTTTTTTTTCTGCCGGTTTGCATATAACTTACTGTAATTAGCGCTGATAGACAGCGTCGCGCTGAATAATGGAGGAATTTTTAACTGGACACACATTACATATTGAAGATCTGCCTGGTACGGATATGTCTGATTCATTAATGAATAGTAGTCGTTTCGGGAAAGAATCAAAGCCAAACAGCTTCTGTTCACTGGCAGCGATTTGAGTAAAGGCCCAACAGTTAAGAACCACAAACACTCGAGGCGTTATCTGCGATAAAGTTCTGTATGCCGATTTTGCATCCGTTTTTTATGTTTAGGGTCTAAAAGTAGCTTTATCAAGCGAGAAGGCCTCATTGGGGCAGTTTAGTTATACTCATAAATTTTTCAGTTGTTAACACCAGTCTATTGTCTGAGAAAAAGACATTGAACTTTGATCCTCTCAATAGGCTGTTAGGAGCAGGGACGCCTTTTATCGATTTTTATTCATAGAATTGGATTGTACTGACGTACGATTTTAAAAGCAACTTCGTCTTTACGCAAAAACGAAGATCGGATAGATGTGTAGTCATCGTAGGAAAGTAAAAGCACAGAAATGACTATTAAGTCCTACCAAATCTCACGCCAGAAGAGGGTTCGAATTTCCTGTGTTTTTTTTCTTCCTGTGGTTATCTTAACCTATCGCGGTCCATCATCTTAACCCGAGGTCCTCTTGATGAGCCGTAGTTGCTACTTTGTCGAACACTTCATGTTTATTTGATTAGTTCACTCGCATTTTAATGTTTTCCTATGTGAAAAGGATTCTGGATTTGCCGGCTGTAATTCTGTGGATCCTCCCAGTTTGTCATCGATTTCTTGTCCAATTGAGTCCCCGACATACGTAATCTCCCCAAGACAATTAAGTGAAGGTGCGAGCACTGGAGAGCAATCGGACAATAAATCGCCATCGCTGCTCAAAGCAACTGAACTCCATCAACAACTGACGAGACTGCGCGCATTATTTGACACTCTGCAGTATGAACGACAGGATTTGGAAAGTCAACTCGAACGAACCAGAGTGTAGGCCTTTTCGCTTTTGACCCATGTCATCATCTAATTTTTTTCAAATGCCTTCCTAATCGACCGCCTTTAAGTGATGATAGCGAATTAACATGAGACATGAATTGGCCGACACAAGCTCCTGAGCCCCCAGCCCAGGTTGCGCTTTGGTTGGAAATTTCTCGGAGACTTCAGTTTTCCGCATTGGTTGACCATAAGTTCTTGAATACCATGCCGAAAGCTGTTTTGAATTTCGATATTCCGCAGACTGTGCAATCTAGGGGGGCTCGAAGTCATGTGACTCACGTTCTTTCTCCAGCCTTCAGTCATCGTGCTCTTAGTGCACACAAATGACTAACCTGGTCTACATGTTATTTAACTGCGACCCGAGAGATAAAAATAAAAAAACCAGTACATACACGCATAGGATGCCACCATGCCAACTTCATATAGATCGGTTATAGATCGCATTTAACTTTTTTTCGAAATTGAAAGGAATAGCAAAACTACATTTAAACAGCAGAGCAAATTTCACAGTTGGCCATTATTACAGTAAACAGTCATCCAGCTAGTGATCGCTCTCCACAAACGCAATGTTGTAATGACTCTACATTGTGCTGATTTACATATCGTTCTATCTCCGAGGCGGTGTTCGCGAAGTTGCTCGAAGTTCGCGTTTGCGTGTGTGTGAATAGCCTTTTGTGGAAAAAATTTCGCTTTAATTTAAAAGCCCTCTTTAGGAAGGCTCAACGATAAGTCACATGATGTCTGGTGATGACCGTAGGAGGAACTAATGTGCAACCGAAGCGTTAGTGCCAGTGTGAGCATCTTTAAACGACAAGTCTTTTGAGTTTCCTGGCAGATTACATCGAAGTAATAACATTAAACCAGGTGCGTATTTTGGCTGGTATTTGCGCTATCAATTCTTTCAAATACTACCGGGTGTTTCATATGAAATGTTTGCCTTCGGTTCAGTTTGTAGCTTATTGATTGGGGTTACGGAAACGATCAACAGAGAAGGGACTTCCAAGGCACTTCTTGCACAGTAACGTGCTGTCTTCTGTTGCAGCATTTTCAGATTCAGGCAGAATGATATTACCGACAAAGACAATAGGAATATCGGTAATACCATTCCACCTATATCATGCGCCGCTGTGCGGCTGCTGGTTGGGCTCGAGAGAGAGAGTCCATAAGGCACAACGGAACGAGTGAGTTCCGTAAGAACGATCGGTGAGCGCCCCCTACCATTTTCAGATTCGCCTGTATAGATCAAGCCTACAAAACACTGGCTACTTAGTCAGTACCCGTGCAAATTAACTCATATTTTATGGAAAAAATGCCTAAGAAAGTCATTTATCTTATAAAGTTTGATAAGACACAGAAATAGGTGCCCCCACCCTTAGACGGGTGGCCTGGCGCCGAATTCCGGGAAAAGGACCTATTCCCGTGTCTCAGCCCTGAAACTGGCCCCGACCCAGACCTTAACCCTAACCCTTATCTTCCTGGAATTCAACGCAAGGCCACCTATGTTATGGGGGGTTCCTATTCCGTTGTGACAGCCACAATTTATGGGAGGTTACCTCTTTTTCATTTTGAATACTTGAGGAAAAGAAACATTTGCGGTTTTAAAAACGTTGAAATTCTGAAGACGCGCGCTTTAGTATTCATGTAGTCAGCTGTCATCGAATTCGCTAATGCTACTCACAACGTGTGCAGTGAGATTCATATCTACTATGATATTATATAGACGTTATAACGTCTCTTTATGTGGACACATAGGGTCGTTTATAAAAGAATAGGCGCACACCGACCAAACTGGTTTCCAAAACAAACGGAACGTGAACAGCTGGCCGAGGCCGCGACCAGTCAACCACTTACCAGACTCATCGGGTGTCTAGAACCCATCTGATTGACTCGTTTGTGTGTTAACCGCGGTGTGTGCCGACACTTCATTGTGATTCCGGTCCTAAATGATGCTTGAATTTATGGTTAACTGACTAAAGGCAGAATATGCCCGGAACAGCTTCCCTCCTGACACCCTTACTCTAAGCAGGACTATGTTAGGTTTTTTTCTCAAAAAATTCCTCTCGTGAACATTTAAAGCGTTAATATCAGGTTAAAACGCAAATTTTTATTTCAACTATACGAGTACTCAAGACTATTTTAAAAATGGAATGCCCTCTTCAAGTAGAAATTCTAAAAATCACAACCTTCTATGATAGAAATATAAAAACTCACTTTTCACGAAACATTTCTTTTGAATATTCTTAAAGCGATATAGGCATTGAAAGTCAATGCCAAACATGCACCCTAAGAGGGCAAAAATTTCCAACGTAGTTTCTGACAGTGACTGGGAGGATGTCCAGTTAAAAGTCAACATGCAAATCTGTAAAAATTAGCTTGGGGTTTTGTGCTATGCTAACCAGCCGAATCCATCAACTAATGTGAAGAAACCTAAATTTTCTAGGCTCATCGGGCTAAGAAAACGACCCTCATAGACAATTCTACAAAATTTGAAAAACTTAACCGAAAATTTGACATGAATGTTTTGATCAGGTCACGCACTCTTGAGCTTTTGCGGCGACCATATAACACTGACTTTATCAGTGCAGCTCAAATAAAAAAAAACAGATTTTACTGGTTCTACGTTCCAGTCCATGCACATTGCACCGGCGAAGTTAGATGCGCAGTTACGCTCTCTCCCTCCATCCAACTTTTTATCTCTCTCTCCCTCTTTCTCTCTCTCTCCCTTTGTCTCAAATAGGCTTATCCTCTTCCTCTGGCCCTGCTACTTTTCCACTTTCTCTTTCCCCATCTCATCCATAAGTTTTGGCTTCCACCCCCATCTTCGATAGTAGTTGGAGCTTCTGTTTCAACCTCGTTTCTTCCCGTAGGGTTAAAGATGTTTCGCTCGTGAGTTTGAGTAGTTCTCTAATTGTTTTTTTTTCGTGCTTATGTACTAGTCAATAGTAATCCGCCCATCAAACTTAATATGGCGTAGGAGCTCTAAAGTTTACTCCTTATCTTCCCTATTAATCTCACTCCTGTCTCTCACTTGCAGTTGGGCTGTCGTGCTTGATGTTGGTGCTCTTTGAACTGGAGATTTCATTTGTAAACTACAGTGTTTCGCCTACTGTATTGAACTAGATCATTTGCATAGAACAGTAGTGCTATATATCTGCCTAGTGTCACCAAATAATTTGCATTTGGCCGGGTGGTATTAGGAACATACTGGGGAGATTTCAGTGGCAATTTTCTGAACTTATTAATGCCGTCGGTTGGCCATACTTCGACATCTACCCACCATGACCCGAGGTTTGAATACAAGTCCAGTTAGGTATTACGAAGACACAATATTATTGCGCTAGGTGTCCACATCTTGTAGACCACAGTTAGAAATATGCGAAGTGGCGTTGGATTACGACACACCGGTCTACCCCGATTGCTGGGCAGAGGGCCTGTCTTGGTTTTGCACTCAGGATAGATTGTTAGACGCCAGTTGCATACGCCTGCCCTTTATTCAAAGTCATTTTGAACTTGCGCCAGTCTGCGCGTTCGGTTGACACAGAGGATACATTATAACCTGCAGCAAATTAAATTGATCCACATACTGATCCTTTACTTTTTAAAAACCGTTAGCTATTCTGCCTTTATCCTTTTACTAAAAGGCTCAAGGAGAACCTGTTGGATAGGACGCTGGAAGCGAAGCCTTCAAACGACTCTGCGGTAAGTGGTTCTCATTCATTTTTCACTGCCACTTTTTATGGAAGTTGTTCCACCTTTCTGTCCAGGAAATGTTCACGTAAAGCTGCATTTTCTGCAGAGTAAGCTGACTCCGAGTTTATAGAATCCAAGTACTCTTATCAACTGTACGTGTATCCCGGTTTGAAAGCTCAAAACCGACACATGAAGTGCGACCTGCTCACTGTCAATGTCTTTTGATCAGGTTTGCACCGTACATATCTTGTTGGAACGCGATTCTTCTATGCAGATGGAGCCTGTAAACTCCGAAGTAATGGAGCAAAAACCCCGGAGCAATCGATTTTTTGCTGTTTTGATGATGCAAACGGGCCTCAACACGAGAGAGAGAGAGACGATTTCATTCGTTCGCGCCAACCACTGTAAGCCTTTCAGATGGGCAGCAACTTCTTAGTCAGGACCTAACACAGGGACACCGAATAAAATCGGCTCTTCACCAACGTGCGCTCGCGTCGTCGGGTTGTGTGTGTGTGTGTGACCATTCAGATGTTGCGCACTTACCTTTAAACCGACTCCACTTGTGTTGCCCGCAGTGTTACCCTTAACACATTTTTCGGTCGTTGCCAGACCACAGCATCAATTAGGAAGTAGAACACAGGCATATTTTATGCTTCTTTTCCGACAAGAGCCAAAACTGAAAAAATTTAGAGTATAAAATGTCTTGTACGCTCTCGCAGCTCATAGGTTAAACCGCCTAAATCGGCGCGAACAAGTATTATAGGTAGTTTACTCGACGCGAAGCTAGCCAACTCGTACCGTGAATCTGCCGTGTTTGAGCCAATGAAACTGGAAACTGTGCTTGAGCAGTGCTGAGCACCACGAATGAAGTGTAGTAGGACGTCGCCTGTCGAAGTCCGGCAGTTTGGCAGCCCTCTTAGTTCGGCAGTGGCCTTGCCTTAAGCTTCAGCATACGCACTTATTCCTACCTATAGAAATGGAGACCAGACAAGGTCGGAACTGGACTTGCACTGACACGCAGTAGGCGGCGTAACGCGCGGTGCATTCTGAGATTCATAGAAATTTTAAATAATTCATAAACGCAGCCCAAAACTCAAAACACCAACGTCCCCAACTAAAAGTGCGGTAAAAGTCCGCTAAAGAAACTATTAAGCTTATAGAGATTAGAAATTTTAATGGAAAACTGGGAACTCTGAAACTAAATACGGCTCGGGTAATTAATTGGGCTGCAAGTCAGACATTTCAGGACGTGATCAGATACAATATGAGTAGATAAGGGGTGCTGTTAGTAAAAAAAAATAGAAAATGAAACATCACCGTTTCGTGGCTTACTGTACTGGCATGGAAGTAGATAGACTGTGGGTTAGAGTCTCCAGTGAAATCTTGAAAAATATTTTTCAAAACACATAGTCTCTTTTCAGATAGATGTTCTTTCTTGCATCGCGTAAGTCATTTTCTGCATGAACGAAGATATTTTCAGCGTAATAGCATTACCGACCAGTTATCGGACTACAAATTGCGCAAGTGAGGTTGCATGGGGAAACAGCGACCACTAATTAAAAAGTTGGAATAAAATAAACAAACGTGCTGATGGACCTACTGTTCTCTTTGTTGAGCTGTTTTTTCTCTCTGGCGAGAGGCTGTTGAGCCTCAGAACCTCCTCGAAATGTGGGGGAGCAGTCCTGTTTACAGTTTCCCTTGTCCGTTTTCGGCAAAAAATGGTTTCTGTATGTTATGTGTACAATCTTCCTAATACACAGTTTGATGCTTTATTTCGTGAGGCTTTTGCCAGGGACTTTCGCGTCGGGATCATAAACGTTTTGGCAAAACTGGCATGCTTAAGAATTCATTTTTAACATCTTGGTTCTAAAAGATGGCAGAGTAGGTTTTAGAAACCCGGTTGGATTTCTTGAGAAACTCTGAATCGCCATTCGAAGTATTCAGTCACACAATGATGGTGTCGCCAATGGAGCATAAATACGCTGACCATGCTAAAAGTAAGATTCTCGAAGAACATAAAGAGGCGGCCCCATTTCTTTTACCGAACCGGGGATTAGGTCTTGCAATGCCTGAATTCGAGCTTCTGCTTCCACTGCCTTCAGTCGTTTGAGAGGAATCGTTCAGACCGGAATGTTTACCTTTTGTATGCAAACTTACATTCATGAACACAAAACAACTTGCCGTGGCTGTAAAATAACTTTGTTTATATTCGTAACGCTGGCAGTCCATTTTGCCAGTGTATATGGCTTACCGTTAAATAGCTAACCTCTCACTGGCTAATGTTTAGTAGGTTGTTCTTAAGGAGAGGAGAACTGAATTATCACTTGCTTCCTAGAGAACAAAGTCTTCTTGTTTGAGACGTTGAGTCACTTCACGAGCAGTAATTGTTTCTCCTGACTTCCTCCCGCTCTCACGACCGCACTCCGTCCCGGTTTGCTCGACAACCACTGATCAACAGCCATCTGTGTTATTAACGGAGAAGAGAATGTTACGTATTCTCTCCGTCCGTAAACGCACGTAAGGATTTCGGCTAGTGTTAAATGAACCTCGGCTTCTGTTATTCAGCTCTTCAGTTGGCTCACACATTATGATTTCATCATTTCACATCGTCTCCGAATCAAACTTTACTAGACCGGCCCATTAATTTGCCTATATTTCTCTGTTTGTCTCAGTAATTGTGGAAAGAACCTCCCGAATATCGATTTCTTAAGGGATACGACACCAATGTGTGCATATACGACCAAAAAATGTCTGCAATTTTGGCTTCCCAGAGTACAAAATCACTGAATTACCGTGATAGGACTTGCAGCCAGGGAACTATCTACAGTGAGTGACCAATCTCATGAAATGTTGGCTGAAATTCTGAAATGCATTTTCGATTAAAAAGGATTACTTAAGCGCGGTAGCAAAATTGATTATCTTCCGGCATACTCCTATAATATTTCAAACTCGGCAAGACGTCAGCTTTTGAATGCACTGCTTTTAAATCTGCCGTAGAAACCGTATTCGGTAAGAAGTGACTACTTAAATAGCATGCATTTTTACAATGTTTTTCGATGGTCTTAAAAATTCAAATATATTTTATAGAAACCCTGAACGAAAATATGCTTTCTTTCAGTTGTCTGATAGAGGATCACGTCATCTTTATATTTTATGCTCAAAGAAGGGGTATAATTAGGTTTTAAAAAGTTTCTAATTATGAGATTTTTCAAAACCGTGCAATGTCCGTTCATACAGAATCGTACCTGTCAGATTACCATTGCTCCTCATGAAATGTACAACACAATCCACATCCATTGCAGAATTTTATGGATCCTATATAGTATCTTTTTAAAGGTTTGGAAGGATATGTGATTTTCTTCACGGGGAACACATGTACCTTGTAGACTGAAATCACTAAGTGCTAATGCAACGGCTGATCAGGATCCAAATTATTCGGGAATGGGAAAAAATTTTTAAAACCTAGGTATACTCTTTCTTCGATTATAAAATGTAAAGACAACGTGATTTCTATCAGACAACTGAAAGAAAGCATATTTTCGTTCGGTGTTTCTATAAAATATATTTGAATTTTCAAGACCATCGAGAATCATTGTAAAACATTCATGCTACTTAAGTAGTCATACTTTACCGAGTACGATTTCTACAGAAGATTAACATGTAAAGCCTTCAAAAGCTTACATCCTGCCGAGTCCGAATTATATTAGGACAATGTCCCGTGATAATAAATGTTTCAACCGCACCTAAGTAAACCTTCCTAATCGAAAACACATTTCAGAATTTCAGCCAACATTTCATGAAATCGGTCACTCGAAGTGAAGCGACCGGCAAACACCTACGTGGAAGACCGATAAGAAGAAGCGGGCCGGAGGCAGACCATTTCCGCCTCTCTCAGTCGGTCATGCCTTCAACCAACGCTATTAAATGGGATTATGTCCGGAAAGCTTCATTTATAATGGAAAGAAGTTATCCCGAGTGATGTATTTAAGGAATAGAAGACTTGTCTGGCCAGACGAGTATTCTCCAACACCAACTGATGTTGGGGAATTTGGACCCTAGGCCACATCTGGCCGCCCTGTTGGAGTATGCCCTTATGTTCGGTGCAGTCTAATGATGGACCGAGGTGACAACCGAATTAGCAAGACAGCTGTGAGAGGTGGGGCTGTCGAAAGGTCATTCCGTGAACTGCCGCCTACGCGATTCGATATCACCATAGGAAACAAAGTCCAAACCAAGGTGTATCAAGAGACATGCGACGCTCTGCCATGTCAGTCATTGCCTCCAGATAAACGACCCGAGCCGCAAATACAGATATTTGATGCGATAGAAAACTGAAGAACATTGACGAGCCCGGTGGGGACTGTCCTTCTGTGGAAATCTTTAAGTGTCTTTGGAAAGTGTCAGTTGATTGGTTGCACTGCTCGTTGCCCAAAATGTGAGTGACAGTGTCTTAGCCTGCCATTCTGTCGTTGCACCGATCTCCAGCAGGAGCGACAGATCACTGCAGCCGAATAATTGAAGCCTATGCCGGCATAGATGGCGGCATAAAATTCTTCATTCTTGTCCTCAGTCGCTTCCCCCCGTTTATCAACCTGCAAGTAAGAATAAGTGCGTCTTTTGGCTGCAAACTGTGTACAGGATCTCCCGTTGTTTGATGGTTTGTAGCACAAATACGCTCAATAGTGGAGTCAGAAGTTTTCGGTGTATCCTAGCATGCAGCGCACACTAGCTTTCTTTGTTCGATATAATTCTAACGTTCGGACAGCAGAGTTTTCAAGTTGAGTGATTATTTCCTAGAAAGAGTTCCCTTGGCCTCTATTCATTGTGCTAATTACACTGAGAGAGTCGGTTAGCATAACGTCGGGGTCACCAATGGCCGACGTACGGCCGATCACCACCGAGGGGCTCCCCAAGTCAAGGGTAGGGGCAGATTTCTGCTTCCTCTGTCTTCTTACTGTGGCAACGGTTGTCCTACTAACTGTGTCCTTCTGGATTTTTACTTCGGAAACGTGTCATTGTTAATCCACTCCACTTCAGCAAGTTTGTTAGACGGCAGTTGCATTCAGCACAGTTTCATGGAGCTACAGATGGGAGCTAATTATCAGATGGGGTCAAAGATGTAGATATCACCACCTCATGTGCAACAAGACTTTTGCTGGAATTGTCAGTCTACTAAAGTGAGTTCCTCTGGGCATCCTGCGCACCTCAAACGCAAACTGAAACTATATCCATCAGTGGAACGGATCAGACCAAGAACTGTTTCACTCCAACAAATGACAGAAGGAAGCCGTACCTGACGCCTCCTCTGTTTGTAGATCTGATTCCCATTTATTTGTTTTTAGAATCGATCTGACGAGGGGGCCAGGTTAACAGAATTGCGCTGCCTTCTTGGCACAGAGTCCGCCCGCACCTCAGACCTTCTGGCCAAAGTTACTTCACTGCGAAAACGCCTGGAACCGGACGACTTTAGAAGTAAATTCAAACGGCTCCACGATGAGGCTGCCGTTCGCTGCTGCGATTATGTTGAGCTGGGCCGCCAATCCCACGAGGAACAGTTGGCCATTCTTTCCGTCATCACCGACGCTGCTGCAGTGAGTTCCTGGTACTGAGCGCTCGCCTGTCCTTTTCTTTACCATGAGTGCACCTTCTATCTCGTTCTCCCACCCACAGTGGAACGTCCCGCCAACTAGAGCGCATGAAATGCATCCGCAGCTTAAGTCGTATTACAGTGGGAAGCGCGAAGACCAAAACACAGTTCTTGACATGAATAATTCTGGAAGTTCCAACGTTCCTTACTTAGAGTAGACAATAGACGGAGAGTCGACCTAACGCCAACTGAAAAAAGAGGGGAAAGCCGAAACCTGTCTTGCATTTATTCGTTGCTTTATTCCAGGATTACTTCATCCCTTCTTTAGAAGGTCGAGAACGAGAAGATTGCTTTTGAGCAAACTAAATCGTACTCCGGGCCGATAGTAGAGAATATCGCCTGAGAGCATTCCTTTTACGAGGAAGAAAACGTCCTGTCGAGTAAAGTCCGTCCATTAATTGCACTCTCTTGTGCCACATCTTACTGAAACATTGTATTTATGTATTTTATTCACCATGACCCTCAGAACAGCATGGAACTCCAACTGCGATATCGGACATTAATGTATCCTATAACTTTGATCAATGTTAGCAAACTGTGTATCTGAACTACGCTATCTGAGATCCCTACCGACTGGAAAAACTGAGACCAATGGAGCATGAAGTATGCGAGTGACAATTTTTTAACGCAATGGACTCATATTTTCCAATCGGCGTGGCTGCATACTCATTCATCGTGAACATCTCAAGGTTTCTCCAGTTTCTTAGGTCACAGCTAATTCTGCGTTGCGGTTTATGGTGCACAGCTCCATAGAAGTGGTATGAATCGCCTGGATAAATCGTTTCTTTGCGTGAAAAAGTGCGTCTCTTATCGTGAAGTAATTTTACGAGGCTGAGTTGTTGGCAGCGTCATCTTTTGCCGAGGTGTTTGTAGAACTCTCGGGAATTATAATTACCTTGACCATATTGGCAGCTTCAAGGTTCACAGCAGTAGCAATTTCACTCAATCAAATTCATCGGCGCACTCAAAGACCCCTATTCTGGCCGAGCGTATAAAAGTAGTGTGTTGGAAGAGGTCTGTCGGCGAAAAGTGGTTGAGCAGGCTATCCATCGTTGGCAGGGCGCGTTCAGATCTGTCGACAGCTCTAACTGCTTTCGAAGATCTACTGACTACCTTGTGGTCTACAGTCAATATCTTCGAAGGCTTTTACAGCCACTTGATAAGTAGTCCCCCTTCAACTGCTTTCCTAAGAACTGATTACCCAGCTACCCAGCCAATCGTCGGAGTAAATTCTCATCTCACTTCCGACTTGCCGGCTGAATGACAGTTTATCGCTTTGAACTTCGATTTTATCCTGAGTGCCTTTCTCGTACATCTAGACTTATCTGCATATCTGGCGTGTATAAGAAGGACTGGGTTCTCAAACATATCGTCAAAAATACTGCTTCCACCTTCCGGATTTCCCAAACACCTGTATTCTGACCTTTAATATCTTGTTTGCATTTAGTTGGTGCCTTGCACTTTTATACTAAGCTCTTCCCTCCCCTCTCCTTATAGCAGTGCGAAAGTTCGACTGAACCACCCTCTGTCAGTCTACAGACTCTTTTGGACGCGAAGGAAAAACTTTGTGAACTCTATGCTACACAAATCGAGACAGATTCTGAGAAACTACGAGAGAGACGGAAGGGTTTGGATTGTCAGGTACCTTTTCTCACTGGTGAATACATGCTATGGTAATTTTGGCGTCGCACCCAATGAGAATAGTGAGTTAGTCATCTGAAGAGGTTTTCGTGTTGCTAACATCCTCGCTTGTCAGTTGGATGCAAAGTTTAGGGTTTTACCTGCACATTCATAGGCCTTACTATCGAAGGCACCGTTTCCTTTAAATAAGGATATAGGTGAAAAGTTTAATAAGATGGCATATGCCCACGTAGGAAGAAATTTTAAATTTGTTATTTTGATCATTCGGGAGTTTCTTTTCTTGTAGTATAAATTTTTGTTACGTTTACAAATGTCCGAAATAATAGCCTAATGACGGTAAACGGTCGCTCCGTTACGCCCTTCACCTGCAAAATATTTAGGCGGGCATTTTGAAACTTGGTCTCGTCGCACTTTGTGTGATTTGACAGACACTTGGGCGTTATTACAGTCAGTGACCGATCTCACGAAGTGTCAGGCGAGATTCCGAAATGTGTTTTCGATTTAGGAGAATTACTTGAATGAGGCTGTGATACTGATTATCATACAGCACAATCATGTGATATGCCAGACACGCCGGAATGCTGGCTTTTGAATGCACTTCTTTCCAGCTGTCCGTAAGAATCACACTCGGCGAAAAGGACTACTCAAGTAGCATGCACTTTTCTATTTATTTGAGATGCATTCAGAGGTCGAAGTATACTTTATAGAAAATATGCACAAAATATTCTTTCTTGCAGCCGATTGGTGGAAAGTCACTTCCGCTTCAAATTCCATACTTAAAGGAAAGGCACATTTCGGTTTTAAAAAGCGTTTCAGTTCCGGAATAATTTTGATCTCGATCTGCGGTTGCATTTGCGTTTAAGGTTTTCAGTCTACAGGCTGTATACTTTCTATGTAAAGAAAATCATATATTCCATCACGCCATTAAGAAGATACCATATAGCGCTCATAAAATATTGTAATGGGTATAGACTTTGTCGCATAGGAGAACAGTAACAAACGGACAGCTACGGTGCTACCTGAATGGACACTACAGGGTCTTAAAAATTGCATAATTGGGAACTCTTTTTGAAACCTAAGTATAAAATTCCTTTGAGCATAAAATTCGAAGAAGGCGTCATTTGCTAACAAGAGCCTTCTTCGAATTTTATGCTCAAAGGAAGTTTATACTTAGGTTTCAAAAAGAGTTCCTAATTATGCGATTTTTAAGACCCTGAAGTGTCCATTCAGGTAGCACCGCATCTGTCCGTTTGTTAATGTTCTCCTATGCGACAAAGTCTATGCCCATTACAACACTTTATGGGCGCAGTATGGTATCTCCTTAATGGCGTGGTGGAATATATGATTTTCTTTAAGAGCACAAGCGAGGACATTTGGATTATGCTTTCTATAAAGTATATTTGGGTCTACAAGGGCGTAGAAAATCAATGGAGAGATGCGTACTACCTAAGCAGTCATTTTTTTTACCGAGTGCGGTCTTTACAGGCAGCCGGAAAGAAGTGCATTCAATAGCCAGCATCCTGCCGTGTCTAATTTATCACGGGATTATCCCGCATGATACTCAATCTTACAACCCCACTTAAGTAATTCTTCCTAGTCGGGAACGCAATTCAGAATTTAGGTTAACATTTAATGAGATCAAGCAATGACTGTGTATCCGAACTATGCTATCTGAGATCCCTACTGGTTGAAAAAAATGAGACCAATGGAGGGATCTGCGCAGCATATATCCTTCAGGGCTTCATCCTAATCTAGGGCCAAAAAGAGAATTTATTGAATAGTTATTGTTCGAGGAATATGCGACTCCTTCTATTAAAAACTCCTGGTTCAACCGAATTCATAAAATCACGTATGATTAGGAAAAAATGAGGAAGATTTATAGCAATATCCGGCGGTACAAATCTCCTCTGGAATAAATATTCAATTTGGGTTCTTAGCCCCATTTTACTGGCATATGACAACGGCAATTGATTGTTCCTGGCAGGTAGAAACAGAGCTGCTTCCGAAAAGCCGCTTCATTATTTTGTACGGACAGTCACTGTTTCGCATTGCTGAATGTCTCCAGCTTCCGACTGTGACGGGAACTATTTTAAACGAAACTCTTAAAGGTACTTTCCGGGATTTTGCCGACCAACGGTGCCCATAATTCAACCTCTCTGCCGCCCTATCCTCATCGGGGAACCCTAAAAAGCAGGCTTTAAGATCTAATCTTATAAAGTTTTCTTGCAGAAGGCCGAGATTGCAGTTACTTGTGATGAGTTAGCACGCTAATTTAAAGGAAGAGAATAGATGGTCTGATGCTACCTTTGGTAGTAGTAGTAGTAGTAGTAGTAGTAGTAGTAGTAGTAGTAGTAGTAGTAGTACATGGTCCACGAAAATTTACAGTAAGCTGGTTACGGAACTTTCAGCTCAGACTTAAAATGCTGCCTCAAAACCAGTTGATGTAGCATACCTACCGATGTGCATGCTTTTTTGAAAGTCTTTGCAGAAATTGGAGATACTCGAACGCGATCACCACCCAAAAACTTATCAGAACCACAATTATTCGACACGTCTGAAAGTTTTGAAGTTCGGTCTTGAAGAACGGCTTAGGTGAGCTCCCTTTCTGTGCTTTTACAAACAGATATTGTTGAGCACCACACATGAACATCAGCCCCAGTTATTTTATTAAAACTGTCTTTAGCATACTTGTACACATGTAAATAGGCCAAATGAATCATTCGGCATGATAAGCCTCTTCCTTCCTAAGTCATGAGACCGAAGAAGTTCGCTGGCACGCGGTCATAATCTTTTTACTCGAGATGACATGCCGGTAGAAGCGAATAGGTGAGTCCCAGGGAACAGTTCAGAAGAAGCGGACGCAATATTCGAAACGAGAAGTTTATTGGCCTGACGTTTCGGATTCTCACTCAAACTCATCGTCAGAGACAGTCGCAGATGGTGGGTTCGAGGGAGGATCCGAGACGTCAGGTCAATACACTTTTTGTTTCAGCGACCGCATCTTCTTTTGAGACGATATGTCTTCAGGAGGTCAGGTTTTGGTTCTTTGACCGGTTCGATTTTGGGTCATTTTTCCTTGAGAATTTTGTAGCCAGGGTCTCACTCGCCGTCTGTTCATGTAGCAGCCATCCTTTGCCATTGGCTTTTGTTGACTGGCAATTGTCTCCTTTAGACGCCCAATTCCCACACACCGTTGTCCACTTTCTAGCTCGCGAAGTGTCGCTTGTGTGAATGTCTCACCCCATCATCGACAACACTGGTTTGCACATAAGGTTACAGATGGACTCTTTTGTCTGAAAACTGCATTACACTACATTGCATCACACATGATATTCTACAGACCGCTTCTTTTTTCACATGACCAGCGGGTTCTGTAGGTTACATATGTCGGGTGTGCAAATATGTTGTCAGTCTATGACTGCCCCTACCTGATGCCTCCCTGAAGGTCTTCAATCCCTTCTGAAAAATTTCTCACGTTCGGGGGTTTACCAAATGCTAGTCCGGCCTTAGTGGCAGATCCTCATTTGGAGTTGGCATCGCGCGTACTTTATGCTCCATTTGTGTAAATCTACGCTCATAAATTGCCTCCTGACTTGTAAAATACCCTCCGTCTGTCGTGCAAATTCATGTAGCAATGAAAGCAACCCTCACAAGATTTGAAGTTCCCAACACTTTAAATTAATCAGAAAAGTATGGTAAAATGCGCTGGATTCCGACTAGTCGGCTTACACTGATCCGAGATACATTGACCCGACGGGCCTAATTGTCCGAAACGCATGCAGATCTAAAATGCATATTGTAGCCAATCAACAAAAGCTACTTATCGATCTGGGTCAGAGCTGCTGCCCTTCCTCCCAGCCTTATCGAACGCCCGCCGCCGTACGCTCTATTCTGCTTTGTCGGTCACAGGATTGTACGTTAGGGCTCGCCTTATGTTCGCGAGTTCCCAAAACTGGCTGATCAACCAGACCTGAAGGCGCGCATGGGTAGTGTAGACCATCTGACTGAATTTGCGGCCAGTAGGACGTGCCATCTGTATAAAATGCAAACAATCCTCTCAGCTTCACCCTAGTGACTTGGAAGATCACCATTGTACATCCTCGATCGCAACCGACAGGACAGCGGGCCCGTGGCTCAGTGGTTAGAGGCGTTGGACTTTTGACTAACAGGTCACGGGATCGAGCCCCAGGTGTTCCACACTCCGGGGTTGGGTATGACTGGCTGAGGACGGCTAAAAAGTCGGAAATGGCCACTCCAGTTTCCCTTGTCTTTGCCGTCAATAACATTCTGCCCATATCATGCGCCGCTGTGCGCCTGCTGATTGGGCTCGGGAGAGAACCCTGAGGCATAACGAGACGAGTGAATTCCGCAAAAACGGTCGGTTAGCGCCGCTCTGCCAGTCACCAGTCCGCTTAGGTGGAATGATGGCCCTAATAAGTAAAGTAAATTAACGTAATGCATATGACCTGTTTCTGGCTTCCAACATCCGACTTGACTAAACGGCTGTTCCACGTAACCGATGGCCCAATTAACCAGAATCTACTCTAATACTTCAGCACTGATGTATATTTAAGTCTACCCTGTGTGGTGGTTTCGCATTTACTAAACTTCACTGAAGAAATGTCAGAATGACGTGCGATATCATTCTACATTTTAGACATTTAGCTGACGCAAATGGAAAGGCAAAGATTTTGGAAGAGAAGCTGGAAGCGGCCAGAACTCAACATTATGTCTCCAAAGTCGAGACCGTACGACGGTTATTTGCAATATCAAAGGCCCGCCGTGAACACATAGACACACTGCGGCAAGAAATCAGACAAAACGTAGGCTCGAATTACTTGCTTACTATAGAACTTTTTCCACTTTAATTTATATAATCATCTTCTTGAATAACTTATCCGACCTCAGTATGTAAGCACATATATATATGTGTCAAAGGTATTATGCCATTCTCCCGGGATAGGTGCTAGCTAAATGCCCAGCCACGTATTTTGCCAGCATTCTGCCCTGCGCGATACAGCCGCGAGGAGTTCGGCTCTTCAATGGGTCCCCCAGCGTTCTGTATGTGGTTTGTGGTATACGAACTCCAGAGCATAATCAAGCTAATGATTTCAGAAATTATTTAGTACAGGACATGGGGTTAAGTCCTCGGAACACGACTTTATATACATATACATGAAGAAGATGGTAAGGTGAGCTCTGGGGATGATGATTTATTCATCGGACGTTTCATCATACTCGAGTGCATCATTGGGGATAGGAAGTATGAGAACTGCGCGGTTTAAATAGGCCCCTCTCGCTCACCCATAATAGAGCCACCAATCGTTATCCTCATTGGGTCTCCCCTGGTGCATAAGTGGTGCTTGGCGGCCGCGTATTGTGCCGGTAGGTCGACGCTGCGGTTGATGGAGTTGGCGTCTGTTTGTCAGGCCTCGATTATTTCTCTCGATATATATATATATTACATATATATACATATAATTGAGGTAATATAATGAAAAATAGGAAGCCTTTCGGGAAAATCGGGTCGTTCCAATTAATTATAAAGCTGATTACACCAACCTATCATCGGAGGGAATTGATAGAGACGTGAGACTACGGTATTAGGGCGCTTGGGGTCAAAAAGGTATCATTAACAGGCAGGCGTCAGCGGGAAGGTGAGCCTGGTTTTGCGACGGATGTCGGAGATCAGGGAGGAAGTACGTGCGAGTTTTGGTTATGGTTTGCGGTGTTTGAACAGGTGGCAAATAACTAATGCGATAATTCCATCCTTCATTATTCACCGTGTCTGATAGGTGTAACCGTCTTGACGTGCTCCGGCCATGCTGGAGCTGCACCTAACCAGCACGACACACGTTATTTGGGATACGCATCCATGACAAATGGCACACATGAGGGGTCCGTAGTGGCTCGTCTAGGCACAGGCTCACGCCTCACCAACCACTTGCGCTCAATCCGCATATTAAATAGCTGACCGATTCGACTGTGGAATGATACCTGGGAGAGAGAGAAGAGAGCGGGTGAGGTCGACTCTGGGGCCCCCAAGCCCCTCGGCATCTCAGCGCATTTCTTCACTATAAACACTCTGACGCGCTTTTAAACTATCACTGTGAGCTAAAGGCCGTGGCTTGAAAGGCTGTCAACGGACGAAATAACTCGGCCGGATGGAGAGTTAGGCTGCAATGGCTCCTTCGTAATGTGACCTCTTTGGCATTCCCACCTGTTAGGATCCGAGCCGACCACCCCCTCTTTGTGTGAGAACCCGGTCCATCGTGCGCGGACCAGGTCGCGTCGCACACGTAGTCAGGCTATTTAATTTTTTGTCAGCCACTGCGTCTGGTCTTGTCTCTAGTTCTTTTGACTTTGTCTTGTTATCGAGGCCAGGTGGACGAGAGAGGAGATTGTGCGGTAGGCGCTGCGCAAGTCTAACATAAACATAAACTAATTCACGCGCAAGTCACCGTTCCTGCGCCTGCCATGCTCCGGCTCCCGGGGCAGACATTGTCGTTTGCGACGGTGGAACCCTTCGTGTCGTTGTAGCCGTCTTGAAAATGCACGATAACGACTCCAACGTACAGTTCGTGACTGATCTCATGAAATGTTAGCCGGAATTCTAAGACGTGTTTTCGATTAGGAAGGATTACTTGGTGGGATTGTAATTGTGATTATCAGGCGGCATAATCCCATGATATTTTGGAATCGCCAGGGTGTTGACCTTTCGATCTCTTGTTAAAACCGCACTTGGTAAAAAGACTACTTAATTAGTGCGAGTTTTTCATGTTGATTTTCTATAACCCTGTAAATTGACATACATTTTATAGAAAGCATGCATAGAATATGCCTTCTTTTGTTCATTTGGTAGCAAATCACGTCGTCTTTACATTTTATATTCGAAGAAGGGGTAGTTTTTGATTTTAAAAGGTTTATTATGGGATATTTTAAGACTGTGCAATTTATATTAATACAAAATCGCACCTGTTCGTTGATTAATGTTCCTCATAAAATATATAACGTAGTCCGCATCCATTACGAAAATTTGCTAACTCTGCATGACACCTTACAGACGCGGAAGGTGTACCCCTTGTAGAATGAAATCGTTAAACGCCAATGCGACGGCTGATCTGGCTAAAAATTATTCGGGCATTGGAAAACACTTCCAAAACTTAGACATACCATTTCTTCGAGTATAAGACGTGAAGATGACGTGCTTTTCTACCAAATGAGCGAAAGAAAGCATATTTGTGCATGTTTTCTATAAAATATGTTTTAATTTATAGGACCATCAAAAATCCATGTGGTAACGCATACTGGTCACTGGTAATTGTTTACCAAGAACGATCTTTCGCTTATATTGACTTACCTAATTTTGGAGTACCTTAAATTTATTCCTAAACACGTTTTTTTCGTTCGGAATAAATGTCAGAATAAAGGTATGTCAGCTTACATTCCTTGAGCTTAGAGCAGATCTAGAGTTGAACCCAACAGTTTATAATTTTACTCAATCACTCCTCTTCATCGGTAAAAAGATAGTTCCAAGCAAAGTTTTCCCTCTTTCCTCTTTTAGCTTCAGACGATACAAAACATAACCCCAACTGTTCGGCAGGATTCCGAACAGCAGAGGCGGCAATTAGCGCAGACCATCGCGCGTTTGAATACTCAAATTCAGGAAGTCAAAAGTGAGGTGGCTCAACTGAAGCAGAATCCCGTGCTTCGACTTCAACAGCTTCAGTCCTCAATGTATGTTGGTTTAAACAATTACTAACGATCCATGCAACACGACTTTTTTAAAATGGATAAGTAGCGCCGGAGATGATCCGTTTATACAATTACTAAAAGCCCGAAGTCAGTCCATGTCGTCGTGCAGTATCCAGAATATCCATGCGCGAGTATTAACATGTGGTTAACTCGCACCTTCTACGTGTGCACATCTCAACAATGCCAATGCTCACCTGCGTTATCTGCTCATGAAAACGAATCCAAAAATTTTATAGCTTCCGCCGTTTCCCCACGTTTATGTGCCCTTTTTCTGGTGATAACTCTCTCTCTCTCTCATGCACATAACCTACGCCAATGCCAGAACCGACGCCGGCAGAGGCCGAGGCAGATGTAAAATGATTAGCTGAGTGGCAAAACTAGGGAAATTCAACGATCAGCAGACCGTGGTGACACTAAGAACATCTTAATGACAGATAGAGCGGTTCACGTCCCTCAATTCAAGGGGACTGCACCACTACTCATCTTGGTAACAATCGGGAGATGGCACCCAAAAAAATCAGTTACCTAGACATAATACCTTTAACAGTGGACTCAAACGCCTTCAGGCTATATCAGCGATCGCAGGCCTACTTTCACGCGTTACTTGGACTTTCCCTGACGGCCTAACATGGGCTGGCCGAACGAACATCGCAGGAGGTTACGTGGACGATGGTCGCTGTTACCCAACCTTCCCCATCCTTACACACGTACACCTGAATATACGGCATACATTCGCATTATGGCAGTTTATTACAAAACAAAATCACTTTTAAATAGGAGAAGTCTGCACAACATGGAACAGGAACAGTTCCCAGGCATCTGTCAGAGACATGGCATTGAGGCCAAACTAAAGACGATACTGTACTTCGTCTTTGTGAGCCCACACAGCTCGCACACATACAGCGCCTCCCTCGGGGAGTTTCCTTTTCAGTCTACTCCAGTATGCCTCAATAGCATTGGTGTGCCGTCCGTGGTAGGGTTCTTGAAGTTCTTTGAGTGGTTAACAGAGAAATGTAGATAACCTTCTGAGGGAAGACGATTATACGCCTCCCACTCGTCCGTTACCACTATACGGCCTTTGGCGACCCATTTTGTAATAACGGAACGGAGAGCGGGCCAACTTCGATCATTCGCCTGTTCAAATAAGGCTTTCCGTCGGCTAGTATCGTACATCACGACCAGCCACCACCCATAAAACCCCTATTACCACCTGTCCCGTAAGACAGGCTGCTTTGGTTAGACGGATTTTTTGGGTGCCATCTCCTGATTGTTACCCTCATCTTAGGCGGGACGACCATACTGTCAGCGAAATCGTTGACTTTAGAGTCCTGAGCCGCGTATTTCGGGGTTATCATAAACCACCCGCCTACAATCTGCGAGGAAACCATGAGCCGGTTTTCCCATATGGGCACCACTATCAACTTTGATCGTCTATCTTTCCTGCGAGAAGCAGTCAAAGTGATTAAACAGCTGTCCAGTAGGAAAGCACTGGGTGTCGCCTCAATTCCAGCCGAAATTTTGCAAATAACACTGCCTTAAACTTATGGACAATTTTGCCTTACTACTTCGGGCTATGTGGCGACAAGGACAAATATCAAATTTCAAAGGGCAAACGAAACTGACTAATCGGCAACAAGCCTCGCGGATTCTTTCTTTAGTCATACTGACAACACATTCGCCCGTGTACTACTCAATGTCCTAAAATGGATCTGGGAGTGGGAAGTCCTTACAGAAACACAATGTGGATTCGGGAAATTTCGTAAGACCACCCACGTAGTCTTCGCGACTCCCAACTGTAAGAAAAACATTAATAACTTAGGATCAGACTTCAAACCACCCTTGTGGATCTGACAAAACCCTTCGGCACAGCGGAACAAAAGAAATTCAGAAATAGCTAGTCAATATTGTCCGGGATGATTCATTCAGATGGTCAAACTTCTGTATGACGGATGATGGCGCGCGGACGATGGGCTAATCCGGAGAACATTTCCAAATTCGAATGGATGGAGGAAGTGTTACGTGCTTGCCTCCATCGTAAACCTCGTTTTCTCTGCCACGCTAGTAGGTGCTTACCATGAGGACTTAGCTGGAGACAGCGCCAACTATCAAATCGGCGGCCAGCTACTCAGAATCCGATGCATGCAATCAACAACCAAAGTATTCAAGATCGGTGTAAACGGCCTCTTATTTGCCAAGGACTATGCGTTGAACATCGCAGCCGAAGTAAGCATGCAGCAGAGCGTGGCCCTCTTTGCCTGCGATTACCTAAATTTCGGATTCGTCGCTAACACAGAGAGGACAGCGGTAATGCACCAACGGAGAAGTACAATGGACCCACGGAAGGTGTAAAAGGAATTTGCCTTGCGCTTGTGAACTAATTCGTCTATCCACATAATAGCACCTCTAGAAATATCAAGAGTGAAATTCCAAGGCGGATCTCCAAAAGCAGTTAGGTTTTTGGCAGACTACAATCACTGCGACAGCCTCAACACGAAATTAAAAATGTGCGTAGCCGTCGTCCTGACTATCCCTCTGAACGCGACGAAGAGCTAAGTAGCGTATCAAAGTCAGACAAGCAGACCTCAGTTGCCTTCGAAGGATACGGAAGTTAGGGTGAACGGAGAGGAGCCTGGACGCTGAGGTCCCGGAAGGGAAGGAAGCGCTCGGCATTTGTGCTATTTTGAAGCAGGTTCATTTTCACCTCGTGAGGATGACTAACGACTGACTGTCCAAGCAACTACTCTATGATGACATCCCTACGAGTGCTCGCAGACGAGAGGAACAAAGTCGGCGACAAAAACACTCTAAAATCCTCTCTTAAATACCCGCAAACCAACCATTGAACTTGAGAAGGCTTTGCACCACGACCAACATCGCCAGTTCCAAAAACTTGCCGGTCATTCCGCACTTTCATCTGACATTCTGGGTTGTCTTCGTTGGATACTTTCCGATCCACTACAGTGTCAAAAAGGTCTATTCACCACCCACATCACAAAAAACCGCCACCTCGAATATCAGCGCTGAAGACACTCTTCGTAGCTGCCCCCGATATAACACGGCGCTTCGGTCCCGATTGGGCCTGGTCAAACACCTTTGTATCCATGGAGTATCGGAAACGTCGCAAGGACACCCTCCACCAGCATTGAAGACACAGTGCCAACTTGTTTCTCTTGGGACCGCGCGTTTCAATCACGCGTCGGCTTGTCTGGTTTCTTGCGAGTCTACGGCAGTACAACTGCAGAACCAGGGCCTGCAACCCCGACTAACACGCCCTTTAATTTCCGTCTTGCCTGCCCATACTGTCCGAGAACATGCAAACAACGCGTTGACCTGCTTGGCCAAATGGCAAAACACAACAGTGATAGGAAAAATAACACAATTTCGGTCTGCCCTACACAGCCCTGTTGCACACGCACGCACACTAACGAACTGCTCTCGGGATTATTCGGTCACAGCCATGTACACGTCTAGGTCCAGTGGAATCTCGGTTGTTTCTTATACAACAACCATGTGCTGTAATTTGCCGGCGTTGTAATTACGGGCGCAACGACGTTTTTGAGAATATCCGCGTCAAATTTACGCAGAAAACTGTGTTTTCAGTTATTTCCGGTCACGTTGAGTAAGGGACCGAACTGCGCGTGACACATGTGGACAGAGGCTTTCACGCCAATTCAGCCACTATGCGCACTTTCATTATTAGTCGGCAATTTAGTACATGTCTCAGTATAAATTACCTGACATGCTTATAACTATAATGTTTTAAAATATTACTAACTGACGGAAAAAATCGACCCCGCTGAGGTCTTAGGGTCAAGTCAGAATACCTCCATCCCGCTGTGGCCTTTTTGACACTGTCATCCTTGTGGGATCTGCGACCCCCCCTATGCGGTCTGGTGCGTTCCGAGTTAGGGATTAAGTTACATGTGGCACGCGTACACGGGTTGTAGAGTTTTTTGGCCACTGGGCTCTCGCCCATCCTCGGTTTCCTTAACTTTATCTGTCCGCCTAAATGCGGTGTGTGTGTGTCCCAAACGGGCCACGTGTTAGATGCGCTGGACCAACACGGAGGGTCATATCGGATTCTGGTAGGCGTTCTCTTTGCGCAATAACAAATGCCAACATTTACGGGGTGCGCTGGCAGACCCTCTTGCCGGTAGTCGTCGCACAACTGGGGCCACTGCCATCACCCCATTGTTTTGTGCGTTAAAATCCTGACCATTTGTTGAGAAGACCAAGGTGTGTGGTAGAACGCCAAGGCGAGGATCTGTCCAAGCCATCAACCGGCAGCCTCCCTGATCTCTGGTCCTCTTGACATCGTCTTGACACCGGGCTTAGGCGGGGGAGGAGAAGAGAGTGTGGTAGATGAAGCGCAAGTCTACTGGCATTACAAACTCCTGTGCAAGTCACCGTCCCTGCTCCCACCACCCGCTGTGGGGCACACGGTGGACATCGTAGAAATCGACGGTCGAACTATCGTTTGTGCATGGGTGTGTGTGTGTAGAGAGTGAGTGTGGTAGACGCAGTGGAAGTCCGCTTGACTGCAAACAAAATCGAGCGTTGACCAAGACCGTGTGACCCTTCTTGCTGCAAAAATATCTAGTCTGAATTTTATGATCCACACACAGGACATTTCAGTCGTCTGTCTCTGCTGTAAATTTGTTTGCTTTACACAAGTTAATGTCCACAAATTGGGGAGGATAACGCTATCAGACGCATTCTAAATGCCTTTTCGTTGGCTGCTGCCCGTGTATGTTCGTTCCTCACTTCTATCACATATACTCCTCAAGCATGCACGGTTCTGCCAAAACACTATGCTAATAGATGTTTCTATTTTTCTATATGGCTGATGACTCTTAAAATTGACACGTCATCCATCTCTTTCTCTCTCATAGTTTTGCTATCAAAACCGCCATCTCGAACTCCGAAGCTCGTCGTCTCGCTACAAAAGTGGATATCCGAAGTGGTGTGAAACAGTTCAAGAAGTTAACCGGTGAGAACGAAAGGTTAAAGAAGGTGAGAGGTCATTTGAGCTGTATCTCAACCATAGAATGAAGACTAATTCTATCCTGATTTCTCAGCAAATATATTAATTGTGAATAGAAAAGGATTCCGCTGTTTGAGATCGGTCTCTGCGAATCGCCTTCCTTGTCCCCACACCCCAGAAATGTCTTGAAGTACTTCAAATTTCAAGACTGAATCGGCTGTACCTTAATTTTATGCACGTAATGTAAATTTTCGCTAACTAACGAGTAAATTTGCATTTTTTGTCAACTATTTTCCTCTGGCTGTGGAAAAGTACCTATTTTAGCGGCTCGCAGGACGTGGGAGGGACAGTGTGCAGATCATTATTCTTCCATACAGAAACAGGCCTACTATATTTTTAGACGTCCTTTCAGTTCGTCGGAAGGACATAGACAACAAACTCTTTAAGCAGTGTTCACCTGCCACAATATTCCGCCAGACAGTCTAAGAATTTCAAATTGCTTTGCAATTTATGTGCTCCAGGCAAAGGCAGAGCAGTTCTGATCTATAGTTAACAGTTGGAAATGAGGAAGTAGGCACGGCCGGAAAACGCGAGTCCTCAGCTGAGATTGAACTGGCTACCCTGTCGGACGGTGCAGGCTTTTTGCCTGCTTGAGTCTTCCAATTGTTTATAGTCTGCTACTTGACATAGTACAGATTGTACCACTCTCTAATGCGGAGATAAATACAGTAGGGGAGCTAATTAATGAAATCTCAACAGAAATTGCGAAATGCGTTTCCGTTTCGAAAAGATTAATCAAGTAGAATGTAAAACCAATCAGCGTGCAGCATAACCCCATAATAATTCAGTTACCCCTAGGCGCCGGCTCTCGAGCAAACGTCTTTTCGGCTGCATCCAAAAACCATACTCCGTAAAAACAATGACTAGTTAAGTAGCATGCATTTTTTCATTGATTTTCGGTGCCGTTAAAGATTAAATTATATTCCATAGAAAACATGCATGGAAATATTCATTCTTTTGCTGATTCAGTAGACAATTACGTCTTCTTTCAATTTTATACTCGAAGGAAGGGTATAATTCGGTTTTAAAAAGTTTCTGATTGTGAGATTTTTTAATACCGTGAAATGGCTCTTCATAAAACGTCCTGTCTCTGTATTAACCAATTTGGCTTGTAAAGATAACAACGTGATTCAAATTCACTGCTTAATCTTACGAACCCCATCTGGTCTCCTCTTAAAACGGTAGAGAAATGTATGGTTTTCCTTACGCAGAATATACGGCTTGTAGTTTTGGAATCCTGAATGCAAGTGTAACGCAGGTCGGGTTAAAAATTATTCGGGAATTGAAAAAGTCTTATAAAACCAAATTATACCCTTCCTTCGAGTATAAAATTGAAAATAGATATAATTGTCTACTGAATAAGCAAAAGAATGAATATTTTTATGCATGTGTTCTCTGAAATATAATCGAATCTTAAAGGGTATCGAAAGTCAATAAAAAAATTCATGCTACGTAAGTGGTCATTTTTATGGAGTATGTTTTTCTGGATGCAGCCGGAAAGGCGTTTGTTCGACAGCCGGCATCCTGAGGTAACTGAGTTATTATAGAATTATGCTGTGCGATGATTTGTCTTACAACCCTACTTAATTTATCTTTTGGAAACGAAAACGCATTTCGGAATTTCAGTTGACATTTCATGAGTTAGCCCACTTACTAATTCGAAACTTCCTTTACCTCTAAATCTTGATGGTCAAGTGAAACGCGAGTCTTTGTATGGATTACCACAGACAAAAGGCAGCGGAATAAGCAGAATCCAGTCTACGTTGCATTACTGTCGGGCAGAAGATACATCTGATTTCGTCCTACATACCTTAAATTTTGATTTCATTAAATTAAATGATGGGTGTTTTACTAAGCACCGGTTATAGTGGCGCTCTTCCTTTAAGTTTGCAACCTACACCGCAACTCTACAGCGTAGGCACATAAAAATACTCGATTTGGTAATTGTATTGGGAACCAGACGGTTCTATCTGCGACTTCCTTTCGATTTACAATACCTTCATAGTTGAAAATGTTCTATTCCACGCATGTAACTTTCGTGCAGGTGTGTGTACCGGTCTGGACGCATTTCTGTGCAGGCATCTGCGTCTATCCTTGATTACTTCTAAAATTCTACTGATGGTATTTCACCCACAGCATCGCACCTATTTAATAATGTTGTACTATTATGTTTGCGATGATAATGCTAAAGAAAATAAACTCGTCTTCTGCCTAATTTTGATATTTCAGCAACTGGCCGAGTTGACTGGGTTAAACAGCCAACTTTCGGCTATTTACCCACGGTAAACCGCAAAATCATACGAATCTCTCTCCAAGCACTCGTCCTTACAACCCTGCTTCCTGCAAACTAACCTCTTTTCTTCACCCTCATAACCACGCAGACATGGTTTCAGGGGTTGATTAACCTCGCAGTAACCCATAGGGCCTCTCATACTACAATGCACATTCCCCTGCTCTCTTAAATGCCACAGCTGACGTAGCTTCCTGTTGCAAGTTAATAAGTAGGATGGCAAATCCTGAATGCTCCTAATGCAACGGGTACGTGCCCCGAGAATTTGGTGTAACTGCTCTTCGGCCCACGGGTTCCTAGTGGGGTTACAATGCTCTTGCGAGTGGTGTGCGCCAATCTCTCCCTGATTGCGGTGTCTCTGTTGGTAAAGCTTCGCACTGCACGATGAATGAAGCACTATCTGCTTCATTCGTACTAACCTGCGTACATTTGGAGGTTTTTAAAGGGGTGACACAGGAGTACTGATATGACAACACAAACTTCAAGGAGAAGATGTATTCAGAGCCGCGTCTTGTTTTTAATCTGCAGCCTTGACACGCCCTGTTCAGGCTGAGGTTTTAAAAAGGGTGGGGTAAAGAAAGATTGGTTTGTACGAAAAAAACGATAGAAAGACAGTTGTCGATCTTTGCGATTTCTTAACTAACTTAAGACAAAGACTCTCAGTGTTCTCAGTCACCACCAGTTACGCAAGAGCTTAATCGAGTAACTGGAACATAAAACATGTGTCGTTCTATGAGACACGAGACACTGGCATACGTTTTTTCTCATTTGTGCTAGTCTGCCTAAATAGAAATCGTTCTAGTTTACGGACCATTCGGAGCGCTCGATGAATCGTCGAGTTAAAAAATTTTCCTTGTACAGTTCGAGAAACAAACCTCGATTTTCACTAAAAGTAATGATACCCTTCTGTGTTGGTCCATTTGCTGGGTCGACTGGGGTTTCAGCTCAGTTGACGTCGTTTTCTGCAAGTTATGCCAGAAAATTGGGTGTTGAAACCTCTGTTCACAACAGTATGCCCTGATAAATTGTAGAAGGCTGGAAACTTCTCTTGAAGTGAGGCACTCACGCATGCTTTATTATTTCATTTTCAAGATGTGATCTTCAGAAAGGCGGGCCACTTCGTCCTTCTTGTCCTATTCGTCACTTAATCTTCCAAAGGACAGTTTAACCATCGTGACCGACAGTGTCCATAGTAAGCTCCGCAGCAGGGTAAAAACGGAGACGGTGACTTGCGCGTGAATTGGTTTATAGTTAGAGTACGCTTGTGCAAAATTTACCGCACTCTCCTCCTCCCCACCTGCATCCAGTGTCAAGACAGTCAAAAGGACCGGAGGCGGGATAGGACGCAGGTGTGGCCGGCACGGCATAAATCCTCACCTAGGCGTAACGCCACCCCCTCCTGGTCCGCAATGCACACTGACCTAGATTCTGCGAACAACAAAAGACAAGGGATGGCGACTCAGATTTCAAAAAAGTAGCAGGAGCCATTGCGGCCTGACTCTCAGTCCACTAGCCCGCCGCTACACACAAACACGCACAAGGGCTGGCTGTGAGATCCTGGTTATCTCGTCAGTTAGCAGCCTTCTAAGCCACGGCTTTTAGCGCACCATGATAGCTCAAAGGGCGTCAGATTGTTTATAGGGAGGAAAGTGAGCTGAGACGTTGACCTCGCTCTCCGTCTCCACTCCCAGGCCCCAGCCGCTGTCCGAGCTGGTCAGACGTCTGGTGCGAAGAATGGGCGCAATAGCCGACAGAGCTGAAAACAGCCCGTCTGCGCATGCCACACACACGGAATGGCTCCCCAAACGCACGCACCAGGATTTCACACACACAAGAGGATAGAACGCTCGTGCCTCATATGTGGCAGAGGAACCACGTGGAGAAAGGAGTCGAAAAGCAGACTTCCCGTTTGCAGTAGAGGTGCCGGCGATGTGGAGTGTTGGAAATGTTTATACATGGTGCATGTGTTGATGAGGAAGTGCTCGGAAACGTGCTCATGCCTGCGTTGATTTGCCGTAGGTTTCCATGAATGCGCATGTGACAGAATTGACCCGTGCGATGACTGAATGTGCAGGGGCAGTGCGGGCAATTGAAGGCGTGGGATCTGGTGTGTCGGTGCTCTAGGCACTGATTCGCCAGTCTCTGTGCCATGGATTCGCCAGCGGTCGACGGGGCCGATACATGGGGTTAACGCGCAGTGACAGTTTGGGCACACACCTGCCACTTCCTCATACCTAGTTAGTAAGCAACCTTTGGTACACCATCAGGTGGACTTCCCTTGAGAATGAAGGTGGTAGGAAAACGTTCGGTGCATACTCTAGTGGCAGCGATCTTTCTCACCCTTCAGCAAATCACTTTTTGAGAATTTGACAGTATGTGAAACATCTAAGGTAGTTTGTAGCGTCTAAAACTGAAACCTCTTAGTAAGACTGAGGAAGAGTGAACGCTCACAGTAGGAGGATGTTCGCTTGAGACAGAAGTGATAGTGATATCTCAGAATTGTAGTGCCTGCTGTGATCTTGGAGATCTCAAATCCACTCAGTTTATTTGGGGTAAAAGGCAGAAGCCCTTGAAAATTCAATTAAAATGGGTAAGATGTGATAAACGCAACACTGTTGGGTTGGGGTCAGGGTAAGGGCCTGGGATTAGGGGTTACGGTTAGGGTTAGGGGTTGGGACAAATATTTCTCAACGACTCAGGTACAGCCGTGCTCTTCCACTAGCTTTTCTTTTGCATACAGGTACTTGACCTCGTTGCCTGTGCGCTCTCCAGCCCCATCTGTAAAAAACCCTATTACCACCTGTCCCGTATTACAGGTGGTTGGAATTTGTTTACTTCAGCCAGGGATACATAACCACATCTCAGCAAAAAAGATAAAAAAATAACTTTATTAAAAGAGGAGTGTTCGAATCCGTCTCATAGCAGAGGTTTGCTGATTGTTTGGTTTTCCCAATTCTCAAAATTTTGGTTATCAGTAGGTTTGCTTCTTTGCTAGTGGATATATAAACTAATAGGACTTCCCCAAGTATTACCAATTACAGGGCGCTTACCTTTTTGCACCAGTTACTTGTCGATTGGCAGTTGATAGTGACTTTTAAAATTCAAGCAATTCGAGGGGAACACTCCTATCGTATCCTGAAGAAAACCTAATTTTCGAGTAAAAGGTGTTGTAGACGCTGCAGAGCTACTAATAAGGTCCAGGACGTTAATGACGCTCTCAAAGCACTTCTTTCAAAGGCGCTCAGATGATAACCGGTAGAGCAGAACTAAACCTGAACTACACGGAGAGACTGACAATTTATCAGGTCCCAAAATAACCCCTAGTCCAAGTACCATAAAAACAGATCCACTTTTAGACCATTCAAAGTAGACGCTTCAAAAATCACTAGGATATCCTATTTGCTATTCTGCCGGTGAGTGGAGTGCATGTTTACCCAGGCTTCATTGACTTCATTAGAATGAGCAAGAGGAATGAAGAAGTGGGTTGTGCCCACTTGCACAAAAATGGCTTGGAATCAGTTTGCCGGCTGGTTGTCCTAATGACACAACCTGCGAAATGATCAACAGTTTTTCGCATGTAAACATTTATGCCTGTGTGAGACAGTTGTGCGTTGTGTAGCCTTCAGATTTAGCTATCTTCTTGGATGGTAGTCAGTCTATCGTGTCACATGGTAGAATGCTCCATAATCTTGTCTACACTAATGTGTTGAGTTCGTGAGTTAAAGAGAGAGAATGTGTGTGTGATTTAGCGAGAGACCTGCCCGCCGTAAACACCAAACCAGTCCGATCAATTTTGGCAGCAGCATCTTACGATGAGGGATTGTAGCGCACGCCTATTCAACGGGTAAATGGTGCAACGCGTCTATTAAAATCAAAGGGGGGGGGGTGAGCAGCACCAGAAGACTGTTGATATATTGTGGGCAACCACTAAGGACTCAGAACTACAAATCCCGCGCCAGGCGTTCGCGTATCGTGAGGATGAATATTAAGCCTCTTGACCAAAAGTAGGATTCGCGTAGGTATCCCATCGAATGGCCAAACGCCTAATTTCCCGTCCTCTTAGTGAAGACTTGACAGCTACACTCCTCGAAGGATAGATCTTTTCGGCGCCTTCTAAAAAACAAGATTTCGTGTCACTGAAACCTCCCTAGACGAAGGAGGGTTAACTAGGAGTCAAAAATACCATACTAAGACTCCTCACAGAGCGGTTATTACGGAGAACGAGACCCTCAAAGTCGCTTTTTTACTGCGATTTTCCCGCTCCTTCGCAGTCTAACTTCCCGAGTTTGCTTCTGCTGACCTGCCTTTTGCTTATTCATGGGGTCATTGCGATTAAAGGAGTTTCGTTTATCTCATTCGTTTCGATTTGACAAAATTTCCACCCTCCCCGGACTTCAGGCTGGACGACGCAGAACGCCTGGAACAGAGGACGACGGAGATGCTGTCCGATCAGATACGTCGAGTGGATGATGCAAAAGCGAAACTGAAGACCCTGACTGAGATAGTAAGCATTTTAATATTGTCGAACGTGCTTGCAGCAATTAGGAAGCCTTCTAAAATAGTCTTACTGAATTTGCACTCTAGGTCTAACTAGATTCTTTCGAGTGTGTTAAATTTGCAACAGGCTTGAGCATGATTTCTGATTTGTTTTAGGGGTAAGATATGGTTATGTAGCCCCACCTGGAGGACACAGTATTGCTGGGGTTGGGGTTAGGAGTTATTGTTAGGGATAAGGGTCAAGGCTAGGATAAGGACAACTAATTATCAATCCCTCACAGTACAACCGCGCATTCCCAATAGCTTTTATTTTGCATACAACTACTTGACCTCTTTGTCTGTGTGTTCCCCGGCTCCACCTGTAAAAACCCCTATTATCAACGGACACGTATTTGAGGTTGCTGGGTTCGTTTACTTCAGGTGGGGCTACATAACCGCATCTGACCGTTTTAGGCATTTTATGAGTTTCGTCTCGTCAGGGCAAAGTAGCTACGGTGAGAGCCTTTTAGCCTTCTCGGAGCTCCCCTCCAACGCCTAGACTGCCTGTTGGACTAGAGTTAGCAAAGGCTCATGCTGTAGTTATAGTATATGGGACTGCGGATGACAAAATAGACAAGTAACAACGAACAGATTTGGAGCTTTGGGAGTTTTTTTTTCTAGGGGACTGAGGCGTCTAAGTTTACAGGAAGTTTATGGGAGCGGACAAATAGCGTAATAAAATAGTTTTAGATTAAAAATTTGCTATTGGATGAAGGACTTGTTCAGAAGCACTGCCGACGAGTAGGATCAAAATTGGAACGATCACTTTTGGTCCATTTAATCGCACCAACCGGCCATTCCACGTCTTCTGATTGGGACGGCGTATATGATTTGAAACACCAACCAGTTTATCACTGAGCCGGAAACCGCCAAGTCACAGGCTCACACCACGTCGGCTGTTATTGCTGATATTCAAGGTCACCTAACAATTTCAGTTTCGCTTGTATTTACCAGTACAACTTCACTACTAGCTGTTTTTTTACCTCCACGCGACCATCCGTAAGAGATCAAAACAAAATCTTCTCTAAGGGTAAACTGGAACGTTCACATCCCTTCCCACAATTAGCTAGAATGGTGACTGTCATTCTCACATGGCTTTAAATGGCACGTCACGCCAGCCAAACTCTACTAGGGTCCTAGGCAGGTTTACCAGATCGATTAAACACTTGGTGATGCGACACTAAAGACGTGTGCAGTGCTATTCTCGGAAATTTTCTTTCACACGGTCTGCACTAAGCTGGAGGAGAGCGTGTAGATCTTTACATAAGTCCAATTGCGTACACTTGTATGTGTTTTTCTTCAAGCATGCGGAAGAGGAGAAGAGTCAGCTTGATCTGGTTCTGCAAATTGAGCAGGAGAAAGAGGAGTATGAACGCCGGCTTATGGAGACCAAGCAAACCTTGGCTCGTCTTCACCGACAGACTTTTTTTACAGCCAGTGGTACAAGACCGCGAGTGCACTTCGAAACTGGTAAGCTTTCTTTGAGTGGGAAAAAGAAAACTGATTACTGTCTGTAGCGGCAGTTGTTGGCCAATGTCGTGGTTGCAAATTACAATCCTCTTAGTATTTTCCTCCTGATGCTACAACAACCGTGTTCGGCCCTTAGCTTGCTGGCCATAAAATGAAATAACTATGGCAGTGTCAGTATACCTTACCTTTATCCAAAGTTCATTCGCAGACTCATCAGAAATTGGTGAGCTTAACTTCCTATAACAGTGTAGCATTTCGTCTAACAGGAATGGAATGGGTAGTATCAAGGATAATCTCCCCTTTTCAGTAGATTATCGTTGCCAAAGCAGAAGGCGTGCCATACGCTTGCACCTCTGCTGCACTTTCCGATTAAATTATTTGCAAATTACGCGTCCATGACTAGAAATGGGGATGATCTAAGGGTACAGAGTGCATAACCCTGTCTTGGTAAATGACTAGGGTGGTCGTATGGAAATGGGATACAGAAGAACCGATGTGCACTTAAGTCAGACCGACACCAATGCAATTCTTGAACAGAACTCTAAAGGGATAAAAGCGCGGGACAGAGGAGGGAGTTGCGCGCGACGGTCTCCCTGTTGGTTCACCACCCTTCGAATGATTGGGACTTCTGTCAGTCGGGGAGAAGACTGTTCGGTCGTCGGAGCCAGTTCTTTTTTTGTCAGATTTTGAACTCCTGCAGGAGTCCATTGTCAGACGTGAAAGCGGTAACGGAACAAGCAACAGGTGTAGGGGATGTGAGTCCAACAAACGTCAGTGACTCAGGTCTGGAGGTGAATGCGCAGGGCTCTGTATGTCGGCGCCAGATCGATACGTCGATTGACTGAATCCTCACTCGAGGCCCAGGCTTCAATCGATTCGCGGTTTGTCCTACTGCTGGCGTTGGCTGTTATCTTCGAGGGTTCGAAGTTAAATTCATGATCCCTTTCGGTGTGGGCAGCCACTCATGGTAATCCGTCACCTCGTTGCACAGCCAGCTCATGTTCGGGTATGCGTAATCCGAGCATGCGCTCAGTCTGACCTCTGTAATTACAAAGACAGGCACGGGATACACCCACTGTTCATTGGGATCCAATCGGTCCTTGGTTTTCATTATCTTGCCGCGCATGCTAGATTTGCGCCGGTCTACAATCCCAACACCTAGTCCGACAGCAATGCGCTCAGTCACCTCTGACGCATTATTGATGCATGGCAGCACACATCATACCCTAGGTGCTGGTTTTGATTGGGTCCTCCGGAGACGAACACGTAAGCATCGACTTCTGGACGCCTTCGGATAGCTGTTCCGCATAACATGGTCGCGGGGGCCTCGCGTGCTTTTTTCCCGGTTTGCTGCAATGAGTATAGATCCGTTTGGAGAATGTTTTCCCACAGCTTCCTTTGTGAGCCAGCGAATGTTTGCTGTATAAACTGGGAAGTTGCATGGTGTTTGCTGCCTTCCTGTAAACCGTTGTTTTATTTCGCCGCCGTAACTTAGTCTGATGAGCACATCAAGAAAGGGCAGCTACTGCTCCCTTTCTTCCCTTGTGAATTGCACATCTGGGAATATTGAGTCAAACAGAGTAGAAATATCCCCGAATGTTTTTTCCTGACGATAACTAACGTGTTGTCAAAGCAACGTCAGTCTTTTCTTGCACTTCCCAGGACTGGTTACACCAATAAACCAGAGATTGGGGAACCCATTGTAGTTCCCTTCATCCGCTCAAAGGATTCTTTCGCAAAGGCGGAGTAAGTCTTTCTGCAAAATTCAAACAGCCTCATGAGGGGATAATTTTGGAGCGGGCTCTGAGTTTCGTCGCATGTCTCCTTAGGTTTCTAGTGCAAGACTTCTTGGACAAAACTTAGCTGGGTCGATGTGAATAACGACGTCATATTGAGAGAGACCATAATTTCGTCCACTTGAATCCTCCGACCTCGGAGGTCTACAAGGAATTGGGGGGCTGATCAGACTGAGTGAATCGAATTTCACGAATGAAGGCGAAATTTCGAGTTCCAGGTGGATGCATAAGTGAAGAAGAGGAGTCGAGCACCGGAACACTTCGTTTATTATCCTTCTTGATGACAGAGAATTTTACAGACCAGCACAGAAGTCAGAAGCCAAAGCAGTGGCAGCTCGGCTGAGTAAACTGCTTAGAGAATACCGACATAAAAATGTGATCACGGAGAATGAATGACACCAAATGAGGGCAACTGACACCGCTTTAGCCTGATTCTATGGTCTGCCAAAAATCCATAAAGCAAATGTCCCACTTCGGCCAATCGTTGCCCTAAAAGGCAGCCCCACACACAATTTGGCAAAGTGGATGTACTCAAAACTGAAGTTCCTCCAAGGCAATTCGACTACCTCAGTTCGATCAGCCTCGCAATTCCTCATAGACCTCCGAGGTCGGAGAATTCAATCGGACGAAATCATGGTCTCCTTCGATGTGACGTCGTTATTCATATCCATCCCACCAAACGTGGCCCGCAAAGTCTTGCGCAAGAGACTTGAAGAGGCGTACGATGAGACTCCGAATGCCCTCAAAACTGAACACCTCATGATGCTGTTTGGATTCTGCCAACAAACTTTCTTCAGTTTTGCGGGAGGGACCTATGAACAAATCAAGGGAACCCCAATGGGCTCACCGTTCTCCGGTTTGGTGGCAAAACTGGTCCTACAGGAGTTAGAAAAGATTGCCTTCCTCCAACACGAACCGGTGTTTTGGCGCCGTTACGTTGACGACTCGTCCGTCATCGTAAAGAAGGACATGCTGCAACATTTCCACAGCCTGCTCAACGCAGTCTTCCCGGATATAAAATTCACGAGGGAAGAAAAACAGGAGCAGCAGTTGCCCTTCCTGGATGTGCTCGTCAGACGAAACCTTAACCGTGGACTTGAAACGACGGCTTATAGGAAGGCAACGAACACCACACAGCTTCTCAGCTTTCACAGCATCCATCCGGTGGCTCACAAACGAAGCTGTGTGAAGACGCTCTTCAAACGGATCCAAACTCATTGCAGCAAACCGGAGGACAGAGCACGTGAGGCTCGTTATCTCCGCGACCAGTTTGTGCAAAATGGCTATCCGAGGGCATTCATAAGTCGCTGCCTACGCGGTCGCCACCAGAGAACTCGAACATCAACGCCACCGACGATATGGCATTCTCTGCCATACATCAAGCGTGTTTCAGAAGCGACCGAGCGCATTGCTGCGGAGCTAGGTGTTGGAATTGCACACCGCCCCAAAGTCACCATGCGCAGCAGGGTCATGAAAATCAAAGACCAGTTAAAACCTGAAGAGAAATCTGGAGTAGTGTATCGCATCCCGTGTCAAAATTGTCCTTGTAACTACACAGGACAGACTGGACGCATGCTCGGATCGCGCATACACGAACATAAACTGGCTGTGTGGCGAGGCGACGCATTATCACAAGTGACCGCCCACACCTACGAAATGGGTCACGAGTTTGACGTCGCAGCCACCAAAATAGTCGCCCACGCCGGAAACAAAACAGGCCGAGAATTGATTGAAGCCTGGGCCTCGGATGAGAACTCGGTCAATCGATTTATCGATCTGGCGCCGGCGTACAGAGCCCTGCGTAGTTACCTCCAGTCGTGCGACGTCGGTCGATGATTGGGCCTACGTGCCTTATAACTGCCGCTTGTCCTGTTTCTGCCACTACCTCTAACGATGGACTCCTGTACGAGTCTAAAAGCTCAGGATAATAAACGAAGTGTTCCGGTGCCCGACTCCTCTTCTTCACTTATGGATCGAATTTCCTTGGAGGAACTTTAGTTTTGAGTGCATTCATTTTGCCAAATTGTAGGTGGGACTGACTTTTCGGGCAACGATTGCCCGCAGTGGAACACATGGTTTATGATTACGACTTCGGTAGCCGCATCCTGTTGAATAGATCTTTATGATTACTCCGCATAACTATCTACTGTAATCTTTTGAGTAGACACGTTTTCCAAAATATACAATGAGACGCATTAGGCCAGGAAACGCAAGCCGAAGCGGTTATACGAGCATGGTCGCGAGAAGACTTCCGGAATCCTACGTTCAGGCACATTAACTGGACCGCAGGCAGATGATTTCTAGAGGATCATTCTGTCTACCATCAGGGTTCTAAGATAGATCGATTGATTCTTCATAGACGAGTTGCTTCATCTACCTTGGATTTACCATCAGGGCGAAATCGAGTTTACCCGGGAGAGACGCCGACAGCTGAGAGGTTTACAGTAGAGAAGGCGTTTACCGATATCTTTTTATTGCTCGTTTGGTGTCTGATACAGCAATTTCGATCCCATCATCAGAGATTTGCAGATTCAGCGTGCCGCCAGCAATATAAGGTCGCAAGTTGGGACGTGCTGCTCTATCCGTCCTTTATACAATCAATGTCGACTTCGCTAGACGATGCGTCAAAGAAACTGGTTTCTAAGGATCTAACTATTAAAATACAGTTGTGAAGAATGCAAATACCCTGGGTAACCAGTTGCAGCATACATATAAATAAATGAACGGCATCTGACAGTGCCCGGGTTAGACTCGAAGTCACTGCTAGCATCGTATGCTGTCTAGGTTGGCCATAAGTCCAACCTCGACTCAGTAAAAATCATAGGACGGGTAATAATTACACAGAAAGCGTGACAGGATGCGGTGATGTCTAAAGACCGGTCATGCGATCTTCATGTCGACCTGCCGTTAATGCGCGGCCTTAAGCATTCGCCTAAGATGAGTTCGTATGTCCAGGCAAGATGGCAGACAACAAGCGCAGACATTACTGACCAATTTATCTGCAAATGTCTCTGATGATGGATTCGAGTGAGAATCCGAAACGTCAGGCCAATAAATTTCTTGTTCCAGTGATCACATCTCCGTCTTCTGACCAATTTTCATTTGGCACTAGGCAATCAAAGCGTATGTGCTGGCCGGAATCCTCAGTACAGCCGTTGCATTAGACCACCTATTTTCTGGTGATTGAGAACCGACATTATTTTTTGAAACTTCAGATGCACCATCAGCCTGTTATACTTCCAAGGCGTCCAATTTTTACCACTGCCAGAAGTTAGCTTATCCTGTGTAGAATATTTGTGTTGAATTCCTGGCAAAAGAGGTTGGCGGTTGATTCCCTACCAAGTCATTATGCGTGGATGCGTGTGTCGGCTCTTTGGGCGAGTCAATCAAAATGTCAATTGAACCGCAGCAGGGTATTGCTAACTGTTTTGTATCGCCGATACGTGAATATTTGTGATTGGATGACCCCAAATTGTTATGCTCCGTAGTTCGCGTGCGTGGAACGTGCTTATGTGTCTGCTTTACAAACAAAAAATGTTTACGCACGAGCGGGTGCATGCTGTTACATGAAAGAACCAGCCATGCTGTTCGCCGGGCGGTGTCTACAGGGCTACGGTAAACAAGACGACCTCTAATGCAATCACTTCGTTTAGCTTATTAGAAGTGACCTTCCTTAACCCTTTCCAGCCCACGATCATTTCTTCCTTTCAGAAACAGTACAACAAGAGGGAACGCGGCTCGAACTCGGGTATCGGCGGTAGAGTTTTTGATCTCCAATGCACAAACGCATAGTTACTCCCTGGACATGCAGGCCGTATTATTATTAGACTGGTAAAAAACAGGTGCATGGAGTGGGAGACTTTATGAACACCACTGTGCAGCTCCTCTCAAAAATCATGAAGTAATAAGTCCACGCCAGCGCGTCAAATGTTATTCAACAGACTTAACTCCTACCACTGACAGTTAGGGCAGCTTCCTTAGGAGCTTGCGGGGCGACCGTCAGTTTGTTCGTTCCAAGTCTTCAAAAATGAACAACAGTTCCACTTGTTTGAGAAATCAGACAGTGGAGAAAGCAATTTCGGTAATATTTTGGGACTTCTCTGAAAGTACTAAGTTAAGGGTTATGATTAATGTTGACTCTCGGCAGGCTTGTGATTTAGGTGACGTGAAAACTTCACCTAGCGGGGTGGCATTTGACAGAAGAGCTTGGTACTTCTGCCAATGGACTCAAAAAGCAGAAAGGCGCTTAAGAACCGTATCTTGGCTGGCTTTTCACGAGACAGAAATTTACGACTTTGATAATCATGATATTCTCTATCTTAAAAACCTGGACTCAACAGTAACCATGGAGGTACGCATATTTAACATGTGTTTGACAGAAACCTTCGTCTGCAGTTTGCATAATATCTCTAGAATAGTGACAGTTGCCTACCACATAAGATACTATAAAACAGTTGGAATGGAAGACCCCTATACCTTTCTCCAAGAACTTTTCTGCTTGGTGCATCGGTTGGCTGGAAGAATTTTTCGCCACCAGCGACCTTTTTTCTCACATTTACGGGATTGTTGTTTGTCCCCAGAAAGCGAACTCGGCTGCAGCGATGCTGCTCACTCGGACGACCTTGAGACGGACGCGGATCCAGAGGTTACCTTTGGAAAGCGTTGTGCCTTCTACTGTCAAGAGATCACGCGTCTCAGGCAACGTACCAGCTGGCTGGAGGAGAATCTTCGGGAAGTAGCCACCCAGAAGGTCACACCAGCGCGTCTCAATGCCATCAAGGCCATGCTGCGAACATCACAACAGCAACAACAACAACAACAACCAAACTCGTACGTTGATCCCCGAATGCTTCCTTCACCAAAGTAGACCAGACTGACCACTTGACAGTTTTTTCGTCGTTTCCCACGATGTCCACTTGGCGCTGCACATCAAGGTGGGAGCAAGGACAGTGACTTGCGTGCGATTTGGCTTATAATGACAGTGGACTTGCGATGCACCCACCTCACTCTCTCCTGCTCTGTCACCTGGGCCCGGTCTCATGGCAGGGTCAAGAAGACCGGAGGCGAACTAGGACGCAGGTGGCTGGCGCGACAAAAACCCTTTGCGTGTGCTACCACAGCAGTTCGGATTCCATTGAGTAAGGGCGTCATAGAGGCCACATTAAGAAGGAGCCATGCATTCTGATCCTCAGTCCATCAGTTCACCACTCTACACAAACACGCATTGGGCTGGTCGCGAGGTCCGAGTTCTCCCGCTAATTTCCAGCCTTTCAAGACGCGGCTTCTAGCGCACTGTGATAGTCTCCAACGCTCCGAATTGTTTGTAGCGAGGAGTTACGGCCTCACTTACTTCACCCTATGCCGTGCACCAGTCGGCTGTCCGCACCGGTCAATCGACTGATGTTGAGGTTGGCAGAGGTGACTGGCAGAGCTGAGAACAGCTCGTCTGAACGTGCCACAGACACGACCCGACTCCGCTTACGCGCACACTAAGACGTCACATAGAAGGGGGGTAGGCAGCTCGGATCTCACATGTAGCAGAGAAGCCATACGCAGCAAGAGGCTAAAGAGCACAGTTCACACTTACATGAAGGCTGTCGGTGATGTGGGATGTTAGAGATGTTCATGTGTGGTGGCTGATGACAGACACCACAGTTCAGCACTGACGTTTATCCACCTCACTATACCCAGTTTGTAAGTGACTCCTTGTTTTTACTGCATAAAGGACCCCTGTCGAGCTCCAGTCTGCAGTTTAAAATGCAACCGCCTAGATGGGTGTGTCCGCATTAGCAGAAGCCTCGGCGGAGACCTCTTGGAAGGATAGGCTGAAGGCTGTAAAACGCTCTTAACCATTGCAGATATAGATATCATGGTTCTTGGTCGCTGGTTATTTAGTCGACAAGTCCAGTGAGTGTAACGTACGCGTCAATTTTCAAATTCTCACATATTTCTGTCATAACATTCACGACCCTATTTAGTTCTTCAAAAGAAACAGCGAGGGAGTATTGTGTTCTGAAATCAGGTCACATTGTCGCGTTTTGCAGCCTCTTTGGGACTCACAATGCAGAAAATTCGTGCAAAGTACACACCCCATTCCTTTACACGGTCGAAGCTTTCCCAAAGTTTGCTCCGAAAACTTGTTCTTTCTACTTCCGCCATTTGTCAAATTGTTTATAAGTCAGCCAAGTGTAGGGCACTTTGTGCCTATATCGTCCTCCGAGCGTCACCCCCATGTTGTTTCGCAATGGACAGCATTTAGAGCCTGTCTAGCGACACTGATTCATTTCTATTTTACAAGCAGAATCCCTCCCTCGACTGTGCACCCGGCGCTCTTCTATTTGTCTGCTCATTTTAACGGCACATTCGTTGTCATTACAAAAATCATATTTAGCACTTAAGAGGATACTAGATGCAATCGTCCCAAACGTTCAGTGAGGGTGGAAACTGGGAGTCAATACTATCTCTCTGACTTCCTGCGTTCAGGTGGGAAAACTACAAACAGATGACCGGGTTACCTTCGGAAAGGGCGTTCGGATGAAAACGACTAGATGCGATAAGTTGCTTCAGCCTGTTTCCACTTGTCCGTGCATCCACCTCCTTTTCACAACTCCTGTCCTATCCTTCCGACACATGGGGTCACAACCCTGACCATCGTTTAAGCAAAATCGATCACCGTTTTTGTCCTTTTCATACTTGGGGGTTTTAACTTGCCAGTCAGACCTTCCATGCTGGGCTTCAGCCAATGTGAGCTGATGCTTGAAGATCTTGATACTTCTCACTCTCTAGGGGTGTCATCCGCCGTACGAAGAGGGGCAATTCGCAGGCCCGTCCTCTGAGTATGACCGCCATTGATCTACCAATGAGGAGACTCCAGCTCGGCAAGGTCTCTGACAATCGCCAGCATGGTCAGTGTAAACTCGATCGATCGGTCTCAGAGGTGACTGTTCGCAAGTTTCAACCTCCAGTTCGGAGACCGGCAGTTCCTCCTTCGACGGCGTCGGACCGACTTGTCCGCTCTAAGAGTTTTCAGGAGTATCGGCGTGACGCTACCGCCGCCGCATCTAACAACACAAGATATGAAACGGGGACTTTGCCTCATCGTTCAATCTTTCGGCCACCCGCGACCAATCGCAATACTTTCTCAGCATTTCGCTCTACAAAGGTTCGACCACGTTCAGACCATGACCTCTGACTAGAACATTGTGACTGCACTTGTTTAATGTAAATTTACTTCTCTCATGTTTCCGCTATGTGTGACAATTAAAGCAGACAGTTTTTTGAGTTTATTCTGTGGGTATTTGCGATTCCTTTTTTTCTTGTAGCCTTTCCTCCGGCCGAACTGGGGTTGCATGAACTAGTTATGGGAATCTCACGGCGTGCGCCTACACGTAATGCTAAGGCACCTCTTGTGGTCGAATAAATGGTAAGAAGAGTTTGCCGTTGTCTGTTCCGGAAATGAAACTCGGAATCCTGGAAATAACTGCCCATACTTCTAAGTTTGGCACAAACACAAGCCAGTAAAGGGGGTCACCGGGTACCGAATTAGAATCTTCTGCATAACTAATTTACCCTAGTAGTTCTTACGCACGATCGCAAGGTAGGAAGCTTTGTAGTCTTCACAAAAGCCTAACCATCGCAAAGTGTTGGTAAGGATAGGGTATGTAGCCCCCCTGGGCGATTTTTCAAACATTCACCTTATCATATCTAGGTGGGTGTGATGTGGCCCCAAGGCACAACGGGACGAGTGGGTTCCGTAGTGCGATCCGTGAGCGCCCGCTATAATTGTCAATATACCCGATCGCAACCGACATGACAACGGGCCCCTGGCTCTGGGATTAGGGCATTGGATTTCTAACCAGCAGGTCTCAAAATTGGGCCCCAGGGCTTGCAACCTCAGGATTAGGCATGGCTGGCTAACGACGGCTAGTAAACCAGAAATGGGTACTCCAGTCTGCCCTGTCTTTGTCGGTAATGTTTTTCGGTGGTTTATAATGGTTTGCCTGACAAAAGGTCGGCAGATGGATCACGTGGTATGTGGATTTTGATCTTTACTAGTGTCATTGACATCAAAGTAACCCGGATCGGGCTGAAGGTTAGGGTAAGGGACACGGTCGGAGTTAAGGTTAGTATTATGATTTGGGTTATTCCCAGGGCAGAGGTTGTCAGGCTTGGATTATGGTCTGGATTTGCAGTTGAGGCTAGGGCTGAGGTTTAGAACTAGGGTTAGGTACTTGGGTTAAGGTTTTAGGGCTTTGTTTAGGGATTCGAGGCCTAGGGTTTAGGTTGTGGTTACGCTCGAGTTTCCCTTAAATGCTTACGAGTTAAGGGTTAGGGTTACCCATTACGGCCATCGTCATGGTTGGCGTTAGGGCCATAGCCAACTACGGTTTTCCCAGGGGGGGGGGGGTGACATACCATACTTTTGCCGAAGTGCTTTGTGGGGTTCTTTATCATCGGCCGCCTTCGCATCGGACTTCTAGTAGAATCTTTTCGCAGGCTGAACCTTGTCAAAGTGCAGTCTTCCCAACGATCAGAGGGTCTTTTCCTTTGGGTATTTTAAATTGGCGTACGTTAATGACGGAATGATGGGAGACTGGAATGGCAGTTTTTAGTTCATTCTTTTCTGTTATCAGGATTGGTCAGTCAGCTGCCCCTCCCCCGTGTGACTGAATACTTCCAATCGCAGTCAGCGACCAAAAAGGGAAACCTTCGGGCCCTAGTCATAGCCGTCTGTCCATGGCAAATAATTCAGGAGCGGTGACTCCTGTCTCCCTGCCTTTCTGACTGTTGCTTGCCTGTCCCTATTAGGCCCGTGAGTGCTCTGTACCATACTCGCAGTATTTTGCCAAGTAATCAGGTTAGATCGGTGAATAGCACTGTTACGTGGACCTTGTTATACTGTTTAAAAATTTGCAATGAATTTATAATGCTCCAGATCGGATCCGAGGTCAATAATGGCATGGGTCGATCCATGGGTAGTGGGGAATGCTGAATTCAAGCAGTTCCTACAAGAGCAACTGGGCAGTGCTTTGATGACCTACTGTTGTTCACTGCCAAATTCATTCTCCCTTTCCTGATTCCCGGGAATCGAAGATAGGAGATTTCATAGAAGGAAATGAAAGAAACTGAGGAGGTACGCTGGGCCCCGAGTGGCAAGGGAAACTCCAGACTTATTGTACAAATCAGTAAAGTGGACTTTAGGGGAGTAGCTCCGAGTTAGCTGGTTCCACGAAGACCACATGAAAAAAAAAGACTGAACCTCAGATAAAAAAGGCCCGCTTGATCCTTATTCTTGTTGCGTTAGGACTGCCAGGACAGGTGCTCAAAAGTATCAAACTGAAGTCTGCAATTCTTAAAGTATCAGACACTCGAGCTTGTCGGCAACATCAAAGGACTAGAAGCAAGTTAATCCACACGAAGTGTCTGAAGTGCTCACCATTCGCGCCAGGTGCCTACCCAGAAGCCCGGCAGAGAAATTAATCAGATTAGACAGTGGATTCGCCTCGCGAGTTAGATGAAGTGATAGCGCTTGTCCACACAATCGACAAGGGTCCCTTGTGTCTCACATGATAGAGCATCCGACGCGATTCGATACCGTCCGAGGATGTAGGTTTTTGTAGCAGTGCGGGTGCAAGTACTGCGCGTTCAGTTCCGATAGGCTACTCGTGTTCATCCCAGAACGGGGCATGAATCACGTGGCAGTATCGTGCACCAGTTTTAGAACTGAAATGGACGTGTCTGTCTCAGATTGGAATTGAAAGTTCACAGTCCACGCTGGTGGCCGCATTGCGACTCGCAATCAGTACTCAGAAACACTACTTACAAAGACAAGGGCCACGAAAATGTCCATTTATAGCTTATTTTCCACTAACAGCCAGTAAGATCCCAACTCTGGGCCGCGCATGGAGGTTTGCATCCGGGTCGGTTGATTATTGAGTAACGTCTCCAACACTGCAACACAGGCTTATGCCATTTCAGCTGGGATCGGGAATGTTTAGACAAGTGGGGGTTGGTGTGCGCAGATCGGGTAGTGACTAGCGGAGGAAAGTCAGCTTCAAACTGTCGTTTCGGTCTCCTTAACTTTTATCTATATTTTCTACTGTTAAGTGGCATTCAGGACGCATTCTGTCAACTCTACTAAGAACTTGTTGAGGAAATTTGGAAGGTTAAGCCACGACACCACTAGGACATAAATCATTTACTTAAACACGTGGAATCGGACTGTTCGAAAGATGACGTTGAAAGCTATTTTTGGCGGGATTTAGATCGCGAAATGGATCGTTACTCACGGTCGTTTGTTCATCTGGCAAACTCAACTACGGAGGAACTGGTGCGGCAGATGAAGGTGATACGCTCCAAGTCGTGCTCTTTCATTGTCTCAGATTATGGGTTTCCACATGCGTAAAAAGCCCAGACAGTTAAAGCAGCGATTACAGCGTTCGACTGGCCTCAAATTTCGTCCTCTTAAGAAATTTCCTGTATGCCAAATCAAAGGCTCTCAAGCTTATTTTTTGTCCTGCGACACACTCGACAGGGCAAATCGTCCAAAATCCCAAAAGTCACAACCTCCCCCTGCCTCCACGCCGATGTCAAACGCTTTTGCCGCTCCGGGGCTTGAGCCACTTGTGACCACGTGCGCACTAATCCGCCAGCCAATGGCAGGCATGCAAAAATGGGTTCAGTGGCTAACGCTGGCATGCATGTCATCACCCGTTATCTGTTTTTATGAAAGGAATCTTACGGGAGAGTGAAATGCTGGGTTTGTTCCGCGACACACAGTTTAGCATACATCGTTCTATGCGGTCAGCTCGGCTATGCACTTTGATGATCACGTCGCCTACACAAAAAATATTCCCAGTAAATGTGTTCTGGATAACGGAAACATGCAAAGTTCTAATTATGTGAAGCTCAAATGACGGACAAAAAAGGGAACTAAATGTTAACCTCATAATATCGAAAACATAAAGGGAGATTAAAAAAGGAGATAAATCCTAAATTAGGATACTGTCATCGAATCACGGCTCAATGAGTTGATTGAAGTGGACCATCCTTTTCTTGGAGCCTACCTGAAGAACCAGGTATTCGTCGTGCAACCGTTTTAGTAGCGCTGGAGCGTAATACGGTGGAAGGGGTCGGGGATGTTTGCACACAAGGACGCCGTGTCGTCCCGGTGCCCCGGGTTTGCAGGTGTCACGTCTCGTCTTTAAAACAGGCAACTGCGTGTTAACTGTGGCCGAAATGTTTTCCTGCTTTTTCACCTCCGATCCAACCGTAGTTGACTGTTCTTCAGTGTTGGTTCTCGAAGTGCAGGGCTGCAGGAACTGGGAGGAGGTCTGTCTCACTGTCCCTTCTGAGGATTTGATATTCCCGAAGTCAGCTGGAGGCTCCTGCGTTGTGGTTTTCTTCTCCAAATCACTGTCAAAGCGCTCTTCTTTATCATTATGTAACTTCGCACTGTCTCCTGTCACGGTGATTGAGGTGATTGGCAGGCCATCGGTAGTAAACGTCTTACCTTTTTGTTCTGTTCTCGTTTTGTGGAGTTCGGCGATCGTGTCCACCTGAGCTGTATATAACTGAACTGTGTTGACCGTCCGCGCAATGCATAAGTTATCGGTCCGGTGGATGGTTGAAAGTGGACAAAAATTCGGATTGTGCTTCAGCTGTTCTCGTGGCTCGGAAGCGAGGTCTCCCGACAGACGTGCCTGCATTTCCACCGATCCCCCCAGAATGCGAGATCACGTGTTTCTGCTATGACGTGACTGGCCAATAAACAACACCTTATTTTGAATGGCTACTGATCAATAGCACAACATTTATTCGACATATTTCAACAGATTTTTCAAGAATAGAAGTGCATTTGGTAAGACCATGACAGGAGAGAAGGACAGCGATGAAACAACGAAGGAAAGAAAGGAATGAAGAGGAAGAGAGAGACAGGAATACGCCCTATTTTGGAAGGATCATTCCAAAAGTGTCTGTCAGAATACAAATTTATAGATGAGGAGGGAGTAAATAGCTTTGCATAAAACTATACAACTATCATGGGGACAGTACGAGTGCCAGTTTCTGTATTTCCGAACTCTACACGCTGGACATCGCGTCAGAAATGGAACTACCGCACGTTGATATCGCCGATTTACGGCAGTTAATATACCGGAAGCCCCGGCGCATGGGGCGGAATGACTTCGCAACAGTTAAGTCAGAGTGGAGGGGACGGACAACATCATCGAGAATTCGGCCGAAAAATTGCCTGACCATAATTAAATCCCGTTATATCAAGATATCAGATAAGAAGACATAAGAAACATCGGCAGCAGAAGAGAGCATTCGGATGACACGTTTTAAACTGGGCATATCTTTTTAAAGCAAGGACGAAAAAGTAGCCGGTGAAAGATAAAGAAGGAGAAGGAAAATGTTGGCATCTTTAAATCTCCAGATTAGGGCTGAGGTGTGCGTGTGTGTCAGGAGGGTTAAAATCGAACGCAATAAACGTGTTTGCTAATTTTTCTTAAAAGGGTTTCAGTGTGAAGTGAGAACGAGAGACGTAACGACAGAGTATCACCAAGGTACCGGAAAGGTGACACCTAACTTGGAAGAATGTTAAAGTAGTCAGAAATAGGAGAGGTTCGTAGTCCCAAAACACACTGGAAGGCTTTCTGCGTATTAAGCACAAGACGGTTTTCCAAAGACCCTGCAGTGAGGCATGATCCAAGTCATCCATCAGAAACTGAAGATGAGTTATTTTTAGTAGTGACGAATAGCCATATCATCAGCATAAATGACATACAACCAGCCACTCGACGATCTCACATCATCAGAGTGAAGTGAGAAGAGATGGGCGGATACGACGGAACGCTGAAAGACTCCGCGGTAGATTTCCATGTATCAGACTCGACAAACTGGGTGCGGAAGGCAAAATAGTATCAAAGCCATCAGACAATCCGAGACAGGAGAGCCGCATTCAGATGTTTTGCTAGGGGCGAGATGGCGCGGGGCAGTATAGAAGGCAGAAAAGTATTCAGGAACGGCACATGAGTATGCGCGGCACCGACGTCTCGTTCGAGCAGCCACGCCGCTAATATTTCGCCCTCATCTATTTTCTGAAATGGACAAACTCTTTATTCGGTATTTTATCGACCTTCTTTTTGACGAAACTGTGATTCAGCCGGTTTCCCAGATATTCTCTAACTAGACCTAAACTTTGCCGTTTTCAGAGTTACAACCGTTTCCCAAGCCTATGGTAGGCTGTACAATATTAATCTGCTTTGAACACGGGGATCTAGACTCCCTCCGTACTGCAGGTGGCCTCGCGCTAAATTCCAGGAAGGTTATCTATTTCCTAACTCTTGATTCTAACAACAGCCCTCATAAACCCCAACCGAAACCCTAACCTCAGCGCAAATCCACCTGTAATACGGCGGGGGGGGGGAGGGAGCATCAGTCAACCAAGCAAGTTCTGGGCATTCACTTACAGCCCGTTCTGCCTCAGAATTTTACATCAGCATTGTCTTCAAAGTCCAACCGGAATTCAAGTCGTATGCTCTATCGAACATGTAATTCACTGCTGGTGGTACTCAATTCTTGCTCTTGCTTTCGCGGGCTCGACTCCTCCTGAGGCCACTGAGTTTTTCATACTTGGGTCGGATGAATTATTCAACTCTGCGGAAACATTTATTAGTTACATGATCCTAGTAGTCATTTGGTGGAATTCATTTTTCTACATTTTCGTCAAATGAATTCACTGTCAGTACTCGGACCATTAAAAATAGGACAACGGAGAAGCCGCATACTGTACATAGCGCATGGTTGCCCGACAGGACAGAGCGTCGTTAATTTTCCTCATGTACAGTTTCCGTTTTGAAGGGTGGTTCCATTCATAACTGATGGGTGACCTGGAGGATAAACTTGAGCTCAGGATAAATCCTCAATTCCAATTTAATCAGATTCGAAATCTTTGTCCGGGCCTTAGTGACAAGACGACCAGTTGGGCTAAACGGCTGTGTTTTGAAAGGGTGTCACTTTTGCAGTTAGACCTCTTCTCTGGGAGTTCAGAATCATGCGCGGACGAAAATAAAGTACGTTTTTCGATTCAGAGCAGTAAAGGGGGGGGGAGGAATTTTGCCAGTTTTATGTATACTGTTGCTATGAGTTCGCCAGTAGTGTTTCAAAATAATACGAATGTCTGAGTTAAGCTAGCAGAATATGGGAAGTCATAAGAACTTCGTTTGCAGTCCCGGTTTATAATAGGTCGTTAAGACTTGTTTACTAGGAGGAGAAACGTGCGTTCACCCTTTATGAAACAGGGTTTTATCGTCGCTATGGCCAAGCAGTATTCAATAAATTCACATTTTTGAGATCTTTTCGTCAGTAAGTTTTGTGTTCGGCCGGGAAAAGACAAAAAAATTGGTCGCTTCTGCCTGGCGGGTTAGCAAGGGGAGACGACACAAAGTCAGACAACACTACCGCGTCGATGGTGCACGAGCAAGTTCGTGTTAATACAGTCTTCGAAATAATTAAACCCACTGAGGGAGCACAGTGGGACGCGCACATGAAGCGTCGTATCGTCGAGACCAACGCGAATGCAAGAGTTAGCCCATAGCCTCAAGAAACCGACTTTTTCCCTCACCGTCTCACTCATTCCCTCTCTTGCACTTAAAGGCGACTCAGACCACACTTCCCTAACCTCTGTCCTCCAGTGAGATGCATCAACAATAAAACCAGGACAATTTAAGACATAGGGTGTGTATGCATGTGTCAGCGGCGGATGCACTTTCACTCGAGTGTATCCGCAACTTTAGTCCACGGACTTCTCTTCGCCGACGACTACGCTCTCAACACCACCTCAGAAGGAAACATGCAAAGAAGCATGGACCTCTTCGCCGCCGTCCGCGACAACTTCGGCCCGATCATCAGCACGGAGAAAACGGTGGTTATGCACCAGCCGCCGCTTAAAGCCGCCTACAATTCACCACAAACCAACGTGCATGGCGCCCTACTGCAATCCGTGGACACCTTCACCTATTTGGACAGCATCCTTTTCCGCAGCACCCCAATCGACGATGAAATGGCCCGCGGGGTTTGTAAGGCTAGCCAAGCCTTCGGTAGCCTGCAGAAAACTGTCTGGAATCGTCCTGGTGTCCACCTCAGCACCAAACTCATTATGTACAAGCGGACATTCTGCCGACGGTAATGTATGGAGCGAAGACCTGGACGGTGTAGAAGAAGCAGGCGCGGAGGCTCAACCGTTTCCTCTTCAGCTGTCTTCGGCGGTTATTAAAGCTGAGGTGGCAGGATCGGATCCCGGACGCGGACAGGAATCTTTACCATCCACGCCATCTTGAGAAAATTGCGACTGCGCTGGAGCGGCCACCTCGTACGTATTGACGAAGATCGGCTACCAACCGACTCTTCTATGAAGATGTCGTTACGGGTTCCCGCCGACAAAGTCAACTTCGGCGCCACAAGGACACCCTGAAGTTTTCCTTGTAGCCTCTGCAGATCAACCCCGCCAAATCAGAAGACCTAGCCCAGGACCGACCGGCCTAGAGGAGCACAGTGAAAACAGGCACAGCGATCTACGAAGCTGATCGCGTCACCGCCGCCAAAGCTCGCAAATCCCAAACACCTACACTTGGCAGTGCCAACGCTCAACCACCCTCGACCTGCCCACACTGTCAGCGGATGTTCCGGACACTAATCGGCCCCGTAAGACACCTTTGGACGCAATGCGTCAACAACCCGACGACGCTTACTTCTTCTCCCACCCTCGCCCCCTGCCACAAACCCTGCGCCGACCGCCACCCCCGTCAGCGCTGGTCACACGGTTACTGTCCCGTTCCTGTCAATCACCGACATCGTCCGCCCTGTCCCAGCCCGTGTCCACCACAGCGACCAGTTCCACCAACACGACGACATCACGCGCTCCCACCACCAATGGGAAGACAAAAGACGTCCCATCAGCCGTTACCATTTCCACCAGCACCCCTACCTCCAGCTCTGTGGACTCGGTGCATACCTTTCCCCATTGCGACCTCACACATCGTCCTGATCGGTCACTTGCCAATCCATCGCACAGAAATTGGCGAACCAGTGCCTGGCACACCTATTTACACCCGCCGCATCTACCTCAACTGCCTTCACTACCCCAGTAATTCACCAACCGCATGAGCCTCTAGGTCCCACGCGCATTCACAAAGACATCAGCATTGTCAGCACTCGATTGCCACGTCCCACGAAAGCGGGGTGTGCTTCTTAGCTACTTCTTAATGCGGCTCCTCTGCTGCATGAGTGATCCGAGTCTGAGACTATCAGAGTACGACAGGCACCGTGGCTTGGAAGGCTGCCGACTGACGCCCCAACTCAGTCAACGCAGTCAGTCCAGTTGTGCGAGTGCTTGTGTGGAATTGCGGACTGGTGGGCTGAGAGTCAGGCTGCCATGACTCTTTCTTAACGTGACCTCTGGCACTCTCACGCATGTGAGGAGTGTATATGTAGTTTATGGGTAGTGCCTCTTATTTGATGACTGGATGTTTACCCGTCGTTGGAAGAGTGATGGCCCGGGCTAAGTGCAGGGCTGTGTATCACCCTTCCAGGCCCTAAGGTTTGCATGCGTCTGCTGTGCCGTGATTCAGCAAACCGTGGCTCTCGCAGCCTGGTGTGCGCTGGCACTGTCGCTGTCGGTAAATGCGATTGTGTCCTCGTTGGTTATACAGGCCGCGTGCACGGCTATCCACTCCTTCTCCTGTCTCTGACCCGTTGTTGTAGATTAAAATCTTGGTCAGGAGCTTATTATGGACCAGGGGTGCGTTGGTACACTTAGGTGCGGATCCGGTCGTGTCTACTATCTGCGCACTCTCTCTCTCGCTAACGGTCTTCTTGACTATGTTTTGACACTCGTTCAGGCTCGGGGGAGGAAATAGTGTGGTAGATGCTGCGCAGGTCATCATGCCTGCTTCAGAGTTCTGTGAAGCACAGGATGGACATACTCGGGCACGACGTTCAAACTGTCAGTATGTCAGAGCGACAGACAAGCTAGAAATAATTGTCACAGTTTGCCTTTTCAAACACATCTCCTCAGTATCCTTAGGACCCCAATGAATCTGACAGTCTCCCTCTTATCAACTAAAGCATCATGTCCCCAGGTCTGAGGGATTTGCTATTGTACAGTAGGTGGGCTACCTCATGAAATGTCATTCGAAATGCGTTATCAACTCGAAAAGATTAATTAAGTAGGGCTGAAAAATTAATTATCGCTCAACATAATTCCATAATAATTCAGGTACCGCAGGATGCTGGCTTTTGAACGGACTTCTTTTCGGCTGCATGCAAAAACCACGCTCTGTAAAAATGACTACTTATGTAGCATACATTTTTCTTACTGAGTTTTGATGCCCTTAAAAATTCAATTATATTTCATGGAAGACATGCATAAAAGTATTCATTCTTTTGCCCATTCGGTAGCAAAAGACGTCTTCTTCCAATTTTATACTCAAAGGACGGGTATAATTCGGGTTTAAAAAACTTTTCCAGCTTCCGAATAATTTCGAAACCGATTTGCCGTTACAGTTGTATTCAGGGTTGAAAAACTACAAACCGCATATTTTTCGCTTGCGTTAAACCATGCATTTATCTACGGTATTAAGCGGAGACCATATGGGTTACCAGCCATAGTGTTAACTTTACAAGCCACATCGGTAAATGCAGAGACATGACGTTTTATGAACGGCCATTTCACGCTATTAAAAAAATCGCACAATTAGAAATTTTTTTAAACCGAATTTTACCCTTCCTTCAAGTATAAAATTGGAAGAAGAAGTAATTGTCTACCGAATGAACAAAAGAATGGACATTTCTATGCATTTCTTCCATCATAGATAGTTCCATTTTCAAAGGAATCGAAAATCGACGAGAAGAATGCATGCCACATAACTATTCATTCTTCTACAAAGAAAAGTTTTTGCATGCAGCCGGAAGGAAGTTCGTTAGAAAGCCGGCATCCTGAGGTAACTTAATTATTATAGAATTATGCTGCGCGATGATTAGTTTACAACCCTATTGAATTAAACTTTTCGAAACGAAAACGCATTTGGGGATTTCGGTTGACAGTTCATGAGTTAGCCCACCTACTGTATGTGACAAACTAGTTTTTCGACGGCCACATGAGGTCTTATTGTGCCAGCAGTTAGGAGGGTGGAGAACTCCGAGATGCACTGTGAAGAATACGCTAGGCGTCGCGTACTAATGGACTGCTCGCTGGAGAAGTGGTCTGACCGCGCACGCTGTTTGCGGACTAGAGAGCCCCTTGCCTTCCAGAGGCCCTGGATACAGCTCTGTGATAGATGCACACAGATTCTGCTATTCGGCAAGGGCGGTTTTTCTATTGATTCATTTTCTCGTCAAAGCTCGCCATCTAATGCAGGTGGCGCCTTAAGAGCGTCTTTCGCCCATCCGACTTCATTCAGCCGTGCATCATCGTAGCATGATGACACGATCTGGGTGTTGAATACTTTGTTAGGGTTATTAATGTTGCGTTCACTGTGGAATCATCCGGTCAGCCTAATTTGGGCGCCGGAAGGTGCGAAAATGGAAAGTGACAGGGTATTTTGGCGTTATGCTTAAGGTCTCGTTGCTTTGGCTTGTTGGAGGGGGAGCTAACAGGACCGAGTTTGACCTTGAGTCTGTGTAGATGAAGGGGGAACATTGGAAGGGGTTATTCGTGAGTAGACTTCAACTCCCATGTCCACATTTTCGGTTCTCGTCGCCTTTGCATGGTTTCAACGGTCACATCCCCAGTCTTTTCAGGAAGCAGTCATTCCTGCTGAGCCGGCGAGAGAACGGTGTCTTCAAGGAGTAGCTTTGCACTGCTGTGGTTTTCCTCCTTGGCTGTGAGCGTCCGTTGGGGCACCACTGTGGGTCTCACTCAGGTCCGGGATCCTTAACTGTTTCTGCGAAGTTTGAACCGTTTCAGCACTGAAAGGCCGCTGGACGTGCCAGGATCCGGATCTTCGGAGCTCCCTGTTGACGTCTCATATCTCTAGAAAACTGCGAGTTGAAACTGTTTCAGCCTGTATACTCGACTCTGATTGAGCGTTCAGACCTCAGTGTTGTAAAAAAGCCTAGTCTGTAAGATGACTGTCTCCATTTTGGTGCTGAGAAGGAGTCACAGTGATGCATTTTTCCTATCAATACGGATGTCAGTGAGATTGCCCTAATCTACACAGTTCTTAAAAGTAAGAATCTGATTGTTGCTCAGTGTCTATACGACGAATTCTGTCAAGGATTATCAAATTGAGAACACTGTTCTCTTGCAGCAAATCGCTGCATTTTGGCTCGTCAGGCAGAAGTAATTGAAGGCTTGGACTCAGAGACGAAACCAGCACACTTAACCGCTCACACCAGTACAGACAGTAGCTGATTACTCGTCGGCTCCAGGGCGTACACAGTCAATCGTTATTTTCGATGTTTACTGGATCGAGCATGCATGGACACTGCCTTCACACTGTGGCTCGATTTCACAGGGTGACAATCCCCTGAACTGGACCGATTATATGACAAACACGATGACGTTGCGAGGTTTCAATCGTCGAATGGGATATTTTGAGTAGGCCAAATGCTTGGCTGGGTTAAAAATGAGACTATGCAGTCTGAGCAGGCTGATCGCTTTTTAGGTGCAGAGGTGAGATAGGAAAGTGTGTGTGTGTATGTGCAGAGGGAGACGCGACAGGCTTACCCTAGAATTTCTTAACACGCAAACCACTTTCATGTCATGAAGACTCGGTGACACTTCTAATAGGGTGGAATACGTCATCTCCGGCAGTGAAAGCCTAGACATGAATGGAGGTACAGTCAGCTGCGCAGTTGGCAAACCCGGTCGGCTGACTAATCCCACCGCTTTGGGGCAACATCTATGGACTGAGTTCCTGAGTTGTTATTTATTGGGATGTTCGCACCTTACGCGGCTAACTGCCCACCATAGTCCAACACAGTGTCTGCCTACATGTTTCTACTTATGTACTTCATGCCGTTTGGATCATACATGACCTAGCCGGCCTCAGTTGCCATGATCTGTTTTGGGTATTGTCGGTAGGGGTGGGGCCCGAGCAACCGCCCAGACTGTCGTATTTAACCCTCCGACACGTTAATGGTGGTTAATCACAGTGCGGTTAGATCGCAGTTGGTAGTCAGGAAGGGGGGAGCGGACGGCGAGGTCCTGGCTCTTACTCTAACCTCATACCTGAACTCTAACCCTAACCTTAACCCCAAAACCTAACCCTAAGCCTCAAAACCCAACCGTAACTGGAATCCTAGAACCTAACCCTGACACTGACCCTAACCTTAAGCCGCCGCCCTAACCGTAATGCTAAACCGTAATCTCAACCTTAACACTGAAGTCTAATCCTAACCCTAGCCTTCAACCTAAAGCCTACCTGCAATCTTAAACCTAAAACCTAACCCTAAAGCCCTAAGCCAAACCGTAAACACTAACTTTAATACGGACACCTAACCCTAACCTTGACCCTAAAATCCAACCCTGATCGTAACCGTAGGGCCTAAACCAATGTCCTGAAACCGAAACGTAACCCAAATCATAAAACCCAGTGCTAACCCAAACCCTAACCGAAATCTTAAACCTAACCGTAGCCCTTAAGCATAGCCCTAACCCTAACACTGAAACCTGACCCTAAAACACAAACCCTAATGTTAAAACTTAACCTACACCTAAGCCTAACCCTAACTAAACCCACCAGCCTGACCGAAACGGGCGACCTGCCTAACTCAGCAGGAGCACACCTACTGATAACAAGTTCCCTAGATAAGGTAAGCATACCTACAGATAACAAGTAAGTACGTTGACAGTATCAACGTATAGTGTCTGGCAACCAACTGCGATCTTACCCACAGTGCCTTCGGATTTTCAGAAATTTCGTGGGGCGTTTGAAATGCCCGGCTTCAGTATTCCCCGCTCTGTTAGCAACCGTCGTTGTTGCTATGGTGCTGTTTGCTGGTCAGGCCTGAGAGTTTTTAGACTGAAGCTGGGGGCAGTTATATTATCCACTACGCGTAGGCGTGCTGTATAGCCGGCAACGGGCAGATTCGCTTTCTCAGTGATGCTTAGTCTCTTCAGCCATGAACGTCCCAATGCAGTCGATGGCGAACACCGAACTCTCAACTATTTCCTGCAAGGTGTGTGGGTATTATTTTGGTTGACGACGTAGACTCCTGTCTCACGCGCGTACTGAATGTGACTACTCTATCCGCAACTCTACTCTATCCAGTCGACCTCTGCCGTCTTCTGTATAGCTCAACTCAGCACAATATGTCAGCATAAATCTGTCATTCATAATGACTCGAATCCTATTCGTGAAATATACAAAGTGCAAATAGTACTCTACGTTTCTCTTAGTGTTCTCTAAAGCTTGAAAATGAATGGTTCTTAAGCAGTATGGCATAAAGTTAAGAATTATTTTGTGCCTTCAAGTTTTGGTTTTTCGTTAAGCTCATAAGTTATCCAGGTTTCCGCTTCCACTTGTAATTGAACCGGTTGCAGGAGAGATGTGTCAACAGTTCGCCCACTCAAGTGAAGGTCCTGCAGGCATTTTTTACTGAACTGTATCAAGTGCATACTTTACTCTCCATCATGTGGGATTTACTACCTATCCTTAATCCGTCAGGTAAACCCCACAGATGTCACCTGACTTGCCTTCAGAGATTAACGCTCACTTTTCCTAAACATGAAACCAGATCATAAGCAAGACTTCGGAAACCGTCTCACAAGGAAGAGTGTAAATCCGTCAAGACCACCACTGAGCTCCGTTTTATGGCGGGAAATACGTCTTCAGCGACTACTTTATTTACTAGTACACTATCGTGGAAATTACAGAGAATTGATGACTGATGAGTTCCGACACGCGCCAGCCACCACCGAGCATCTCTCTGCACTGATGGCAAACACTCGATTGGAGGATTATGCAGACAAGGGCAGAGCCCTATTGAATTATCTCTATAATGGCATTATGAGGGTGGGAAGGGCGTTGATAGAGTTCCACACAGCAGAGAGGTCAGGATCACAGCACTGGGTGATCGTATCCTGGTTAGAACTAACTGGGGCAGTAACAACCGACCCGAAAGCGGAAGCGAGCAAGTGGAGCCGAAAGGCCTCAGCAGTTCTCTGCGAAGATGATTGCAACGGGAACCAGCTTCAGATAAACAAAACCCGCATGCTTCAAGGAGGTCAGCGGATAAGCTGACAGGGGCTGGATCATTAAAAAGGAAACGGCCTTGCTTATCATGTGATAAAGCAATTTACTCGTTTTCCAAAGGAATCTAAAAGCTCAGTGGACAAGTAAGGAGAGCTTTGTGCGGCCACCATCGATTTCTGTCCACACATTGACACGAGCAAACGTCTCGCTCGCATTCTAACACAGGAATCCCCGCTCCCCTGCCTCTCACTTCTCTTAACACCGACTTAGAAGACAGTGAAATTCTTTTCCAAAAACGACTCGCTGGATCAGGTGGATTTTGGAGGCAAATAATGCAAAGTACTTTGCGAGACGCCCACTGATATACTTCCTCAGTCTAAAACGACATTTCAGTAGTAATGTAAACTGAAAAAGAACAATGAAGTAAGAATGCAAGGTGCGCACGCAGGCGCGGTGGGAGGGAGAAGCGTTCGCCGGCCAGACCGAAGCAGTCACGTATACTCGGGTTTTCAAAAGGACCGTTACTGGGTGGTACTATAGATATATATGTATACGTACGAGATGTAGCTTTGGTAGTGGGAAATGTTCAAAAGGATCCTCAAAAAGGTCTTCTGTTGTGGTGACGGTGTTCATTGTTTCCTTGAAAATCATTGCACCGGTTCGAAAATCTGGCAAGGAGGGATAAGCAGAACATCGTCCGTGCCGTTGTGGGGACAAAGTTTGTAATGATATTGTACCACGAGAATGGGCAGACTTGTAGCCATCTCATTAACAATGGATGGCAGAACGCTGAACAGAGTGGGAAAAGTCCGAGACTGGGTAGTGACCACTTGATGGAAGGAAAAGCGAGCAGCTTCGGGAGTTTGCACAAGCATTCGCATGTGATGGTCAGGAGAATGGGGAGGGACGGGAATTCTGGTTTCTACTGTTTGCCCAGCAGATGGAGACGTTCCAAGACAGACTTATCAATTTTGCAAGAGGACATACGTAAAGATGAGATAGGGAAAAGGCAGGGGGGGGGTCAGCCAGGCGCAAAAAATTGAAGTACTTGGTGGGATCGCCACACTGACGGTCGTAGCGATCTGTGTACTGTGACGGGAGGACGTCTCTGCGCGTCTGTAAACGTCCTTTCTCTCTCTTTCCTTCTAGTGCAACCCTGTTTATGTGGGCCAAGCCTAGAGGAGGAAAAAAATTCTAAATGTTGACTGAAACTAGGCGACAGTTGCATTTTCGTTTTAAAAATGAGGAGCTCACTTACGGTGTATGCCCTGTGTTCCGTCAGTCTTAATGGGTGTAAGTCATCATATCAGCAGGTGTTGGTTGCGGGTACTGTGCATGTCCACCGGACACCCCTTGAAGCCCGGGAATACCTTGTACTTGGTGCGCCACTTGCGAGTTGGCAGCAGGGAATGGAGGACCTGTGCTGTTAGATGCACCACTTATGAGGGAACGCGAATATGCGCTCGCTGAATTTCCCGAGGAGGAGAGCCCACTTAAATGAGACCTGGAATCCAACGGCGTTGGTGGGGGTGCAACCACTAGTCGGCTGTTTCCACTTGATTCCGCTGTCGTTGTACTGGCAACGCTTACCGAACCACCGCCACCACCACCACCGTGGTTGGGGTAGATTTTATTCATCTGATGTGCTCCGATCTCGTTTGAGGGGTAACCGGCGGACATGGCGAAATTGTTCTGGTGGCCGCCTTCTGGCATAAAGTAATTTTGTCCCCCATGGTACACTTGCTGTTGTGAAGCCGCACTTCCAAGTTTTTTCGCCACGGCAATATCGGTAGCACTGGTATCATTTGGAGATCCTGTTGCTGCCCTCGAACCCGTATTCATGACATCTTCGTTTAATAGGAGGGCACAGTTGTTCTCCTGAGTAACCTGTCCACTAGCCTGGGAGATAAGATGTCCTGATTCGGGTGTCTTGCCTAGAAATAGCGAATAGTGGGGCGGATAGATCACTCTATTTCAGTAGAGCAGGGTATCAAACAAAGGTGACTAAATAACCATTTTACTTACCATTTTGAGCGCGATTCCTGCGATTCTTCAGCAGTCGAAGGCTACAGTAAACTGTCAGACCGAATATAAGCCCCAGATAGGCGATGGCACAGTTGACGACAATTACAATTGTTTTTAACATGCTTGGACTCAGACTCTCATCACCGAGTTCGTACTGGGCGTATTCGTCAGAGGCTAAAAGAAAAAAGAATAAGAAGCCCTAGAAGGGAGGCTTAGGACTTGAAAATGCGAAGTTGGTATGCCTAGTAGAGGACACTCGATAGTTCCCGGATATGGCGCACTTTTGCGGAATTCTGTGGCAGCAGGTAAATCTGAAGGCCCTTCCAGCATCAGGGTGACCACCGATACCCCTCGCTCGCGGATTAGGGGAACAACGACCTCATCCCTTCTTGCCACACTCATCGTGATCCAACGATGAGACAGGGTCACAGGATCGCAGCAAACCGGATTGGGTTTAGAGGCTGACCTGACATAATCCTCCCATTTATACGTACTTCAATACAGTCAGCTCTTCTTATATGAGTGGACTAGGCTTCAAACAAAAGTTCCCGGTTTTGACAGGGCAAGCTGGCCTCTCTCAATTAGTTTCAACCACTACTAGAAGCATTTACCGGAGGATGTTGTCTCCGCACCCATAAGACTTTCATGGCGTAACAGCTGAGAGGTGGGGGTCTGCTGGGGAACGTATTATCGCAGTGGCTACCTCCACCCCGCGAGCAAACTATCTATGGGGCTGAAAAAACATGCAACTATATCCAGCACATTGGATAGGTGTCAGAACTCTACTTCTAATTTCGAGAGCTGACGGAAAGTGTGCGTATGTGGAGGCGTAAGAAGTTAAAAGCAAAACGGCAAAAAGACTTACTTAAGACACGCACATGTACACCTTGCCGGGTCTCAATGGCGTGTTTATTGCCCGCGATGCATATATATTCCGCGTCGTCAATGAGCAGGGGCTGGTTAATCACTAGACTGCCATTGGACAAGACCTGGACCCGTTCGTCCTTGGTGTTGCGAGGCTCTAGTCGCCCTAGTGTTGCCGTGGGTGACAGTTCCCCGTTGTTGGCAGACATACGATCTCGGACTCCATCATTGCTGCTACCATCACTGCTGCCGGGACCGCCACTGCCGCTGACTCCCTTAGAGGCGGCAGCTGCAACATCAAAGACATTCTCCAGCATCTCTGATGTGGCCGGGCCGGAAATTAGGGGCGAGTAGACTGTCGGGTACTTGAGGCTCGGTTTCTTGACAATCCAGCTAATCTGCGGCTTCGGATCGCCAGAAGCCTTACAATTCAGCACAAGACGCTGGCCCTCGCGAATGGTCTGGTTCGAACTGATTTCGAATATTCTTGGTTTTTCTAAAGAGTGTCAAAAAAGCAAGGATGAGGAGTGCGGGGGAGAGTCAAAACTTGGGGAAAAATACCAATACGCCTGAGCAGAAGGTAGTATTCGCGTGGCCTGGTCGGTTTTAGTGCAAACAGGATTTTTTGCAACAAACGATCCAGTATACATGACAGCAGATGTAAGACATCAGGGAGCTGTAGTTACAGGTTTCCACCTACAATCCCCTAGTCTAGTCGTTTTGGATCAGAGCAAAAATATCAACGAGGGCTAACTTACACAAGTTGCGTGAGCTACACAGAATGCAAAACCTTTGCTATTGTGAGTGCCGTCTGACGTTTTGGTAATCTGATGTGGGCGTGAAAGTATGTAGCACGCACTTTCTGGCTTCAATGGCAATGTGTGCCATGCTAGCGTCCGGTGTAAATGGAGATCCTGGAGCAAACCCGATTAATGGTCGAAATACGTGCGTGTTGTCTTCCTCCTGGAGTCCCCACAAGCGATCGCATCGCTGCCATAAATCAATAGTAGATAAATGCTGCCGACAGATATAGGGAGACTTGAACGCCAAGGCAAAAGGTAACGTCTATATTCTGTTTTGCAGTTTGACCGGATCGTGAATGCCACTTTCACCTGGCTTGGAATATTGACGACCCCAGCAGACAGGGCGCGTGCCCCTGGTTCAACCGGTGCAGTGCCTAATTCAATGGGCAGCCGAAGGCAGGTAGGAGCTTTAGAGATCTCCCAGCCCGGAGTTGGCGTATAAACAACAGTTACTGATCTCACAGCGCTATGCGACCGCCTGCGGGAGCTCCAGAGCAAAATGATACATCCGACCAGATCCGGACTACCATTGCCATATAACATTGATCAAAGCCATTAAATGAGCTGTCAGGATCGGTAAAGATTACTGGATGGGGATTGGTGTGGTGCGTAGGGAAAAAACTCAAAATTATCTGTAAACTACGGCAGTTTACGTTCCATGCAAAATTCTCCTAGCCATCCGGGAGGAGGCGATTTGGGAGAAAACACAGACAGTAGACCTGTTTCTAGGGCTTTCTACACTTTCTTAAGATGAATTTCTTTGATAAAATGACTGACGAACAGTCTGACAGCGTGACTTCTTTGAAATGGATCCCCAACGCAATGGACTATTTTGGATTTGATTTTTTCCACTTAAGACTCAGTATAGTGGCTGTCTCAATTTGTGTGCATTCTAAAACTCAACTTTTTTGATTCTTTTTTCCGGATAAATTCCAATATTTCGAATTCGAGAACATCTGTCTGTTACACTATTCAGAGATTTACAGAAGCGCTTACAGAAGAATGTTCCTACAAATGAATTACTCCATTACATAACATGGAAACGTAACTCATGATTCCTGACTACGTGGATGATAGGATCAACATGCATTCCATAATTTATAGAAATAGCGCAGAACCAAACAAAAAAGTATTTTTTTACAGTCGGCACGCCATAAGTGGTTGGTCAAATTTTCCATCGAAAACCCCTCTGCATGATGCATGATTTAAGTAATGCCTAGGGCTCATGCCTAAGTGCACGAAGATACCACATCACCCAATAATAGTTTTGAATAGCAGACTGGAATAACACCGGTTTGGAGCTTATTCAGGCCTCCTTCAGTCAGCCATGCCGTCCGCCTGCAACTTCGACCGGATACAAACCGGTGCGTCTGTACATACCAAACGTAAATAGTCTAAAGTGGGGTTAAAATAAAGGCCCATCAGCGCCTCTGCCAGTCGGTCTTTGTGAGGATGTATCAGGTGGTTATACTCAATGATTTGGCTGAGGCATCAGAGGCAAAGAGCTCACTCTGCTGGAAACAGGAACCCTGACCAGAGAGCCATCGTCCAGGTAGCAGGTCGATCAGTTAAACGATACCAGGGGTTGGCTGAAGGAAGAACCGGTTGCTGTCTCATTTTCGTTCATATTAATTGTCCCAACAGCGACATTGTTTCGAGAGTTTCTGATCACATAACAGGTGCTTTCCAAAATTAGGCTTGAGGGAGGCAAAACGATTCTGCGGAAGGCGTCTAGTCTAGACGGTACCAGAAGCCTTGGGAAATATGTCTCTCGGGAAAATTCTATCACTACAGGAATGCATTTACGAATGACAGACTCAAAATGCCCAAAAGCTTAGTTCGCTACCATAAACCCTACTGCAAAGGCACAGGCAGCAGTTATATTTCCTATGTTCTCTCTCTCTCTCTCTCTCTCTCTCTCTCGAATGCTCTTATCTGAAGTCACAAGGCATGACAAATCTTAACCCAAGGTGCTCACCTCCAACAATGACCTTGACGGTCATATTTATTTGAGCGTTACGATATGTGGATCGGGCGATACAAACATACTCCCCGGCATCTTGTTTCTGCACAAACTGGAAGATGAGTACTCCGCGATCAACCTGATTGGGTGGTTGGATCGGCTCGAGGGAGTTACTGGTTGGGTCGGGTTTGCGGAACCAGTCAACCGAGAGGTCACCGTAGCCCCGGACTTTGCAGGCTAACTTGCCCTGAACATTCATCTCGAGAAAGTGTTCGTCCATCTGGTGAAGAAACTGAAGGCGGCCTGTAGGAGGAATGTGGATAAAATATATGTGTGTATATATGGCAATGGGAGTGCGACTTTTGGGTAATGGAGCGGACCACTAAACCAGATGCACCCACCTCGAACCTCCAGTTTCTGTGGTTGGCCGGGGAACTTCTTCGGATAGCCATCGGTGAAGACGAAACACTGATAGAGACCTTGGTGGTCCACAGTCACTCGCGGGAACCTTAGACGTTCACCCTCGCCCTCGAGAATGATATCCTTTTTAGGAGGAATTAAAAAAAGAAGTCTCGTTAGGAAAACCGGATGGCCAGACACTGTGCAGTATACAAGAGGGCTAAAAATTGCTTCGTCTGATTGCCCACAGCTTCTATCAAATAATAGGGCAGATGTGAACTCGGGGAAAAGGGGTAAGACTAGCGAAAGCAGTCTGGCTTGTGGTGGAGGACTAGCAGCCCTTCTTAGGTTATTATTTTAACCCTGGATACAGTTAGAGCGGTAGAGGTTTGAGGGGGCAGAGACGGGTAGGTGACTCAGGGAGGTGAGATGGCATGAGCAGTTTGGCAGACTCCATCCTCTAGTCGTTGACTTATAATGCCCTCCGGCTTTTCCACTAGCCAATGTTGCCTCTGTTCTCAGGGCATATACAAGCATTTCATATTTTGGCGTAACAATGTATCCGGTAGCTTGACATCTTCGCCGATGAACGCCCTCAAAACTATTTTGGTGGGTTGTGGGCGTTGAGTGTGTGGCATGCTAATGTTTTCAGTGTTGCGGTGGACACTGTAGTATCTACTTTGACCAATCCGAGTGCTTAATGTGATTTCTGTTTGGGACAGATGGAAAGCAATAGGTTCCTTATTATAGGATTCGTTCGAGTCACTTCCGTTCAGCTGTTACGATAAGTGAACGACTGTCTAGGCGGGCAAAGCCGAGACCTGGGTGCATATCAACAATGTTAATATGTTTGGGGGGACTTGTTTGTGGCATATTTGTTCATCTGCATCATGTTTGTGCTCTCTTCCTGGTGAATTCACAGCTGCCCAACAGCTGGTCAACAGGGCTGTTCAATGTGTGTTGGCAATTGAGCAAAGTAGAAAGGGGTCAAACGTGGGTATCGCTGACATCCAGCATCTCTGTTTGTTCAGCCTGGTTCGCTGTCTCCCGTAGGTTTTGTAGGCTTTGTCATGCCCGCCAACTCCGGGCAAGAATTTCCTAGAATTTCTGGCCGATTTTGAGAAAATTGAACAAAGGACCCAGCTGTCCTCCTTTAACGTCGTTTCCATCACTCTCTTTAAGAGCAGGAAAATCATCATAAGACATTACTATGAAATTCCGACTCCATTTTGACTCTCTAAATAGTGGGTATGCTTCAGTATCGCAAAAATTGTCAGCGTATCTTCAGATGTAAAAGTTCGAGCAGTCAAAACCCTCTATGGTCACTTCAATTTCAAGATCCACCAACTGATAGCTCATATGGCAGTGCCTGCGTGTTATCGCATGAGTGGAGTCTACTGTCTATGTTTAAATGCCGCAGAATAGCTCCGAAGTTATGTTTCAGGACAAACCCAATGATTTCGCACCAAATATTCTAATGACAGGCATAAGTTGTAGCGATTTTGGAGACTGCAGTCACCGTATATGAGACTTTTGCAAGGTACTGAGCACCCAGTCGTCGATTAATGTAATATCAAGAAGGCTAGTTAGAGATGCTCACAGGCTACCTTTATCTGATCTCACCCACTACAAGGAGCCGTTGTCGAGGCATGATGTCACTCCCCAGGGTAAAGTTCTTACGGTATTTGACGGAGATGGATGACTGGGGAGTAGAATCAGCAGATGAGTAGCGTTGTCAAGCGGACGTATCCGGTCCTTCGGAGACGAATACAAACTAGTTTGACTTTCTTGTGAGCACCAAACTCACAAGCTGTTACAATTAGAGTACTGAATACACAGAGAGTCGTTTTAAACGGTGTACTCTAAAAGCAGTGAACTGAGAGCCTAACAGAAGATTTCAAAATAACAGTTGGGAAGAGGGAGTCAACTGTAAGCCGGTGAAGAACAGACCTTCCACAGTCCCAAAGAACAGATTACGTATAGAACAGTACGGCTATCTAAATGTCTCAATTATCCGCTGCAACGTGTAAAATAAAGTTGTACTTTTTAGGCCATTTAGCGACCCAATTTTGTAGTTTTGACGTTTGCTCAAAAGCAGTCAGACATAATTCGTGTGTCGACAGCCTGGGGTAGAACTATGGCGACGCGACCGAATAAACTGTTCTTTTCTGGGAACCTCTGACATAACTCAGTGGGTGGATGTTTTCAACATACCTTTCCGTAATTCACCAACGGCCTGCCGTCCTTTTCCCAGTAAATACGACTCCCTGGGATGGCTCGACGTCGGATGCGACAACTGAGTAAAATTGATTCTCCTTCGTCCAGCGTCTGAGATGGTGGGTCCTGTTGCGGCTCGAATTCCGGTGGAACTAGAGAATAAATTAAAAGCGCTATGTAAAATCAAAAAATCGAAGAGCCGAGTGAGTGACTTGACGTCAAGGGGGGTTGATGTGATCGGAGGTATCATACTCATGGACGTGAAAACCCGACCGAGTCCTATACCTCTGTCAGGTCTGTAACCATTTCATGACTGCTAAGGAAGCGATTAACGCGCACAGTCAGCCCGAAAATCAGCCAACGCTTCCAGCTGGAAGCTAAATTTAGGTCAGCTGAGCGCGTCAGATTGCTTCCATAAACGTGGATATTGGGTTGACCAAGGAGATCTCAGAGATCTTGATTCTGTCCACAAATGGGGAAGCGTTACACACATGCCCTACAGTTTGCGTTTCTTGCAGAATGTCAAGAAATTGTGCTACACCAGGAACTTTCGCAACCTACAGTCCAGATTATTGAAACAAGAATAAGGTAGGAGTTATTTACAGCACCCCTTCTGGCAGGAGGTCTTTCTTGCAAAAGATGCTCTGCTTCTTTTTAAATGTGACGAGAGAGAAATTTGGTAGTCGCAGGTTCCGGTGACAAGACCATGTTAAGACGACCGGAGATGGGCTCGGACTCACTGGCTGACAAGGCTAAACGGCCGCACGGCTGCACTAGAGGCCGAATGTCTTCCCAGCCATACAGTCCACCTATGAAGAGGCAGTAGGAGATGGCCTGCCGTTTTTGGACGTGAGAATACAAAGGGTAAATGATGGTAGCCTCTCAACAGACATCTATAGAAAAGGATATAATTCCGAGATCATCCTTAATTATGGAAGTAATCACCCCACAGCTCGCAAAAGAAGCTGCGTCCGAACTTCGTTTCACTGAGCCTAACGTTATTGCAACAGTGACGATCTCCTTAGGAATGAGCTTGCTGGCCTGTATCGGTTGTTTCGATCTGATGCCTAAAGCACCAGGCACGACTGCAAGGTGCAAACTCCAACAGCAAAATTGTGGCATGAAAATTCGACCCCTTGTCATATATACAGGGAACCTCTGAAGTAATTTTCCGGCGGTAAAATCGCTTTGGCATTCACCTTGCCCACAAGCCAGCATTCTCACCACGCGCAGCACTATCTCGAATCAAGGATCCCATCTCCAATGAGTAACAGATAAACGTACTTTATTGCATTCTGAGCGCAAATCGCTCCTGTGTGTATGTTGGTCATACGGGTTGACGCTTGGGTACTCTTGTTAATGAACACAAACTAGCTGTGCGTTGCCGAGACCTTCTGTACCTCATTTTTACGCGCGCACTCGAGTGCGACCACCGATTCAATTAGGATGGCACTGAACGGGCGAGAGAGATTCTCAAGGTTCGGGACATAAATGTAGGTAGTATCAACCGCCATGTTGACCTGGACGCCCATTACGAGGGCTCCCAAGTTCACGACTTTTTGACCACCGTCATAATCCCACATCAATGATCGCTGGTCCCGAGTTTGACTAACCCACCATCTTACCCTCCCCCTCAAGCGCAGGTAGTCGTAATTGTTACGCGTCCCCTCGCCCGTAGCTCAGAAACCTACCATGACTCTGTGACCACCCCTCTCACACGCCAATTGTTTGTCTGTCCTGTTGCGTCAACTGGTATAGAGAGAAAATCTAACGCTCCCTCTTGTTTTCATTTCGTCCGACGACGGGTTGGTGCCACCAACTCGGAATTTCACGAGTACAACTAGACGTTTCCGAAGAACCTCTTCCTCTTTTGATTATATCGGCTCGGAATGCATACCACCTAAAAACCCGCCTAACAAAGGATGCTGGAAACTGCTACTTTTGCCCCACGATGCCAATGATTTTCAAACCTCACGTAAATATTCCGGAGATCTTCGAACAGGATTGGCAGGCCTCCCGAACTACGGTAACGAGTTGCGCAGCAATCATCGAAGTCAGCATAATATAGAAAGCCAAGGGAATGAAATACTGGGGATATCGATACACAATGCTGCCAGCATGGTCTCGATGGATGAAGACGCCAACCCCTTCACGCCTGTTCTCACTGCTAGCACACATTAAGGAGCCTTGTTAGTCTTGCAGGATGTCGTACCGCATCACCAACAGAAACGCTGACGTTGGGCAACATCGCAGGCACTGACCAAGCGCTCAACTCGTGTCCCCATTTTGAACGCACACTCGGAGTCTTGAATGATCCTGGTTGGATATCTCCGCGCCGAACCAATCTCGCAACTACCAATTAAGGCTCCCTAACCGCCCAACCTAGGTGACCTCTGTCCATAAAACTGGACGGAACAGCGACCGAATCACGCCAATGTGAATGCTACGTGGAACCCAGTAGAGGCAGGGTAGTAGCAGCAAAACACGCCGGTCGCAGATATCACTTTCATCCCCTCATCGTTTGCCACAATCTCACTTCCGGACATGTTCCGCCTGCCAAACATCCAGCTAGACCACCCAGCCACAACTGCTACCTGCTGTCCACTGGCAACAGAGACAGCAGCAACAAAACTCCAGTCTACTCCGGCTCTGAGGACACACTTGGGTTCACATGGGAGTGATGTCCACAGGTCTATGTCGGTCGCAGAACGGAAAAGAGCACTTCCGTTTTCGTTTGGGTGCTCAGGACCTAGAGTTCAACCTGACAGTCGCATGGCGACGAGCAGTCACTCATGCAGAAGTGTTACCGACAAGGACACTGAAGTGACCATTTTTGGATTTTTAACCGCCATCAGTCAGTGTTACTTCAGCTGTAGATTCTGGAGCACCTAGAGATCGGAACTCAAACATTAAGCATTAAATGACCCAGCTGAGACCGGATTCAAACCGCGGACGCCGTAGCATCCGAGGTTGGAATACATTGCGCACCTGAATCCTGCGCCTCCGAACAGCAGTGCATATTTAGACGCGAGGTTGTCCGCAAAATTCCCCCAGTGTTTTTACTCAATTTATCGCCTCAAAACAGGGAAGTCCGTCTCAACCCACGTACTACGATACTAACGGCAGAAAGGTGTGACTACATATTCCAAAGCGGCCACGCAGACGCTGGGACATGGGGAAGAAATGCCCCCGGGAACAAAGCTCACATTGGCGGCTCCATGCCAAATAAAGGTGGCGCGACCCCCTAAGTCAGTGCATCAACATACATATTGATTCACATGTCGCATGGGCAGTTATCGAGGCTACAAGCAAGGGAGCTCAATCGACCACAAGCAGATAATGAGGTTAAGTAGATTTATGCTGGCGCAACCGTTACTTATTCAAACAGACCGCTGTTTGACGCTGTGCAAGTTCCGCTTTCTGCAAGTTTACGATGAAATGAAAAACAAATAGCAAAAATTGGGGGAGGGAATAAAAGGGTTGCCTATCAAAAGACTTCCAGCGCTTTCATTATAATTCGTATAATGTTTGTCTCCCCATGGATATATATATATATATATATATGGCAGAATGGTATTACAGACCACTGTGCAGTTGCTGGTTGGGCCCGGGAGAGAGCCCGTGAGGCACAACGGAACGAGTGAGTTGCGTAAGGACGATCGATGAGCGTCCTTCTACCATTACATATATATATCGGCAAAACACGTGTCTGGGCTTTTAGTTAGTACCTATATCGGGAGTACGGTATAATGCGTTTGATGTGTACATTTCATACTACTGGTATTATTACTTGTTTGTAGAATGGGCATTACGTGGTTACTCCGCAGTAGTCAATTGTCTCCGACTCAAATTTTCATTGAAATTTCGGTTCTGACCCTAAAAAGTTAGGCTTCGGAGACTTAACTCCGTGTCCTGCACCGAGTAATTTCTGAAATCATTCAGTTGAATATATATATATATATGCATCATAAAGTGAGAACGGAGAGGCATCAGCAGATAGATCGGGAGGAAGAGATAGAGAAAGAAGGAGAATGGAAATGATACTCACAAGAGACCATGATCTCAAACGGCACAGAAACACGTCCCGCAGTGCTAGTTAGTACGAGTTCGTAGGAGCCGCTATCACTCTCCTCGGCATCACGCACAACGAGGTGACGTCCGTGCATGACAAAGACCCGGGTAGTGGGTGCAACCTGTCCGCTGGGCAGTGGGGGAATTCGCAGGGGTTCCTGCCGACCTCGCATAACGCGAAACCATCTATAAAAGAGAATTGAGCGGAGGAACAAGTTCGAGTGTGCAAGTCGATAAAGTCAGAAGGACAGTCACTAATTCTCTGTTAAGCGCTTTTGTGTTTTGATCTTATGTCTGATTGCTAGCAAAGCTAGCAGTCTTGACAGTTTTGCCAGCAACCGCTCGAGTCCCCCTAAAGGCTTTGACTTGTTTCAAGCTACATCTCTTTGGATACCTGTTTTTCACTACATACGGAGGTAGTTCGCAGTTGGAAAGCAACGAGGACCGGCTCTGGACCGAGTGCGCACCGGAGTATAGGTCGTTTTGTAGTGAAGGGGACTTTCGCTGCATATGCTTAACGCCTGACAGGAAATAGACGTGGATGCAGTGGTTAAATTCGCGTCGGTGCGTGCCGTACAGGCGCTGGACTCCAAATGCTGACATATTTGGCTCCCAAGTGGGGAATCAGATCTGTCACCGACGAGCGTTGTCATAAAAGTAATATTAAGGAGTCACTATGGCCTGATTATAAATCTGGTGCAGAACGGAGTTGTCCCAACAGCCCGTAATTACGACTTGTACTGTCTTCTTGTGGTTACTCAAAAGTGAGAAAGGGGTGCGCTAGATCCGCTTTAAACCAATCAGGAATGGGCGCACACCGATCTATTGGCTTCACGAAGCAAACAAGTTCCGTATACGTGGCAAGGGTCACGAACAGGCAACCGATTACCAGGCCGACAGATAATGACAGGTGGCGAGGCACTGATGAACTTTGGTTCGATGAAGTGCTTATGACCCATCTGGTAGGCCTCAGCACTGGACCAACTGCGCCAGGTGCTTCTGTGCGCATGTTTGTGCTTCTGGTCCCAGCTGCTGGTCAGGGTTATGATTGGCTGAATGAAGGCAAAATAAGCCCGAAACAGTACTGTCGTCCCTCCTCGCCGCTTTAAACCGCCCATCACCGGTTACCAGTTGAAGACAAGACAACTAGAGACTGAACGGTGCGTGATGGCTGACGCGGTGTAGGCCGTCGTCCAAGGCGCACCACGAGCCAGAATGGCCTCATTTAAGTCTTACACAACAGCATATCCCTTTTTAGAATAAAAGTGCATAATATACATTTAATGTGTACAGTACACCGCAGAAACAATAAAACACCACATGAGCATACTGTTTTGCCATAATACCCTCCCTTTTTCATGCGCCTGATTTATTAACATTTCCTCGGCTTGTCTGTGTAGGCAAAAAGTGACTGAAAGGCGAGTCAAGAAGATACTGCCTTCGTAAAGGAACGTTTCCTCATAGCTGCTTTGGGTGAACTAAACAACTGACAGTTCGAAGTGTTGAGGTTAGGGATCTATGTAAAATACGTCAACACCGCAAGGTCACCTGTCATGAGTCTTCCCAAAGGGCGAAACCTCTTTGATCCCGAGGTCAACGAGGCCACTTAAAGATGCTCGTGTAATTGCGGTTCTGCAGGTGAGTATACAATTTTTGATGAGTAAACTGTGTAAACTTTTTTACTTTGCTAGGAAGTATCAGTCATTTCCCCATAATCATAAGCAGTATGCGTTCATCATCATCATACAGCGTGGACTTCGAAGGACGACTAACTCCTCGTTCGAGCGTCCCCTGGTGAACCTTGTAATTCCTCCAAAGTGAAGTGGAGGAACCATGGTAAGGTAACGCCACAAACCCAAGGACTGCTCAGTAAAAACACCCCCACAGGGAGTTATGCATTGGGATACAGTCAGTCATTATGCGGCTCGGAAGGCTAGGAACTGACGGGGCAACTCGGACCACTATGACAACTCGCGTTATCGAGGCTGGGCAGAGTCCGAGCACACCACGACAAATGACACTCATGGGGGAGTGTGGTGCCACGTTTGGGCGCAATCTCCCGCCGCGCCAGAAACTAGTGCCCAGTCCCCGCATCAGATGGCTGGCCGGCTCGGACAGTGGGCTGGTGAGGGAAGAGGGAGGGTGGGGCGGATACTGTGAAATATATTCCCCCAGCGGTTCAGAGCATTGCTCACTGTAAACATCAGAGGTGGTTTGGACCAATCACGACGCGCTGAAGGTCATGGCTCTGAGGGCTGCCAAATGACGGGATAAGAAGGTTCCTTTCTCAGGATGGAGAGTCAGGCTGCAATGACTCATTTCTAGTGTGGCCTCTATGCCACTCCCGTCCAGATGAGATCCGAGACGTCATCTTGTTTGTGAAAACCCGGCCCATTGTGCGGGAACCAGGTCGTGTATGACATACGCAGACAGTCTGTTTATCTTTGTCGGCAATTGCACCCGACTCCGGCCTCGGTCCTTCTGTTTTCGTCTAGCTACAGGGGAGAGGAAGGAGTGAATGCGGCAGAGGATGCACAAGTCTGCCATCACTATAAAGTAACTCGGGCAAAAGGCAACTTCCTGCGCCCGCGGACATTTTCGTTCAGGACGGTCTAGCTGTCGTCGAGGGAAAACAAGTTGGAAACCTGCTGCAATAGTTCCTAGACGATCCTACTCACAGTTTGTTTCGGCACTAAGGAAAATCTTCATGAGCATACGTCACCTTTTTACAACGGAGGAATTCACAATGCGGTGGTTAACACAGTGTCAAGAAGACGATCTTATACAAGCAAATCTGGTTAACCGCTCTGTGAGTTAGTTGCTACACTTTTTATTAGGGTACTGCGTAATTCCAGCCATTAAAATAAGCTCAGTAAGAGCGGTTAAGATCTCGGGAACTCACTCAATTCGCGGCGGAGGATTAGAGATATTCTCGGCCGTATACGAAGTCGATGGTGTTAAGTCGGAATAATAGCGGAGAATAAGGGTCTCGTGAAGTCTTACGGCATGAGGCTGGTTCTTGCGAGGACGCGGAGAGAAGTTGAACGGTTTGGGGGGATATAACTCTGTTAAATGCAAAGAAAAAAGGTAAAAGAGACAAGAAAAATATTGGCCAACCACGTCTATCGGAGTTGGTCATGGTATAAATGAAAGTGAAGTTGAAAAGCAAATCAGCGACCGTATTACACACGCTTCACCAATTTGCGTGTTTTGGGAAGCGTAGGCTTCGTACAGCGTATGAGCAGAAAGCACTGAATGAAACATTTGAGCAATTCTTTAAAGGGGAACACTACTCATGCACGAATGAGTTGTAATTTTCACATACATAACCTTACGTTAACTCGCGCTCGGTGGAGGGTTTAATGTTAGTCATGCGTCTCCTCAGCCTTCTGTTCACATGACACCTTAGAAAATCGCTACTTAGGTGGTGTGCACGTCTTCCATCGATTTTCAACCAATGGGTAAATGCGACAACAGTCCCCCCCCGCAGTTGGACGGCCGCAAGCGACGACGTCAATGGCCGCTCACGAGGTGGGCCCAGCAGCGGCGGCTTACGCGTGAAGTCGTTTACAGTAAAACAGACGGCGGCGGCGGTGCACCTGCCTCACGCCCTCCCCCCCCCACACCCACCGCGCTCCGATGGCAGGATAAAGCCAAGATGACCGGAGGTTGGCTCGAGCGCAGTGACTACTAAAGCTAAGTAGTCCATCTGGGTGCGCCGGCCACACGCGACCTGGCACCAGAATACTGTAGGGTCACCTTAAATGTCACATGGGTGAGGGTGCACAGAAGTCTTATTAAAGAAGGGGTCATTGCAGCTTGGCCCATGGGTCATGAGAAGGACCGAGTTATCTAGTCAGCCGGCGGCCTCCCAAGTTAGGATTAGTAACGCGTCGTGACAGATCCAGGCGTGCCAGACTGAGTATAATAGTGAGGAGAAAGATGGTTTTTGCGTGGGTATGGAGTCCTCAGCGTCGTCCTCACTTCCTCCCTTCCGCGTCCCTCCTTCAGCCTCGCTGCTAGCTGGTGATGGGTTTGGGAGCAGTGGCTGACGGGGCGTGAAGGCCTCCGTCCAAGGCATGTCACACGCATGAACGGTAGGAGTGATGAGCTCTCGCGCGGAAGCATTGCAACCCGCCAAATGAGTCAGTCCGACCTCCCCCCCGCTCCCCGTCTCACCTGTCTGGTCCAGCGCATCTAAAGTGCGGCTTTTTGTATGGGGCACGATATGGTTTCGAGAGAAAATGCGCAAACGCCTCATTACATACACTTAGTTTGTGGCAAATTACACCTAATGTACTAATTCAGCCCAGAGAGTCTGCGCGATCCACATGCGGCGCAAAAGTTGGATTGCAATACGCTCCCGAAATAAATTGGCAAAAAAATCCACCGTCGGAATGGTATGTTTAAAGGGCTATTTACACGGTTGGGGACGTAGATGGTCAAGCAAAAGTCAACGTGCCACAGCGAAAGAGGTCACCCCAAAGTATGCTTCATGTAAATCAGTATTGCAACTTTGCCCAATCAGTCTTCACTCACTAAATGTGCACTTGAAGATTTCTAGCGAACCAATACATGCACAGCCAGTGACCGATCTCCTGAAATGTTAATTAAAATTCTGAAACTAAGTTTCTATTAGGAAAGATTACTTAAGTGGGGCTGTAGCATGGATTATTGTGTTGCATAGACCCGTGATAATTCCGACACGCCAGGATGGTGGCTTATGGGTGAGCTTCTTGTCGACCGCCAGCAAAAACCGCACTCGCAAAAAAATAAAACTTAAGTAGCGTGCATTTCCTCTTCTAATTTTCGACACCCCTGTCGATTCAAACGCATTTTAAAGAAAACCTCTAGAAAAATATTATTTCTTGTACTAATTTAGCAGCAAATCATGTCCTCTTCAAAATTCATGCTCAAAGGAATAGTACAGACCGGTTTTAAAAAGTTTTCAATTCCCGAATAATTTTGAACCCGACCTGCCATTTCATCCTTGAATGGGGTTCTCAGTCTACAAGCTGGATGCATTCTGTATAATGCGAAATATAGGCTTCTTTGTGCCATTAAGAAAACAGCATACGCGACTCATAAAATGTTGCAACGGACTATGGTGTATGCTTAACGAGGAGTGATATTGAACAGACAGATAAGATGGTATTCGAATGGACATTGCAAAGTCTTGAAAAATGTCATAATTATAAAAAAAATTTAAAACCAAAACGCACCCTTTCTTTTAGTATTGACTTTAAGCAAGACGTGATTTATTAACAAGTGGGTGCAAAAATGGTATTTTATGGAGATTTTCTTCTAAATACATTTGCATTTACAAGGGCGTCGAAAATTAACAGAGTAAATGCACGCCACTTAAGCGCTAATTTTCTGTAAGTGCTGTTTTTGCAGTCGATCAAAAAGAAGATAATTCCAAATTCAACATTCTAACGTGTCCGGAGTATCACGGGATTATGCCACAAAATAATCAATACTGCGGCGCCATTTAATTAATCCTTCCTGATCGAAAACAAATTACAGAATAGTGGTTAACATTTCATGAGATCGGCCACTGTATTTCAGCGATCAAGTAAATGAAATCTGCAATTTTTTTAAAGAAATGAATGTTTTTTGTTGTTAATCATTCCTCCGAGAGGGCTTGCTGAAAGTGTGCCTTCTGAGCAAAAATTGATGTTGCGTTGGGCACGGGAATATAGATCTTCGTATCACAGATGTTTTTGTCCTAAATTCCACGCGGGTTAGGGTTGGGTTTAGAGTTCCGCTAGAAGGGTTAAGGTTTTGGTTAGTGTTAACGTTAAGGTTTGAACACGGGAATAGGTATCCCCTAGAATTTAGCGCAAAAGCGCCCGTATTACGGGAGATCCAAGTGACAGAAACGGGAGATACAGCAAACTCACCTGCCAGATAGACTTGAAAGACGTAGAAGTACCGATCAGCCGAACCGGGGAAACCGATCTCACAGGTATAGAAGTTGGCGTGGACGTGTTTAAAACGTTCAATGGTGAGTGTCGAGTCCTGGTCCGTTAGATGAACGGCAGGGAGGTGGGTGATGGACTGCTGCTGCTCGCCCAATTTCTTCATGAAACCCCACACTGTGATGATTGGGGAGTCACGCAGATCCTCCGGCAGGGTCGGATGCGGGCAGGAGAGCTTGATTGGTCTGTCGGGCAGGGCGTACACAAGCAGCTGCTCGCCGCTCACGCTGGTGTCCAGGCTGGGGGGTTCGTTGGCTTTGGAGAAGCAGAAGTCAAGTGTTCAGGAAGGGATTTGGAAAAATTTTCAAGAAAAGTGGGGGGGGGCTCTTTGAAGACGTCTTAATGGTGCTGCTACTACCGGTCAGCATTGCTGCGTCCACTCTTTCTGATTCTGGGGGGGCTTGCATCCTGAATTCTGTTATCGGCAAGGCTCAGCTGGCCATGCTCCAACTATTAGGCGTTGTTATTTATGACGACCGCCCTTTACCGGAGATGTACAGTAGATGTGCTGACTCATGAAATGTCAACCAAAATTTCGAAATGCGTTCTCGTTTCGAAAAGATAAATTAAGTAATGTTGTAAAACTAATCATGATGCAGCATAAATCTATAATGATCCAGTTACCTCAGGGTGTCGGCTTTCGAAAGAAGTTATTTTCGGCTGCATACAAGATCTATACTCTGCAAAAAATGGTTACTTAAGTAGCATGCAATTTTCTCTTTGATGTTCGATGCCCTTGAAAATTCAATTATATTTCGTGGAAAACATGCATAAAAATATTCATTATTTTACTTATTCGGTAGAAAATCACGTCTTCTTCCAATTTCATAGTCAAAAGAAGAGTATAGTTCGGTTTTAGAAAATTCTTCTAATTCCCGAATAATTTTGAACCCAACCTACTGTTACACTTGCATTCAGGGTTCCAAAACTACAAGTTGTATATTTTCCGTGTACGGAAAACCATTCATTTCTCTTCGGTGTTAAGAGGAGACCATATGCGGTTCATAAAATTAAGCAGTGGATCTAAGCAATATTGCTAACTTTACAAACCACATTCGTAAATGCAGATACATGACGTTTCATGAACGGCCACTTAACGGTATTAAAAAATCTCACAATTAGAAACTTTTTTAAAACCAAATTATACTCTTCTTTTGACTATGAAATTGGAAGAAGACGTGATTTTCTACCGAATAAGTAGAAGAATGAATATTTTCATGCATGTTTTCCACGAAATATAATTGAATTTTTAAGTACATCGAAAATCAATGAAAAAATTGCATGCTACTTAAGTAGTCATTTTTTGCAGAGTATAGATCTTGCATGCAACTGAAAATAAGTTATTTTAAAAGCTGACACCCTGAGGTAATTGGATCATTATAGATTTATGCTGCATCATGATTAGTTTTACAACACTACTTAATTTATCTTTTCGAAACGAAAACGCATTTCGAAATTTTGGTTGACATTTCATGAGTTGGCACATCTACTGTAAGTCAGGTATCCTTCCACTCAGACATATGACTATCAACTCGCCAGCCAATTAGTCCAAGCTTAACGCGGGTGAAGACTGAGGTAAAGCCCCAACTCCCCCTCATATTTGGCCCTCTACATGTAGACACGTTTACTCAGACAGTGCAATCTCAGAAGCACAGTCGTCAGGCGAAGTAGGCTCTTAACACATGCTCGAGAGTTCTCATAGGTATTGGTGCCTAACATCTGGATTTGGTGTTTCGACGCCATCACAAAAGCGGTCCACAAATTTGCCGTATCACCAGTGTGCGATGATCGTCTACTGCTGAGTTTTTCAATATTCATTCCAAGTAACCCCATCTTAGTGATATTTTGTCTGATAATCTCCTGGGTCCTTCATACTGGATTCCTTTTAAAAGGATACGAATACTAGTGTACTTCATATGACGTCGGCTTTCCTGTCTCACTCTGCAGCCTCTGCCTTGGTGATAGTGCAATCCTTGTATTCTTTCTCTGATCAACCTTTCCAGCATGCCATGCGTGATTTTTATCGTATTTTGGTGCATGCAAACTGCTTGGCCGGGGCAAAGTCAAACGCATTTTCTAACTGCTGACGTTCGGTATGGTGTATTTAAGGAGGACGCCACTTATGTTCTTGTGAGAAGGTTCCGGATGCACTTATATTAGATCATCCGGCAGTCTCACGACCTCCCCTGTCCTAGCTGAACTTTATGAGCCAATTGGAGTTGATTCTTTTACTGAGTGGAACCCCTGTCACACAAGCACGATGGTCCGAAAGGGGTTATCAGAATACATTAACATCCAGACACACAGCAACCCGGGTCTAAACCCTCCGGACTATTTAATTTGGTTTTGTGATTAAGCTAAGGATTTTCAGTTCCGACACCCAAATCTCACGATCCTGCGGTTTTTTATGCCTGCGACTGACCTCAAGACCATTTTTTTAAATTCTCATTTTAATTTAAGTCAGGAACAAACGCCTAAATGTATCCTCGGTGTTTTTTAACAAGTGCTCTTTCCAGAGCGTCCCGTTTTTCACCTATGTACTTTTTAAAGACTACGTATTATAAAATTAGATTTTGGGTCGTATATGGTATAGGTGAACAACTGGTGGTACCTGTAGTAAGCCACTGCGTTTACTGGACCAGAATTGAGAATTAAGAGGGATTCCAATAGTATAAACAGGTAACCAACTAAGTCTGACTTCGGGAAATACTCCGGTGCATACGCTGTGAAGCGACCTTGCGGTGACCGAGGTATCTAAAGCATCACTTTGTGGTAGTTCACTTTAGTGGATCCGCGAACTATCCGCGCTTTCTGTCTGCCTCGAGGTCACCTACTGTCTATCTCATCAGAAACATGGCCTTCGTGTGCCTACGGCTTACGTCAGTCACCTACTTCTGCCAGCATTTGCTGCCGAAATCATGTTTACTCAGACTGAATGAAACTTGTCCTCTGGAGATTGTCATCCTAACTCCTGCCTTTTTGAAGCACTAGTGCAGTCAATAGTAATAACTCTCGCGCCTTATAAGTCAAGGGCACTGTGGTCCGAAGTTCGGAATCCAGACTTGATGGGGTGGATCCCTCATGGCGAGAGTAGGCCAGGGCGTACACGATATCGGTAACAGAAGCCCTCTAATGGGCCAGTGCGACAGGAAATCCGGAAGGATGAACATGCCTTTTGGCCTAACTGCGGTGGTTGATAATTGGACGACCAAGCATGCAGAATTTAATGACGTCATAAATTTCGAGACCTCTCATTCAGCTGCACACGGTCATTAAATTCTGCATGCTTTGTCGCCTTCGCCTTGTTCAAATTTATCCCGGGAAAACACTGCTTCAATTGGACGACCCCCATTTATAGCTAACTGTTGAATAAACAGGCTCTTGGGTCTGTCGAATGTGGTGTCGGGAAGCGTGCAACTACAGTGTCTTCAAGCGTGACTGTCCATCGGAGTGGTAAACCATGTGCCCATAAAGAGATCACCGGCGATAGCGGAATTACACCCATGGCCAGTGGCGTAGCAAAACGCCAAGGGGAATTGCGTCTACTATACCAGAAATGATTCATTAAGGTCAAACGGGGGATTCGGACAGCAGGAGTAAAGAAAGTCATCCCTTTACACACGCAAACATTCGAAGAAAATTGAGGCCCACATCTATTCTCGGTCTCGCCAACCGTACCCAGCACAAGCACCTATATCTTTTACTAAATTATACTTTTAGAGGCGTTTTAAAAACGACTTTCTCGGTATATTGCTGGAATTCGGATGATCAGGAAGTTAGATGTGCTTGTTTAAGCCCTCTTTCTACTTGTCTGTACGCTAGATCCTGTCGCATCAGTGGCCTTCCACCTGCCACTATCTTTATCCGGCTCGACACTGGCGGCAACTCTCCCGGTGAATCGATCACAAGCGCGAACGAATCAACTGTGCCGAGGTAAGTCATCAGACAGCAAATTGTGTGAAATAGCGGCGAGACTAAGGCCACACGAGGAAAGACCAACACTCCCGAATAAAAAAAATGCAAATGACGTTAATTTCCCGTTAGGAAAGACTCAGATGAGATCACGGCCATCTGGATACAGAACTAGCCCACCTTACAGCAGTAAGGTTTCCTGAAAATATTCTCAGGTTCGCGCTACTGCTTCCGTTCTTCCTGGATCATTTGGCAAAAGGATATTACGGTATTTCCATTTTCCCAGGAATGCGTACATTTTATTACCTGACTGAGAAAATATGTGATTCTAGGTATGTGCGTGTACACAATTTTAACTCGACAGTTAACATTAACTTACCATCCATCTGAATGACGAATGGCGGCCTGCTATCCACCTTTCCGGCAGCGTGTATCACCCGACAGTGAAAGACGCCCACATGTTGCATGCCAAACGCTGCGACGTGCAGGTTGCCGTTACCCAGGGTCTGCATACTGGGGAGTCGCCTAAAAAAATCAAGATTCCAACCTTTACGGAGTCGTATGCAGACTGAATGATACCTCGGTGGCATGAGAACACAGAGACAGTAATTCTAGCAGTGAACACTGACGGATGGGGAAGCCCTCTTGATGTGGTTCCTAGTCATCTCTTGGAAGTCAAAGTTCTTTTAGAGGTTGCACCAAGTTTCTTCTTCTTGCCTGTTGGCGTAGTCCACCGCATATAAGCAACGTATGTCTAAGTTTGAAGTCATAGTTGAGTGCTTTTCAGATGCGTAGTCGTACTGGTAAACATGAAACATTTCTGCCCATGCACAAATGCTAGAAATCATGTACCATTTTGTTAGGAATAAAAGTTTCCCTCTGTCCTTAAGAGTCATAGTCATCCGTTGTTTTATAAAATTTTATAAAAGGGGCGTCCATAACGCAGTGCCCAAGTCTTGGATAGACCAAGCATAAAGGGCGTCTGCCGACTTGAAGCACACAGCATGGGTCAGGAATGCAGGCGAGTAGGATCATTTGACTGAACACAGACAATGCCAACAGACAAGGTGAAAGCACTTCGACAGACTTTTAGAATGCAGAGAAAAAAAACTCTAGTTGGATAGATTAACCTCCTCTCCCTCCACGGAAGTATAACCGCGGAATGCATATGGGAGGGGTTGCTAATCAACCGATCTCGTAGGTCTGAGTCACTGGTAGACCTCGTTAATAGAGATGGCCGAATGAATCAACTAAGATTTACAGTCATGACTTACCCGTCCCCCGCCAAGGCTAAGGAAGGTCAGCGAAGTTACGGGGAGCGACTTGAATCAACGGAAGACGTGTTTTAATTATTCAGCTGACATATTTAGATCGAGCGTTATCGGAAGATACTGCATAAAAAAGGATATCACCGATCAACGTTATGTTAGGGTACATCTCTATGGAGTGCCAATGTCATATCACATTAAGTACGCCCTCCAAAAACTCAAAACAGAAGCTAACATTCGACCGCCCCGATGATTTAATAAGTCATCTTTAACTTCCCTCGGAGATGTCTGGGATTACCTGAGAGATCAGGTTAGTCTACCTAAGTCTAACTGCTTCCAACCTCTTAGACTGCAGACGATTGAAGAAAGCAATGATTTTTAATGGCCAGAATACATGTTTTATGGCCGTCTAGGCTCTCAACTTAAACTTCATTCTAATTAGAAGCACAACTATTTATCCTCAACACACAGGAGGAGTACCTCGCAATCCCAAGGGAGCAGTCGTTCAGGCTGAAAAAATAGACTCGCCTTGTGCGTCATTGATATGGAAGCACTAAATAATTTGCACGACTGACAGTTATATTCGTCATAGCGTGATCGGTATGGCATTTGACATGAAAGCTCTGTGAAGGCACAGATTGTGGATGTGTAACGTTATCATTGCCCAGTTCGCTCCAGTCAAAATTGCTCTAATCGTTTCCCACTCTGAAATGTCGCATTGGCGTTCTCTAAGAAGTGTGAAATTCGCTGTCCCAGACAGCGATTACCAAACCCATTGAGGGCATGTCCGAGAGGGTTAATGCAGCAATCGCCTTTTGTAAGGAGGCAACGAAGTATGGCCCTCCTGATGCATGACCAACCTTACTGACTTTCTGCTAATGCTTAGTAATCATTCATAATGCTTTTCCAACTGTCCTTTCATTTGAGCCTCAAGTTAAGCGAAGAAATAATTACGCCATAATTAGTTAATTCAACGATGAATGCCTCAGAGACTTCAAATGCTCTCCAGCATGTATATGTTGGGCACGAAGGATAGGTGACGGCGAGAGTTAGTTTTCGAATCATTTACAGTAGGTGGGCTAACTGGTGAGATTTCAACAGAAATTCCGAAAAGCGTTTTCGTTTCGAAAAGATTAATTAAGTAGGGTTGTAAAACTAATCATCGTGCTTTCGAGCAAACTTCTTTCCGACTGTGTCCAAAAACCATATTCCGTAAAAAGTGACTACTTAAGTAGCATGCATTTTTTCACTGATTTTCGATGCCCTTAAAGATTCGATTATATTTCATGGAAAACATGCATAAAAATATTCATTCTTTTGTCCATTCAGCAGAAAGTTATGTCTTCTTCCAGTTTTATACTCGAAGGAAGGGTAAAATTCGGCTTTAATAAGTGTCTAATTGTGAGATTTTTAATACCGTGAAATGGCCCTTCATAAAACCTCATTTCTCCACATTTACCAATGTGGCTCGTAAGGTTAAGAAGTTGGATCAAATCCACTGTTACTTTTATGAACCCCATATGGTCTAATCTTAATACGAACTGTCTGGTTTTCATTACGCGGAAATTATACGGCTTGTAGTTAGGGAACCCTGAATGCTAGTGTAACGGCAAGTCGAGTTCAACATTATTCGGGAATTGGAAAAGTTTTATAAAACCAAATTATACCCTTACTTCGAGTATGAAATTGGAAGAAGACGTAATTTTCTACTGAATGAGCATAATAATGAATATTTTATGCATTTTTTCAATGAAATATAATTGAATCATTAAAGGCATCGAAAATCAATGAGAAAAAGGCACGCTTCTTAAGTAGTCATTTTTCACGAGTATGGTTTTTAGATGCAGCCGGAAAGAAGATTTTTCGAAAGCCAGCGTTCTGGGGTAACTGAATTATCATAGAATTATGCTGCGCGATAATTAGTTTACAAACCTATTTAATTAATCTTTTCGAAACGAAAACGCATTTGTGAATTTCGGTTGACATCTCATGAGTTAGCCCACTTACCGTATATTTAAGCAAAAAGATTGCACATTGGGCATTAGAAAATCAGCCAAGCGTATGGGATGAACTAGGCCTCTAAAAATTGTTTTAGGACGGTCAGCTGCTCGTCTAAAAGGAATACAACTTACGCGTTGCCGTTGTGAAACCAGAGGATATTGCTCATTGTGGCTGGTGGGCTTGCCTGAACGCGACAGGCCAGTTCGACCTCGACGCCCATGCGAATATCCTCTAGCCGTTGAGGTTTAACCAGCTCCACGCGTACGTCCGGTTCCATCCCTGAATGTCGAAGAGGAAACACGGGCACAATGCATTACGGAGTTTGGGATACAAATATAAAAAATAAAATATGAATCAGTAATCAGACCCTTTGTATAGGGGTTACATATCATTCACGTAGGTCGTAATCAAAAAGACGTAAAGTTACTTGAGGGGAAAAACTGACTAAGTAAAAATCCATAAAACAGTCGTTATTCTGTAGAAAAAGACCCTCACTGCTGATCCGCGGCCCTTTGTCCTCTCGATAGGCGCCCCTCTACCATCGTTAGTCTGTGCGATCGACAACGGGTCGGGGGCTCGGTGATAAGGGTGTTGGACTTTCGACCAATAGGTTGCGGGTCCGGGCCTCAGGGGTTGTAAAAGTTGGGAGTGGGTCTGGCTAGCTGATGACAGCTAATAATGTAGAAGTGGTCACTCCAGCCCCTCTTGTTTTTGTTGCTAATATCATTCTGTCTGTAATACTATCCGTTGAGCGGCTGCTGGCGAGGCTCGAGAGTGGACCTCAAGAGACAGCAGGGAGAGTGTGTCCCGTAAAGAGATCGATGGGTGCCCCTCAACTATTGTTCATATATATATTAACGCGATATATATATATATATACTCATTTAGGAATGGGTACACACCGATCCATTGGCTTTCCAACACAAACTAGCCTCGTAGTGGCCCGTTTTTCTGTCGGTTGAAATCTATAATTCTACCATGTTGTAACTGCTTACACCTATCGGGTTAAGGTACATGCTCGTCCTGTTGTGCCTCAGGGCTCAATCTAGGGCCCCTTTGTACGATTGCCTATGAGGACTTTGGATTTGGCGCCAAGGCACAATAGGGCGAACGCGTCCCGTAACCTGGTCGGTGAACGTAATTTCAGGAGACAGACATATATACCGAAGATTTCACCCCATGCCTCTTCAATAAATTCCACGAAAATCGTGAACTCTAACCGTTATGCACGGGTATATTTTCTGTCTGAAGGCACGTCTACGAGCTCTGCTCCTTGATTAATCTCTATGTTTACTATTCTCTTCATCTCTGTGCATAGCCCATTGTTTACTTGAAATCAGTTTGCAATGGCCACTTTGATTAATCCGTCCAGCTAAGATTTAGTAGAACCATAGAATACATTATTTGATTTCGGCAAAAAAACAGTATAAAGTTGCAGTAAGTAGACGGAAATAAATGCTCCTTTTCTTTAGGGACCAATTCCATTTAGAAGGTTGAATTAATTGTCAACTTAAGAACTCATGTAGAACTCAGTAAAATTCGTGTGTTCTAACGTTAATTAAACAACCATCTCGTCTACCGATGTTTTATATTAGAAAAGAGGACTTCTGGAATATCTTGAATTAAGAAAGTCATTTTCCCTATGAGCTGCGGACTTTCTAGCCGGTGTGCTCTTCGCTGTTTTGATTTTAGAACTCAGTTTCGAGGGTGAGATACACCTGAGTTTATCGTATCCATAAATTTCTTACAATACTTGGAGAATATTTTTGGGATGCTTCCGTGGCTTGGACGATATAAAATGAATCAAACTTTTACAAACGTAGACACCGATCCATTCAAAGATTATTTAAATTACTTGCTCAGAACTGCATAAATCCTCCAAATAGTCTTTGAGCCTTTAAAGCAGGGCCGCACAAAGGTTCCTTAGTGCAATCGTTCTCAAGCCTGTACATAATTGAATTCTAGAATCGGTCTTTCAGAAAACTGTCCTCTCCAAGAAAATCTTCCCTTTCAAGGCGCTTAATGGAGAAAACGATGGCGACGGAGTAGCTGAAACAGCGGCAAAGTCGGAAAAAGCATCGATTATTTTTCGTCGGTGCCAATAAACATTTACTCAGATAGATAAGAGTTGTTTACGTCAATGAAAGTCTGATACTACAGCGAATCTGACTGCCCTCTGCTGTGACGTTTTAGATCTATGATAGGGAGTGCCCAAGGACTTTTGCCTGGGTGCCCCAGGTTCTGTAGAGAGGCCGCTAGCAAACGGGTCTGTTGGATCTCCAAGACCGCGGGACAACGTGAACTTTTCCGCACTCCGTTTATCATCTACTGCCTCCGCGCCTCTGTGTATGGCACGTAGATGCGTTTGCCCATACACGCAAGTGGCGCACAAACACAGGCTACCATTAATCATGCAGACACAAAGTGTCGCTTCTTTGAGGTAGCAGGCCGTCGTGGCGGCTGCTGTTGCTGCAGGGAATACCCAGCGAAGATGCTACAGCCGCGGTGTCTGATGGCCTTCTTTTTTTCCATTTCTTTCCTCCTGCTGATGTACACCTAAACACTCATCGAATAAACCCATTCTCCCCTTCTCCCTGATAGGAACCCGACTTTTGAAGGAGTCGAGGCAAGCCAACGGGGCCAGCCGGCAGTGGCTGCTACTGCTGCTGCTGCTGCTGTAAACTGCGCAGTCTCCGAAGCCAGTTGACGAGAACGGTGGAAACATCTATCATCCAGACTACATATGAATGTGCCCGTGGGTGGGGGACGCACATATGGCAGGCATTAGGTACAGTCGTGGACGCATGTGTGTGTGAGCGTGCTTTTGTGTGCTGCGTTAACAAGCCTCCTCGGAGGCACTCAAATGTGCGTAAACACACACACACACACACATAACGGATGGTTCAATCATTGCAAACGTCGAAATTCACCTATATCCCACGAGGTGGACGGGGCTGTGGCTTACGCGTGAATTTTGTTATAGTGAAGCAGACCCGCGCTGCGTTCCGATGGAGAAGCAGAGTTAGGACGACTGGAGGTGAATGCGTGCGCAGCAGTAGCAGCAGCAGCTAACAAGGCAAACTAGGCCGTCTACGCGTACCACACACGGGCTACTCAATGCGTACCGTCCTTCACACTGCGTGAGGGCTAGCAACTAGCGCAAACGAAAGGTCTGTAAAGGCTGGATCTAAAAGGGGTCCTTGTGACCTGACCTCCAGCCCTGAGTAGACTCGAGTTATCTCCTCAGCTGGCAGTAAAGCGAGCCAGCCGGTCACGTACAAGGCCCTCTCAGGCCTCCAGATTGGTTTTGCAGGTGTTGGCGAGAGAAGTATTCAGGGTACTTGTATGCCGAATTTTCCGTCTACCATGTCTGTGAACGCACGTACGAACATCATTGTAGAAGAATCGTCTGGGCAGGTGCACGTTGGCAATACTTGTGACATGTCTGCTCCATGGCAGTTGCATTTCCTTGGGCATAGCATAGATGCTCAGCACGCCCGTTCTTTCCAAGGCCTCAGTGCCCGCGATCCCCTCCTACCACTTTGCCTTCAGGATTTTCTCGGAGCTACTTAACTGACAGTAGTCCCACTTTTCTTTGGATTTCGTGCCCCGTTAGATCGTAGTCAGGACGACCATCTTGTACATCTGTAAGTTCATGTTGTCACAAATATTCCATATTAAGTGTTGCAGCCTGCCAATGACCTGGTTGGCCCCGGAGAATCTATATGACCATAATGTTTTTGGCGGTTATACTGTCTGGGTACGCGAGTTCTAGTCTCAGTAGAGCATAATGAGAGAGGGAAGGAGAAGGAAAGTGGTGTATACCAGTCATTAAACTCTTGATCGTCATTTTCCCGTTTATTCTGATTCCCATTAAAGCCATTATCGGTCTGTACTTGAAATTGGGACACGTACCCGAAGACTGGCTAAGTACGCCCACTTGGGGCTTATGGTCAGCAGATGGATACTCGTTCTCGACGAGGGCTTCAACTCTTATTCATGTTCATGCATTCGTGTCATTAGTTTTGCATTAAACGTACCGTAGTAGGTGGCCGGGTAAATAGGACAGACAACGCGGCATATTATTGGAAACATAAGGAAGTGTCGTCAACAAATACTAGAGACAGTGGAATGACCATTTCTGACGTCTGTGTCGATATCAGACAGTAATACCCTAACCCCGCTGCTAGTTCATCCAAGATTTGAACACCGATCCATTAGTCCATTGAAAATTCTAATGCTAATTTCGTCGCTACATGGACTGCTGCGCTCACGTTCTAACGGCCGAGATCGGGAGCAGGCTAAGTCACATGGAAATTGCATTTACCGCTCGAGCTTGCTTGCTGGATTGAAGTGGACGCTTCTGTTTTGTCTTGGATCTTCGGACCTAACGTGCACGCAGGCGGTAGCATTGTGACTGGCGACCAGGGATCAACGAATGCTACTTTTGCTGTTTCTGAACGTGTGCTGATGTTGACATGTTTACAGGTTGCGTGAGCAGACGATGGGTTGTTGCCTCGGGACAGTGTCCGAGGACCACGTTCAGCTGCTTCGAAGGTAGTACTCATACAGAGCAAAACACTAAAGATATCAGGTTTTATTGACGTTCTAGCATGTATTTTCCTAGAAGACTTCAGGGGTCGTGTGGTGGACCATTTGATATGTCGGGAGATTACCATATGTTAACACAATAAAAGAACTAGCGAAGGAGTCTCGTCGCAATCATAACCACGCTATCTCTGAGCGCGATAGTCTCGGCGACTTGTTTCATTGTAAATAGGGGTTGAGGTTAAAATCGAGCCTAGATAGTCCTTTGCAGTTTCGATAACGTCCCTGTGAACGCCCAAAAGTATACCATTCCCGTACGGTATCCAAAACTTTGGCTTGCAGAAGGTTAAAACAGGATATTAGGGTCCTTGAAACTCAGATTCAATCACAACAGGAGTAATCTGGTCGGACGTTAGACTTCCTTAGAAATGTTTATGTATCGGCATTGAACTAGGTGCTTTTCCTTTTGAAGCTGTCACCTATTCATCGCACATTTCTTCTGTCGGTCCTTCTTTTTAAATGAAAGTGGACAGAGCAAAAACATCAACGATGCTATTATTTCGGATGAATCTCATGTGACGCTGTGGATTCTTTTGGGAAGAGCTGCTGCGAAGGCGGCAGCATGTCCTGAAGCCTCGAGGCTCACTTGACTAGGCCATAATCGATCGCGGCCTTGAGTGCAACGACTGGCCGAGGTGGTAAGTTCGGTTTGCAACCTACCGGGCAGACCGAAGAACCGCGCAGGGAGCGCACCCTGGGCTCGCACTTTCTCACAGTCGTTAATGCATATGGCACCTCGTCCCAACAGCTTAGACGACTGCAGGGCCAAGATTCAATTTGGTCGAAGACAATCACTCCAGCCAAAAGAAAATTTATTAATGCGTTTCAAAGGCCTTCATTGCAAGAGCGGTTGTATGAATAGAATATCATTGACCCAATAGGTCCACTGCTTCTCGAACGGGGCATAGGCACATCTTAGGCGTCGTCCGTAAGCATGTGCATCGGCCTTACCTCGTGACAGTTAATGACCTCTTACCCTTATGGTCACGACCAGTTAAGGGTGAAGACGAAAAACCAGCGTATATCCAAGTCAAATAATGAGCTATTTCGGAACAGAGTAACTAAAGAATCAAACAATAAACGCAGCCGGCTGAGAGTTTCACTCACAATATACATTGACGAGGGCCTCACGACTGGCACTGACAAACTTTGATGTCTTGTTCAGAGCCTGACACTGGTACCGGCCTGGATCAACATCTCGATCAGCGTTCAGGATCTGCAGGTTGCTCTCACCAGAGAGATAGCGGCGGCCGCTCTCCAACTCCGGTTTTATCATTGAATCATTGTGTAGCCAGGAGTAGTGAATGTCCTGATTAGGCTTCACGGCACACTCCAATCGCAAAGGTTGACCTTCTTCGACATCCTGATTTTGCGGAGAGAGCGTGAAGTAGAAACTGTCCGTAGATGTGCCTGGAACAGGACAAAATCATACTTCCAGAACTATGGATATAGTGATGCTTAATACCTCACGCAGAGATACATGTGCACTCTCAAAAAGCCAAACGTATAGGACCGTGAGTTGGTGCTAAGGCATACATTACTGGGTATGGCGTCAATCGATATTATGAAAATTACGGCAACTGTAATCGATCGCGGAGGGGAGAGGAGGAGGACATGGAGAGGGGAGGAGGACGAGGATGACTCGTACGTACGGAGAGTTAATCCTACTCGTTTTTAAAAGTGAATAACTTTCTCTTATTTGTCCGACTGCGTATTGGTTTGACGCACTACAAAAGGACGTAGAAAATGATTTGAGTTCAGTTAACTGTAAGTCAACCCTCTCCAACACAATGGGCTTTTAGCATACGTACAGAAAAGAGGTAAAATTGGCGCATGTTCTTTTTTCACTAGGGGGGCTCAAATATCCTGTTACTAACTCAAGCCAGTACCGCCTTCCCCTTCCACTCTCTCAGTCATGCGGGAAATAATTTCCTTTTGGACGGAGGACAATTTTCGAAATGGGGCAGGTTTTGTTGAAAGCGGATAGGAATATTTAGCTATTGCCCAGACTACGTAAGCTTGTGAGATACACCTAGCAGGACGAAACCAAGATTCAGCGGTAGAGTACTGACGCAAAAATTGAACACAGTGGAATTCAAACAACGGGCATGGCTGGTTGATGATGAGAAGCAGGCTAGAAGTAGCAGCCCAGGAGTATCCCCCGGCTTTGTCGGTAGTGCTTCTGAATAATGCAGTTTCTTTGCAACTGAATGACCGAAAAGGTCACCGTACTGTGGGGTGCAGAGTAAGGCCAGTATCTTCAATTGACGTAGGGGGCAAGCAATCGCAACTTCATCCAACAAATGTATTTTCACTATTTTGTTCCTAAGCCGAGGCAGTTTGCCGCGCTTCCTTGAAACAACACGCATTATTTCTTCGAAATTTATACGGTCTACTACTATGTGCTGATGGTTCTCTAGGATCGAAAATGCCGATCTGGAAGCGAACACTTAGGCATTGGTAGTACTTTTCACAAGATCACCTGTCAAGTCCTGGTAAAGGACATATGCGCTAAGTTCAGCCGGTGAGAAAAATTTGTGCTGGGCATTTTATACTTGCAGAGGCTCTACAGCTTATACGCGGCGTCGGCCGACGTACACAAAACCAAAATGTGCTACAGCCGTGTCATCGCACTGGCTTTAGCTGTGTTCCCACCATCTGACTACCAAGGCTAATCTCAGTTGTTCCTGGAAGACGGTTTTACAGGGCACCAGTATTTGTGGTTGTGGCATGGGAAAATAAGTTTTGCATCCACTGTCCGAGGAGTAGTCAGTATGGCGCTAGGGAAGAACGCCAACTATTCCCCTCCTAACATAAACATGTTTTACTAATTCCAACTCTCACAGCAGGAGTCTGAGAAAGTACGTACCACACCACAGAAGTTTTGCGTTTGCTGCTTAGGCTGACAGTCTATCCCGGGTCGTGGGAGCCTTCGGAGGCAGCTATGCGGCAGTCAACGGTAAATCAGTCTCAAATATTGGGGTCATGCACAGGGAGGGATATGCAGAAGCGCGCGCGCTTCACACACCAGCTATCTGGGAGTCATCCCGAAGGGGCGAATTTTGTACTTACATATCCAGCGTTGTCGGCCGGTGCTATTTGACGGGTTACTGTGATGTGAAGTCGGACTGTCCTCCTCTCCCCCCGCACACACACACACACCCACGTTGTCATCCTACCCCGCCAGCTGCGAGCCAATCAGGCTGGTCGGCCTTGAGTATCGTTTCAACTTTCCGACATTCCTGTCGCGCGTCACGGGGACGGAATTTTCTGTCGATGCTGCTTGGGGATGGGGCGGGTGGACAGCACGGTAGGGTCGGCAGAGAGAAACTTCGGCTCGGCGGCAGAAAAAAAGGACCAGAGGGAGACCTTGTTGTGCAAATCGCGAACCCCTATGAAGGCTCAATCGGCAGCTTATCAAACAATTAGCAAGAGTCGATTTTGGGACATCTACCTGGACGGCGTTATTAACTCTCTTTCACACACACCTTTTCCCTCTTGCATCCCTGCTCTCGTAGCAGCAATCAGGGTTAGTGCCTAGTGAGAATGAAGGTAGCTGCCTTAGTCCGCGTACCAAAGCGGGAAGGCAAACGGGATCAGAGAAATACGGATTTCCTGATAGCATGATCAAAATACAGAGGGTTGGCAGGTCTAAAAGACGCTATGATTGACAATACCTTGAGAGGCCTGGTTGCTCAACTATCTTGTCTCTACGTTTGTTGAAGATGCTGCCATATCAATAAACCAGAAGGAGGCCTTATAGATGCTGAATTGTTTGTTGAAGGTCGTGGGGGTAAGCAAACGACAACTCAGACCGTCGCACATAGCCTACATATTTGCGCGAGATTTTCTGGTGATGCCGTTCGTAATGCAGCTTGTGTGCGTTGTCAAATTAAACCATATTCGGTGATGAATGGTGCTTGCGGTTGACCATTACATTTTCCCCTTCCAGTCCCCCTCATGTTTCCCTGCCGAGGCTTGGTTAACATCACTGGTTGCAGTCAGTGATCTGACCTCTTTTCCACATCCGAAGGAACCGAAGGCGTAGCCGGACTAGACACCACATACTGGGCTGTTCCTATTTAGAAATTTTGCAGGCCACAGCATGTTGGGAGTTTGGCAGTCTCTCCCTTTTCCTCTCTCGCTCTCTACGTAGGGCTGACTCTACAACATTCACTTTTGGGAATGAACGTGCACATCCACACATAGCCCTGGAAAGGGGACAGGTTTCAAAGACGCGCAATTCCTGCAAGTTGCAAGGGCGGCGGTCGTCGAGGGACGCATTATTAATGTAGTAGTATGACTTATATGTGAGTGGAAGGCGGTGGGGGAGCCTGAACACATGCAAAGAAAGACCAAGGCCGGGCTGGCTTGCGTAGGCGACCGAAACTCGCATAATCAGGTCATTATTGTCTGCTTAGTAGGACATATGCGCATGTGCTGAGCCCGCTTCTTTGTGAAGTTCGAAATGCGCACGACTCGGAGAGTTGCTGGACAAAATCATAATTCAGGTGTACATAAAGGCACTAACACCGGAAGGAAAGAAGAACTAATACATCATAGGGCTCTCATAGCTAGTAACCAAAAAAGCCTTAGCGAGAAGCGCACGATCTTCACCAGTGACTAATCATTGTGCAATAATTTACCGTACTAACAACACAGGTATTAGCTAAAAGCCCAGACACGCGTGTTTCGCCGATCTTGTGCCGCTGCCTGACGCAGCTGCGAGGGGTTCGGCTCGTCAGTGGGTCCCCCAGCATTCCCCGTGTGTTTTCTGGTATATGAACTCCAGTTTCAACTTGCCTTGCTTAATTTCCGGGGAATGCTGGGGGACCCACTGACGAGCCGAACCCCTCGCAGCTGCGTCAGGCAGCGGCACAAGATCGGCGAAACACGCGTGTCTGGGCTTTTAGCTAATACCTGTGTTGTTAGTACGGTAAATTATTGCACAATGCTATACTACTGGCTGCCTGTTGGCGGTTTGTGAATATTAAGCGGTTATTCCGCAGTAGCTGATGGATTTCAGCTCAAATATTCATATCAAATTTCGGACCATGCCTGAAAAGGCCTGTTTCGAAAGAGTTACTCCAAGTTCGCGCATTAATTTCCGAGGAAATTAAGCAAGGCAAGTGACTAATCATTTGTAGCCGCTGGCATATTACTGGCCAATCAAAAGCCGCCCTGCTGATGTGAGAACGAAAACGGAGACAAGTCATAAGTAATTATAACTCCTCAAATGCAGTCCACAGCGCCAACACAAGGATTACTTCCTGATAATGGGAATAGTTTCCATGCGGTTTCTCCCGGCGGAAAGGAAAAACAATCGTGCTCTTAACAGACGCGTAACTGCTTATTGCCCAACGATACACGCAACAACATGAAATACTTGTTTATCTCGCTAACCAATTTCAAGTTACTACCGACGTTATAATAAAGGCTTAATGGTGGGTGGCTGAGGAGATACTAAGACAGGCGGCCTAGGCCAAAGCATTGCGAGCATTTGTAGCAGTGGCTGCGGCAGGAGAGACAGTTGTCGCATATTTGTGCCATGAACATACGCGGGGGTTGAGAAATACTGGTGGGTACTTTGACTGCCAGAGAACCCCCTGGAAAATTCGGATGTCTTTTTAAAACTGAATTTCTCGAGCACAAACATGGAGGAATCGCAGACCCTACCGACTGAGTTTTACGCTGTTCACCTTCAGAGAAGAGGCAGACTTTACCTCTTGATCAGTGTACTTTAGACGGCTGCTCAAAGGCAAGCCAGAATGTCCGCCCAAAGTCCCGAAAAAGGACATATGGTAAAAGTCCATAGTCAAAGGCCGATCCACTAACGTGCAAACGGCTTACCTTTGTACTGGCTGTATGGGGGTGAAAATGTCGGTTTTTGAAAAGCCGCACAATGGTAATGTTTGACGGCATTATGAATTCCGCTGGGTGCTTGTGCTTTCGGGGACGAGTAAGTAAGTTAACCAAACCGTTAGTACGTAACCAATATTAGCGTTATACCAGATTCAACAGGCCGTCGTCAACATGAGTGATTGGCTAACGTACGTTTATGCTCTGAATGAATTTCATACCTCCGCCGATTTGTGATCTCAAATGCAAAAATAACCTAATGCAACAGTACGGTTGTTCCCTGTGGGCGTAATTGTACGCTAGTTGAAGTCACAGCTCAGTCCAAGCGAAAATCGCCGTTTATTGATACAGAAGGATTAAGAAGATACTACGGGCTCGATTTTCGTAAAGCAGATCAAAATATTGGCTGGAGTGTCCTATACGGGCCGACGGATATTACGTACATGAGATGAATTGTCCGAATCGACAGTTGGAGCGTCGCGAACGACGTTGCGCACCGCATACACATGGGAAATAAAACAGGAGTCAATACCAGCATGTCGAAAATAAGCTGACTTATTTTTTTAAATAAAACGGACTAAACCCTTAGCCTTGGCACTGTTTTACAAAACAGACGTCTTCTGTCATCATAGTCATGCATCAACTCGGACTTCCATTGTTAACAAACGACACTCGAATGTGAGAAAATTTGTCTGGAGGCTGTTAGTGTTAGCCCGCTAACGCTTACGTTCTCCACGCAGTGCTTGTCCCGAAGGAGCAACTTCTGAGAATAAATGGCTACCTGGGCAACGAGACTACTCCCCCGGCCGACAGAAGTCATATCCGGTTCACGCGTACGAGTGCATGTAGCTCTAGAAATGGCCTAACCGGTAGTCAATAGTTGTTAGCTAGTGGGAGTTCGCGTGGGTGGAAATCACGAGGACCTGAACCAAGGCAGACGCACCGGAGTTTAAACTACATCTTCACTACATTCAAGCCTCCAGAAAAGAAAGCCAATAAAATTGTTCTGGGAAAATTTGTGTATCATACGTTAGTTTCCAAGTCGATCTAATTCGACTCTACTCCCCATGCATCTTCTCTCATTATCTAGAAAGTCTGGGTTTTAAAGTATACGTAACTCACATGTATTTTGGCAAATTTTGAATAATTCATATGGACCCAACTGTGAAAAACTCGGCGCCTCAGTGGGATTCAAACCCACGCAGTAAGGAGAAAGCTTTAGTACAGCCAACGCTCTAACCACTTGAGCTACGAGGCCCCGCCGGACAACGCGAGTTTAATCACAGTTGGGTTAAGTTACCCGCCCAACCTTCTGCAACGTCTGGAATCCACCAAATCTGATACAGTAAGTTGACTGCCCAAGCAGGATTTCCTAAGTAATTCACCTAGAATCCACCAGATGACTACGAGATGGCCCAAATGTGATTAAACTCGAGTCGTCCGGCGGGCCTCGTAGCTCAAGTGGTTAGAGCGTTGGCTGTACTAAAGCCTTCTCCTTACTGCGTGGGTTCGAATCCTACCGAGGCGCCGAGTTTTTCACGGTTTGGTCAATATGAAGTATACGTAACTGTTTCCCCAATACCCCTAGATTATTAGGGTCCGAAATCTCCAGAGACTGAAGACCCGTGGCACCCACACACACACACATGCGCCATTGAATCATAGCCAGGACGCCATATCTGCGGAGACGTCAGTGAGTCATTGACTGACTGGGCGACGGAGGCTATAAATCGCTCGATATCATACTGCTCGATCAAGTCCAGCTCTCAAGTCGCACATTAACGACATTCACTAGTTTATCCTGGTTGTAGGAGGGAATAAGGCCCTCTCTTTTGCTTTGGAGTCCTTTTAGAGCACGGACGTCTAGTATTCTTCATCATTGAAGCTGAGGCCGAGTTTAAACCTTGGGTCGGCCCTGTTTTTCTGTCCGGCTGATAGCCGAAAATAAGTCATTAATGACCATTCCACTCGTCTTCGTCTTCGTAACAATTCATAACCTATAAGCGGATAGCCTCGATTCCAGAGTAGTCTATCTCGACCGAGTGTTTTAATGGATCAACTGGGAAGTTAAAACTGGACGGTAAAGCTTCCAGCAACATGTCCAGAAAAGGGGTACGGACAAAAACAAGGGAGGCTGGGATGGCCACTTCTGACTTATTGGCCGTCTTCAACCATCCATACACAGTTCGCCTCGACGTGGGGCCGGTGATTTAACCCAAAGGCACAACAGGACGAGCACATCCGGTAACACAATCTGTAAGCATCTTTCCAAGGATAGTAAATCCTCTGCTAGGTAAAGGCAAACATGCGTCCTTTACCTTCAGGATGTCTAACCTCAGGTCTTCTGAACGGCCCAGCAAATTAGCCTGTGACAGCATGTATGCGTTAAAGTTCTGGGAAACACGGCTTCCCGACTACACTACACTCGGTCCATAACCTGAGCTGGTCTTCATGAAGAGGGGGCGTAGTCAATTAAAATTTGCTTACCAAGGCGTTGCTACTGACCAGAGTTTGCTTGGCTAACGATTGGGTGTCTTTTGAGTTGTTCTCATAAACTACACTCCGAAAAAAATTCACTTAATTAACGGACTCTTCTGCCATCGATTTTCGATGCCTGCATGAATATAGGCAAAGTAAAAGAAAAAGTTATTTATTGCACTCGTTTGCTGGAATTTACGCATTTTTCCACTTTACTTAATAGGAGGAACTATTTCGGCTTTGAAGAGTTTTCTGTTGACTGTGTATTAGGAAACGCGGCTGCCTTTAAGTTGATATTAAGGTTTCTGAAATAAATGTCATGTGTTTCCCCCAAAGCAAATTAAAAATACTCAAAATAGGTCTACTGAGTTACGCGCTGACGCCAGGTTAACATTACAATAGGTAGAAGTTTCAGTCTATTTCGTAAATAATAATAAACATGCCAGGTTTAACTCCGGGGAAAATTTATCGCGAGCTTGCAGTAAATCCTTCGAAACAGACCTCTTAAGGCTCGGCTGTCAGTATGGCAATTACCTAATTGAATAATTAAACCCGGAAATAGTAGGCTGTACGAGTAATCCTTCAATTTCCCTAAAACTTCTCGCAACTACAGACCGAATACGGAATTTCAGGGAGTCATAATCCTCTCTAAAGAAGATACATTGGAAAATTTTTGTATCTTCTCCATAGGACATTATTTAATGTATAAAAGCATGGAGGACCTGTGCAAAAGTACGCGCGAGTATAAAGTAGCGGCTGAAAAGATACTCGCTAAAAAGTTCGTATTCCACTGTGTATGTGTGGTGGCTCGATATTATGCCCTCTGATAATCTATTTTGCAGGATCACCCAAGCAATCGTTTCCATTCAAACGCTTACTGAGACATTTCAGCAAATATTTCATGATTTTCCACGCATGCCGAATGAAAATGGGGTTTTTAATAGGTGTGATGAAATATGCATGGAAAATAATACCCGGACCGCTAATATATTCGCTCGAAAAGTCATTTCAGCACTAAAGGCAGTTGGTCGAACAGTCTCCCCAAAACTATTCCATGAGCTGTTTCAGAAATGAACAGCCAGATCATTGCGCAGACCTAGGTGTTGAACAGGCTTGCCCGCCCAGATTTGAATAAAACCACAACTTTTGACTCCTTAATTCAACTCCTCCACAGGCCCCTCGCTCCACGGGTAGCCGGTTCGTTGTGTAGTCTATCCAGCGCCAGTCTCAGATCGCCCTGTGGTCCTGGTAATTATCATTCTTCTACCCAAGACAACCCTAGGGAGATTTTTGGTAACTGCAGTACGGCGAATCTCAGAGGTCCTTTGGAAGAGTTGCAAACATCATTCTGCACTATTCACTGTGATTTTTCCCGAACTAGGAGGCCTCGTTGACCAAAACGGATTTCGCAAATTTCATGCATACAGTGGAAGCGCCTAGAAGCCGAATTTCTGAAGCCTGCCAGGGAAAGGCAGTCTTCCTATATCTCGACGGAGTCTTCGATGGTGTGTAGTCGGATATTTGTGGAGATGATGCGTGGCCGTCAGTTGACTGCATCATAAATTAGGATATGGTGCTCATAGTTCATGGAACAGTTCGTATGCGTGTCCGAGAGGTAATGTCTCCGAAGTTACGGGTGCACAGCGGGGTTCCAGGGAGATCACTGGCTGAAAAACTGCTTCTACTCAGCCCGGGCGAGGCATGGTTCTGCGGTCCCGCTTGATTTGCACCATAAAGTTAGCGTACTAAAACAATTTCAGTTAATATATCCAACTTAGCCACTCGCTGGATTTGGAAGGGAAAGGGAGCGCAAGCAGAGCTCGAAGAGAATGGAGATGGCGTGCACACATTCCTCCCCCCAGGACACAGCCACTCGCTGGATGTAGTGGATAAGGTGGGCGTAATCGCAGCTGGATCTGTGTGGTAATTTGCAGTGTTTGGCCACTGTAGTGGAATTGACGGATTTCCAAACCGCCGGAAGAATTTCATTAGCAAGTCTTCTTGGCCACTCGCTGGATTAGGATAATAAAGAGCGCAAACAGGGCTCCAAGCACGCGCAGGGAGGCGCGTATGAACTGATACCTGCAGTAACCGAGGCTGGCGTATAATCACTCCTCCCCGTGGCACAGTCACTCGATGAATTAAAGTGGTAAGGAAGATACAAATACGTGTTATTTGTAAAGTCAGCCTATTCCCATCTACCAAACTTTCTTTAGAAAGCTAACTATATGGTATTACTTGAGTGGGCTTCAGGACCAAACCTCGCCCTCATCCGTGTTAACGATATAGGTAGGGAACTGATAATTCGCCGCCTCTTCCTTGCTGGCCATATTAAAACTCAGGATCAGAAATGAGATCGTGCCTTCATTAAGCAGGATTCTACCCGAGCAGTGCAGGAACTGAGGAATGGAAACTGGCCACCAATGCACGGAGACCCAATTTCCTTACTAATACTGTCAAACTAACCTTACAAGTTCACCTGAGACACTTGTCTGTAGACTAAATCAGTCATTGTTTACTCTGGTTCGTATTTGACAGTGACGATTTTCACTAGACTAACTTCCCAAAGAAGTGTGTATGGGCTGCTACCAGGGTAGATGGGGAATTTTATCCCAATAGCTGGCCGGCCTCGTGACCCAGTACCTGGGTTGTGGCATGACATTTGGGAAACCGCGACGCTAATCGACCAGTCTTATGTGATCCGAAAGCTGCCACGCAATATCTTCGAGAAGTTGAACCGCTCACGGCTGGGTATGTAAACCTCGTGAAAACCTCACTGGGAGTCTCTCAAGGTGTTCAAAACAAGGCCTTCTAAAAGAGGCCGGAAGCAGTTCTTCCCAAGTTGTGGTAGCAGTCTGTGGGGCTGTTATATAAGGACGAAGGTAGAATCCCCCTTCTGTAAGGACGCCGGGGGCCATGATTGGTCAGACAAATCACCAGTTCTCACCAAAATCAAGCTTTCGGCACTGCATTTCTGGTCGTATGTTGTTCATAGACAGCCGCAAGTAAGGCGCCTCTGGTTTTTACATATCTGCTTCCCCCTGGTTTCATTTTTAAAAGTAAGATTTCCCTGTTCCTACAGCTTATCCGCACCCTTCTTTTCAAGAGACTTAAGTGTTGTCTTTTAGGAAGTCAGAATCCATAATAAAACAAAGAGCTTCCTGTGAATAAGGCGACGGAGCATCAAACACGGCACGTTTTCGGCAATGGTACATCGTTTTTCAGAAATGCCGCTGGCTCCAAACCTTTTACGATCTCCGGTAACGTGTTAGTGCATCCCTAACAGCCTTTTGATTTTACCATGCAGTGCATTCAATGCTACAACGTCCTGTCGTCATTCCGGACGACGCCGAGCTACTCGCACAGTCTTCTTCAGGAGCACATCGGTGGGAAACCATTGTCTTACTTCTTCGGTCGCATTGCTTTCCTACAAAAACTCTGGCGGCACTCGCCGAAATGTTTTATTTGCGACCCTGAGCCTACCAATCGGAATACGTTTAGTCTCTGGGTTCTGCGCTCGCTTCCCGGCAACACCATCTCCCCTCATCGTCATCTTCATCACCATCATCATCATCTTCTTCTTCTCCTCCATTGCAGCCGCCTCTCGATGAAAAAGGGAAGCGTATACCTGAAGTATGAACAACCCAGTGTCGCTGCCCCAACATCAGAGCTGGGCGGCTTGCGTGCCGTCGGCCTTATAGTTGCTGCGCAAAGGAAAGTCGCTGTGGCAGTTGGGCAAAAGAACTGCCGCCACTGCCTTCCTGTCATCCAGGCCGCTGCTTCAAACCCGACCGACAAAAATAAAACGCCCACCAGCCGCCTCCCAGCTCGCCTCGGCGGCGGCGGCTTGTGGAACTTCAGAGTGAGCAGGCATGGAGACTCAGGACTCTGATGCGGCCGCACGCGGTTTAATAATGCAAGCGACGTGCGCTGTATGGAGGACGGGCGGGCGGGCGGTCGGGCGCTCGCGAGGAGGCACGCACGTAGGTGTGCGTATACATACGGCGCGTAAGATCGTAGGTCTCACATGCCTGCATCCCCAGCGCGCACAGTCGAGACCACGGAGGTAGAACGCAAACGGTACGGTGGTACATGTTTACGACTGGATTCGCTTGTACGGACTATATTTAGTCGATTTGTTAAGGTCACCGCGAGGCCTCTTACAGAGTCATTATTTTAGGTGGGAGCGAATGACCCTGATGTGGAGAGCTAGCAGATGACTGTGAAAGACGGAGTACGCATTAAGATTGTACGGATATAAATAATTGGGGGTAGGAATTCGTGCTCAGTGGAAAACATGAACAATCGACGCTTTTAAGGGTTGACCCTCTGATCGGGGACGATGGGAAGACAGGCGCCCGAGCGTTAGCCTGGCTACGGTCTATCCGGCGCGTCCCCTGATGTTGAGTAAGCGGGATGATCCACTAGGGAAGTCGGTTGCAAAACAGTCCTGGTGTCTAGCAAATAAACAGTTGCGGAATAAGCACATTAGCAGAACACTGATCTGGCAGATTGGTTACACAAAAAGGGTCACAAGTCATAACAGTATTATATGGGGAATGTTATCCACCGGCCGATAAGACCTCAGTCACCACCCTCAAACACAATCCTGAAGACTCACAGAGGTATACCTATGGGATGGAGGGGGACCTCAACCCTCGAATGCAAGCCCTGCAAAAAACCGTCCTTCCAAAAAGACGCCCGACACCGTTACTGTCCTACGGGCCATAACAGTTTTAGGACCATCGGGAGGTTAGATCCGCGCGTTCTGATTGAAGTTGCTGAAAGCGATTGACCTCGAGATGAGTAACAACAAAGTCTTAGATAGAACGAGAGCAGATACAAGCTCCTGCCTGCGCGCAGTTGAATATTCCTCACTCGCTTCTCGCGAGGTTCGGCTCGCATCTGGAGTTCTATACAACCGCGCAACATCCAGGAAGCCTTTTCGACCTTTATGTTACATGAAACTGCAGTAGAGGTGCCTACACCACCTTAGTGGCAACATTTTCTTGAAATTATAAGCGTCCAAATAAATGATGTCTGGTTCAGCCAGAAGACGGAACCGGTCACAGACAAAGATGGCCGGTCGGTGATTGTGTTGCATTCCATCTCTATTCATCTTCGCCCACTATCGCAACAGAACACATTTCAGTGAGATGCAGGGGTAAACAACGTTGCACAATGCATCACCGCTCAGATCTAATTCACGAGCAAATTTTCTCTGCCAGTCTGTAGCGATGAAGACCATCATTGAGAATAACGGATAAAGATCCGTCCTTAACTGTAAGCCTTCAGTCTGATTCCGAGGTCTTGTCTCTATGGGGGAAAGCACTAGGTTGATCATGCCCTTCCTTCTGGAATATACCGAATCTGTAAAATTGTGAGCATAAGCGTGAGACTAATCTTTCTACAAATTCGGTTACCCATCCCAAACTGGTCATGGATATGCCAATTCGACCGTCGTTGCCGACGTTGTCCACCACGTGCTTCACAGCAAGCTAGGAGCACACACGGTGACTTGTGCGCGAAATAATTGATAGTGAGAGCAGACTTGCGTGGCGTCTACTGCACTCCCGCCTCCCCCGCGCCTGGACCCGGTGTCAGGACACAGTCAAGAAGACCGGAGACGGGAGAGGACGCAGGTGGCAGACACGGCCGGGCCCGCATCTAGAAGTACCACCACACCCCTTGGTTCACAACAAACACTTGACCAGGATTTTAACCAATGACAAAAATCGGTCAGAAAGAGAAGGATAACACAAGTCACGGGGCAAGCGTGCACGCGACCTGTATACCCAGCGGGAGCGCAGGCGCATCCACCGGCAGGGAACCAGGAGCCAGAGAGCTGCCAGCGCACACCAGACTGCAAGAGCCATTGTCTGCTGAATCATGGCACAACAGACACACACACAATCCTTACAACCGATCAAGGATACAATGACTATGAGGCAAGCTGATCAGAAGTTTGACTGAGGGCCTACGTGCCCAGTTGCAGTTTTAGAACGTACCCCTCCCCATGACAAAACCAGAAGACGTTCGAAGTTTCAATATTGTTAACTAGCTCTTCCACATGCTACGTAAGGCCTATTATACGCGATCTCCAGGTTACTTTTGGGAATGCTTTGATCCCAGTCATCAACGCACGGAGACTGTTGTCTGAGTATGCGACCACAGAAGTTGCGATTAAAGTCTGGCTCCTCCTGCCCTCGCAGTTTAACTGGCATTCATCTTTATGCAAATGCTATGAGGATAGTATATTTGGATCGAACTGCCCTGCTTTAAGATGCTCAGTTAAAGACTCCGCCGCAGTGTTAGACTCGGTCAGACAGTAAGCGAATGCAAACGTGGTGGGCCATAAATCTTTCCTGACCCCACTCAGAAGCCCTTGCGCATGATAGGATTGTATAAGCCTGGAAGCACGGTCTACCTTTGGGTGAGCCTTTCTTACTGTGGTACAGGATACAAAAGTTGGTGGTTTAATCAAGACAGGCAGAAGACTTTTCATCCGTGTATGATTGCCACAGATTTTCACAACCGCGATCATTCATTAGGAAAATTCAAGAAATCCTAAAACATCTCTGAACCCAGTTTGAAGACCTGCCTGCGGCTCGTGAGGTCATAAACCGAATTAATAGCATTTTTTAAAATTACCAATTGCTCGTTGTAATGTGACAGTCAGTGAGGACTCAGTAATGGTGTTTCAAGCATTAATTTCCAGCAGAACCATAACGGGAACGTTATCTGACTCAATACTTAGTGAAGGAGTGAGCAGTTCTTTTCCTCGCGCAAATGTCACGTCTATTTCACCGCCACCCTGTCCAGAAGTTCGAAAAGTAACAGTATATGCGTTCAACCCCGAAAGGACTTCGACCCCTCACTTCTGTTTGTGCGCTCTCTCCACGTCTATCTTCGGTTCGTCGTGGTACTCCTAGCACGGCGTAGATCATGAGTGCCTGGGGAAAGTTACCTCACCATCAGACCGTCTGGTATTAGAACAAATGTCCCAAAAGTTGTTTGTGTGGCATGCAGGGTCAAGCTTGCGTGTCTATGGGAAGGGGAAAAGAGTAAGTGCTGCCTTTCCTTTGTGACCACCGTCAGGGAGGAGGATCAGGCAAAGCAGATCGCCAAAGGGCGTTGCCGGCGTCAGCGGTGGTGTGCGTCTCAGGAATGTCAGACGAAGCGGAAGTGAACCTCAGGTGCCCACCCAGGGCTTTTAAAGGCGGCGACACATTTCACTCGGGCGGGTGACATGCTGGTGGCTAACTGTTGATCATTTCGAGCCACAACTCGCCGTTCTCCTCCTCCTCCTCCTCATCCCCCTACCTTGGCTGGAGGAGAGCTGAAATACGAGTTGTAGTAATGCACTAAGGGAGCAGATTTGTTCTACCCAATGCAACCACATATCTTACGGGTAGAAAATGAGTCGCTGTCTGGGATCATGTAAGTGCACTTTCACCGCTTCGAAGGTACCACGTGTCCGGCTTCTGTTCTCCGTCGCTGTAATCAAACCATCGCCCACCTCCTAACTGGGGTCTGCGTTGAGCGACAGCGACGCCAGCACCAACGTGAGCGCACACCTGGTCACAGTTGAGTTCCAAAACTTCACTTCCCTTCTTTATAGAAGGTGGTGTTCACTGGACGCAATAGCACGTCTGCCATCATTAAACGGAGGAGCGCAATTGCGACTAAAGCGTGGATTGGTTTATGGTGAGGGGGACAACTGCAGCGTCTACCCAACTCTCCCCCACCCCAAGTCCAAAATGTGCCAAGGAAAGTACAAGGCCAACACGACTGGAGATGGGCATGTGTGCAGGGACTAGCCCGGCTGAGTTAAGGCCTACGCGTGTCACACACGTGTTGCTTCCCACGCATTTGTGGCCACCAAATTTCGACATGTCGGACCTTCTGCAGGCAAGATCTGCCACGAAGTCCTCACACGATAAGATAACAGATAATCCCCAGAGCACATTCACATACTTGGCATGATTTGTAGAAAGTTAAAGACTTCCTAAACTAAAACTCTAGTGCGGGGAACAGAGAAGGGGCCAACAAAAAGCTGCCTGCAAAGCCTGGTGCGTCTGATGAATGCTGCGTACCTAGTGAAGTTCTTGAAATCTATAATATCGATGGACAAGAGGTAGGCCGTAGTGTGAAGTTTCCTCGTCAATTCATAAACAAATGCAGGATACCGGGTTGGGACCAAAAGAAATCAGTCTCAAGTTTCTGGTAACAAGCGAGTACTCCGCAGTCACAAGGAATTTTCCGTTGCGCACCGGAGACCACCCCAACCCATTTGATGCCAGTAAGCATCGGCGCAGTGTAAACCAAGGGTCATCATGTCATTTGAGCTATAAGGCCAACGTTCAACAGACACCGATCTGTGACAGCATGCCTGGCTTGCACCTGCCGAACACGGGCATGAGTTAAGTGCCCCTCATCTGCGTATAGACGCTAATTGGGACCCCAAAGTCGAAGTTCGCCGATAGTCAATCCCTGTCTATGGCCTTCAGCAGTTTTACCTTCGTTCACTTTGCCCACATTGGGGCTGAGTGTTATCCATCGCACGGAGCCATGTCTACTTATGTCGGCTAGGTGCCTCTGCAGTAGCAGTATATGTGCAGGAGCTCGGGAGGCTCCCATCCCGTTTGTATTTTCTCAGCACTTTCTAAACGGTAAAATTTTGTAAGGTGAAAACCCTAGCTATTACAGACAGTCGGTTATAATTGGGATGGTGGAGGTCTCGTAACTTTTCGTATTCACAAATCCTAAGGGTTTTCGGCTTGCAAAATGCAGTCAGTAAACTCAACCGATCATCGGAGTCGACTGACACCCGCACGGCATTTTCGGTTGCATCGGGACAGGCTTCTTTTTTTGTTAAATCTTCCAAACCGTCAAGGTGTGCGAGTGACTGTCTCCGTCTTTCTAAGCCCAACTCTTAGTGATAGCCGCAAGGGTGGTGAATCATGATAATGTTACCGATTGTACCAGGGGGAAAGATGCCGTCCACAAACGAGTTGTGACGCAGGGCGGCGGTCCAGAGAACCCAAATTCGTATTATCGCCCAATGACTAGGTTTCTTTGCCAAACGCTGAAGCTAACTCCCAACAAGGGTAGGTATTCTTACTGACAACTACTGACGACTACGATCGAAGTCAGTGGAGGCGGTGGCCGTGTAACTAAACAAGGCAAGATCTCATTTTGTAGCCGTACTTGTTAGGGGTTAGGGGCTAGGGGTCAGAGGTTAGGGGTCAGGCTGGGGCTTGTCTACTGCAGGTACGGCTACGAAATGAGATCCGACCTATCCTCGTGCATGATAGCTGCTTGAAGTGTATATGTGGTAAGGTGTTCTCGCCAGTGTAAGGCTGCGCAATTTTCATTCAAACGTACCCGGGAATCTTGTGTGACATTATAGCTTTAACGTTGGTCTCTGCCCACGACACCCTGAATACCCTCCTTCGCGCTGCCATCTCCACTGTGCAGCACTGGCCGTTGATCATTCAGTTTGTTCTATTTCTACTTCATGCTTTCTGGGTGCTCTCTTCTCGAATAGCGGTCTCCTACACAAATTCGAAGGGAAATGACAATAAGTCATTTGTCCCCATACTCAGTCTGTCTCTTTTTCCCTTGTCATAAATCCTCTGGAAATGTAATATTGACTTTTACGCACAATGTACTGACTTAGAAATCCACATATTTTCGATCGTGTTCAAGCTGGTTGGCTTCAGATGGTAGGCAGTTGGCGTAAATTTTTTAAATGAATGGAATGCTCTAAGGCGGGAATAGTCGATGCTTCTGCACTATAAATATGCGCGATTATAGCCCCAAAATGGTATGTTGAGGGTCATGATGCACGATTAACTATGGCAGGAGGGGCAAGGTTAACAAAAATAAAAGTTTATTCGGAGTATTTTGCCAAACTTCTGAGTCTGGCAAACTCGGTGTCCTCGGTTGCTGCAGGGTACGAGGACGCTCCACAACTTTAGTACGGTTGCGACTGCAGCCTCACAGCTGGCAAGATCAAGGCGATAGGAAAATTGAGCAAAAAGCACCCGACGAGGGCTGCAATGTTAATTTGTGCCCACATGCCAGCGACAAGGTCCTCTGAAGCTCCCTCAGGACAGACCGTTTTCACAGACTGGAACAATGCTTTCACTGTGATGATCCCCAATAAAGACGCAGATCCCAGTGTAAGAAGTCCCGCCTTTTTGGTACTGCCGAACAAGTTTTTCCAGTAGCTCCGCTCGGTCACCGCCTGTACCTCAGTGTGTAAGCAAAGAATCAGCATGGTTGTCGGCCGTGGAGGAGATTTCTTACTGCTTCACCTTTCATCGGACTCCAAACGTTGCGACTGGCACCAAAAGCTAACCCCTGTCCGTTTTGTGGATTAAAGCTGTCTATGGGGATTCCTTGTGGCCGACTATACTGCATGATGACATACCACCGAAATTGCTTCTTTTTATTCAGGTTGAATTAGTTATGATGAACGGCCTTGCAAGTACAAATAGGAGCATGTACCACCGGCGCTTCAAGTTTGTAGACCTACTGGCGATGAGACTGGACGCCATGGCTGAGGTAGTTTGGGCCTTAATCTATACGGCAAGACAGGATGGCAAGATCCTATTTCGTGGCCGCACCTGTAGGGGTTAGGCTGGGGCTTGTCTACTGCAGGTACGGCTACGAAATGAGATCCGACCCAAAACAAAAAAGTCAACTGAGAGAAGACAACCCAGTAGAAGTTCCGATGATAATCGCCCCCCCCCTCCCCATAATACGGGTGACCTTGTGCCAAATTCCAGGGACAATAACTATTCGTGCATCCTAACTCTAACACTAATCCTAACCCAAACCTTAAGTGTAACTGTAATGTCAACTCCAATCCTGAGTTAGGGGGGGGGGGCTCTATCCCCATGTCCTGAGGCCGGGGGAATATAAAAGCGGTCCTCACCGAGGTTACTTGCAAAGTATCAGTCGCAATCTACAGTAGTGAGAGACCAGCGAAGTGAAGAGACTGATGAATAGGAGGAGGCAGGGTAATAAAAAACATCAACTCATTGAACATCAGTCTGCGAAAGGGATATGAAAGCTAGATATATGGATAATACTCACTGTGAGAATATGGCAACCAAAGTAGGAGCAGGGTAGATATCCACATGGGACGGGATCTCCACATGGTTTCTGTTCTAAGTAAGCAGAGGAGAGAGCACACACTCGAGTGCTGAGTGTGGCCTCCGCTATCTGAGCGGTCTTCAAAGCGCACGCGCACAGGAGCGGGATTTCCAGATTATGCCCAACCGCCGAAAATGCGCAGAACGCGCGGGTACAGACGTGCGTGGATTGATGGACGGCGGATGAAGGAGTATTATCCACCTGCGTGGGCGCGTACACACGCGTCGGCTTAAAACCCGGTGAATGATGGAAACTCACGCGCCCGGGGCGAGATAGAGGGGAGGAGTAACAGGTGCTAAGGGTTTGTGTGCATGTGCGGGAACGCTTCTGCACTGTCTCTGAACCCTGCGGCCGCCGCAAAATCCAAGACACACGCAGGGGACGCCGCTGGTGGTACTGTCACTGTTGTGTGGCCCTCAGCGACCGGTCTGCTATAGCTACGCCCAAAGTCAGTCGGCCAACCAGAGTGCGATCGCGCCTCTAGGAGGTGGAAGCATAACGCCAGCACTTTCCGTCCTGCGGGCAGCCAATCAGAAGTGCCGGAACGAATGGCTGCTGGCCCTGATTGCAATCACCCGACAGTGCGTGCGCGTGAGTCAGGCGTGTGGAGACCGCCAGTGTAAAAGTTTCCACCGTCGCCGCCGCCGCCGCTGCTGCCACCGACACGCGCGTGCGATCATCATGACACACCGGGAGTACATTCGACGCTATCACTTGCTAACTAGACCCATTCATCAAAGGGCCGCTACTTAACCTCTACTCGAGACAATGTGTGGTGTGGCCGAGTCACTCGTCGTTAAGCGACAAAGTGGGGAGACCAAGCATTCCCGAGTACAAGTGAAGGTGAGACCGAAGCCGACATTAAAGCCTTAGTGCTAATTAGGATACTTCAAGGCTTGACGAATATACGGATTTGGCAAACGTTTTTAAAAGATCTCGAATTTGGTCATTTAACGCTAAACCTTCTACAAACCATTTAAGGCCTCCATGTACATACTTTTCGCATCTAACTCATCACAACTTCGAGCCTGTACTACTGATAAGGCGTGGCTAGGTAAGTCACTCAACTCTGTGACCACTTGCCTGCCTTTGGTTGGCTGAGGTAGTTTGCTCTACTACTACTACTACTACTACTACTACTACTACTACTACTACTACTACTACTACTACCACCAGGGGCATGAATACAAGTCGCAAGTTCTTGCTGAAAATAGGCAAATGAGGCAACCAGTCTCTCTCTCATTAAAATTAACACTATTATTATCATTAGTGCCAACGTCACCACCGCTGATACTACCGGAATGATTATGTCATTTGTGTAGTAGATAGTGGCTTTTGATGAGCCCTATTATGGGAAGTTGTGGAGGCATTTTAATCGATTTTCATCAACTCCAAGTATATTATGAGAGCAGGGCTGGACTGGAGTTTTTTGCTGCTGCTGCTGCTGCTGCTGCTGCTATGGCAGGAAGCAGTGATTGAGGCTGGGTAGTCTGATCAAATGCAGTTTATCTCCAGGAGATCGGCTTCACTGTTCGGTCTTCTTCCCGCAGAGGGGGGGGGACGAGCCATCAAGGTCATCGTTGGTTTCCACCGGAGAAGGTCCGTGAGTGGTCTGCCTTCAGATGGTAGAAGAAATAGGGAGAACGCTCCTGAAGCATTCAACCTACGTTAAAGTCTGTCACTGTTCTGACAACAGCGTGAGTATGTCTGAGTTTGCCGAGAGAGCTGCCGAACATGTCGTTTTCCACTGTAAAGGCGGTCCCAGCTCTACTTGCCGTTCCCCCAGGAACGGTCGCTCCAGAAAGTGCATCTCTATCTTGCCTCATTAAACTGCCCTAGTTAGGAGAAGCAAAGCTCATCGGGGTCGGACGGTTTCCACCATTTATCGAACCAGCTCCCAGGTGACTAGAACTTTCGAACTTTATGGTCAGTTGGCCATGGCATAGTCTAAAGGAAAGCAGACACTTCAGGTTACCAGAGTGGACGACGTTGCTTCAGCGGGCGGCGGCGGGGCTGGGGTATGAGGAAGAGTATTGTTTCTAGGCAAAATGGCATTGCCGACAAAGTATAGTATTGCTTCTACTCGCTAAGTTTTGGTCGCGTGTGTCACATGGCAAAGATACGGTCAGCTGTGTACGCGGCGTGAACCGGTGTCCATCCGGAGGAAATTGGAAGGGGTAACGTGGAAATGGGACTCATAAATCTGAACGCCCAGGGGAAAACTGCGGGGCCAACTGATGAACCGAAACCTTCTCAGCCGCTTCAGGCAACGATAGAAGGCCGGCGAAATGCGTGTCTGGAATTATACTAGTACCGGAGCAGGATGAGTGAGTTCCGTAGCGCGATCGCTTAGCGCCCTTCCGCCATTATATATATCCGATCTGAACTGACAGAACAACGAGCCCCTGGCTCAGGGGTTGAGGGCGTTGGACTTCTAACCAAAAGGTCTCGAGACCGAACCCCAGGTGTTGCACACCTCAGGGTTAGGTAGAACTGATTGGCGACGGCTAATAAGCCAGAAATGGCCATTCCAGTCCCCCCCCCACTGTCATTGTCGGTAATGCTAGTGTGGATAGTGCTGAAACTACTACCACTGCTGCTGCAACTGTTACTACTACTACTACTACTACTACTACTACTACTACTACTACTACTACTACTGCCACTGCCAATATCAGCATCACAATTGTTAGTAGCGTTGATATTACTAAGCGGTGAGGATTCCGAAGTAAGTGGTCACCGTCGTTTGCAACGACCACACAGAGCTTAGAGCGGTAGAAATGACCACCTCTTGACATCTCCCGTGGCATCCGAAGTAGGTCATGAAGAAGAATCAAAAATACTAATTACAACTTTCCAATTAAAAACCAGTCGTCTGCCGCACCGATTAAGGCGGAGCACAGCTTCAATTACATATGCCTACAAACTACCGACTTCCAGATCAGTGTCGCTTCGCTCTAGAAACAGTACTACCCAAATTTTCTCACCCGACTACAGAGTACTGCGGCCTGAACGAACAGATTAGATGACTGGACGGTAATTAACTTCCGTAAGGCAATCGTAAGGTTTCCTCTGGCCAGAGTAGTGTCGTAATCGGTTCTATGCTTGTGCTAAGGGATTTAAATTCACGATAGCAGGCACATACACAGTGAAAGGCCCCGTCTGGGGATTTGATCCGATTTACTCTTCTATGGCTTCTTTTGTCTCGATCCATAATTCTTGTGAACGGCAATAAAACTGATTGTCCCCATTTATGGACTGAACATTTTTCTCTGGTCATCGTAATTGGTTAGTTGACGGGACACGGGATCCTATAGGATCACTATTTGGGCCACAGTTTCAAGACAAATTTCTGACGCCTAACCGCATCAGATAATACTGCAAAATTCTTATTTAATCTATTGTTTGCTTATCTAGCCTATCCCATTGCTCATAAAGACGGTTTGTGCGGTGTCTGAGAAAGCTGGAGGTACACCTACAGTCGTTTTTTTCTCTATCAGCCGACGGCGACACAGTCCAAGAGGCTGTGATCGGGATTTCGAGCTTTAGAAGGCTGCCAGCTGGCAGACCACGAGAACTTTCTAGGCTCGCGCAGTCAGAAACAGCTCATCCGGTATGGCTTTCTTGATGACCTCTTTTATTCCGCCAGGCTGTTTCCTAGTGACGCTGCTGGAGCCTGTAGGTTCCACAGCATTGACTTGGTTGTTCTGAAGCAAAGTCAAAACTAAGCAGTAGATTAACGTTTTCGTCAGTGTCTGTTGTGCGTAATTAAGAATGCACTTCCGCTGGACACTGTAGCAGGGAAAAAGGCGTGAGAAGGAAACACCCAAAAAGGCAGCGCAGTAGGGCAGGGCTCGGTAACACGTGCAACACTGGGTTGGCCTGGCTCACGTCCGCCTTCAAAGCCCTCACCCCGCGCGTGCGCAGTCGGACCCCGAGACACTTCAAAGTGAATGTACCCAAACAACTGACTCTCTCTCTCTCTCTCTCCCGAAACATTCTTTTCACCCAAGCACACTTGTACCCAAACTTGAAGAACTGCGTTGCAAAACTGGCCCTACCCAAACTGGTTTCGTCACGAGAGGAGCAGACTTTGCATCACACCACAGACTCATCTGGAGTGAAAGTCGGCGGAAGTCCGGAAGAATCGCACACGAACCCATGTGCGCATCCAACAGTTGATACACTTGCGGTTGAGTCAATGTTCGCACTGCACCCGCGCGCATCTCTGGCACTGCCGCTGTCATCTAGAGAGGGCCACATGTACCAGCCCCTGCGGGCGCAGCCAACTCCGATTTTGTTACCGACTTGTGACTTGTGAACGTCCATGATTGTGGCAGCACATGTCAAGAACGGGATGGTATGTGGGTCAGTGCATGTGTGGACGTATGCAGGAAGTCGTCCTATTTGAGGTCGGTTTTCTCGTCAAATTTAATCGGAAAAGTGGCAGAGCAGGCAAGGAGGACTTCTGCTACTTCGAACTTTCATTCTCCCCGGTTGGGCATGGGGGGCTGCCGCCGTGCGACGAGCCGAAATTGGTCGCACTCTTACACCAGACGCAAGCAAGAGGCCAATTAAGGGTACAACCCGCTTGAGACCGGAGGTTTTGTGTCACCTCAGCCACTGCATCCGGTCTCGTCTTCAGTCGGCTTGCTTCAAACTTGCCACTAATGCACGATGGGAGAGAAAAAGGCATATCGAAGGACTCCTTGGGTGAGACCTTTTATAACCAACTAAATATGGACGCTTTTGAGCCATCACGATATGCTAACGGCCTTTACTTGGAAGGAAGCCAACTGGAGGAATAACGATAGTTGGACCTACAGTCAGAGTGTAGTGACTCCCTCTCCACGTAGCCTTACTACAACGATTGCAACATTATGTCTGAATGAGTGAGACCTGGCTCGGGTGTGCTGAGGACTAACAGGTGCATGGAAACATATATGTGAAAAACGAGGTTACCGACAAAGACGAGGGAGGCCGGAT